TGATATGTCAGAAAAAGAAGATTGCAATGTTAGGAGTTAAAATGAGAAAAATACCTCCATTCCCCAATCTGACTTATCCTCGTAACCACAACTAATGACATGAATAGCCTCTTTGAGAAGGTTTTCTGGAGTTGCTGAAGGAGGAACACCACCATTTTCCATTAGGGTAGAAGCAACAAAAACAGCGGATTGTCCAAATCGCTTCTCGAGGCTCATTTGCGACATCAAGAGGGCCTTTTCATCGTCAAAACCAGCACCTGCGTTTTATAAATGTCAAATAGTTAGGACCTGATGAGATACATAATCTGGAAACTATCTAAACAATGCATGACCATGAACTGTCAGTTGTAAATAACGCCCTCCTCTGGATCAATATCTCAACACCAATGTATGGGTATAACGGAAAACCAAAGAAGAAGTAAAATCAGTTGTACCTTCAACTCCCTCTTCTATGTCATCGAGGTTGAACACAGGAACAGTTGAGTCAGTATGCCTGCCTGATTTCTTTTTGTCCGACTCCTTCTTCGATTGGGACTTCTTCTTTCTTGATCCACCACAGAGCTTAGATAAAACACTTGGCTTCTTGTGCTTCACCTTTATTGGAGGTTCATAACCATATAATGCTGTTCTGTTGAAAACACAACCAGTTCCCACATATACAGGTCCTTGAATCCCATCTAAACCTCTCAAGTTAATCTGGAAAACATATCACAAAAGTATTACAACAAAACTCAAGAAACTGAATAGGTAAGTATAGGTAAGTGTGACTTACATCAAAGAAAACGGTATTACGATTAGCATATCTATCGTTCTTATCGATACCATCGAATCTTTGTGGGAACTGAACATAACAAACTTGCTTCCCGAGGTTTGGGTCCATCAGGAAGCACATGGCTTCTCTTAAGGCCTTGCTGTTATTGATGTAATGATCACAATCAAGATTCAAGATGAAAGGTCCATTGGTCAGGACTGCTGAAACTCTAACCTGTACATTTGAAAAGTACACAGATTAGACTATCAAAAACTGCTCCGAGAAAGAAGAAGTTGAAATTTTGAGATCAGAAACATACAAGTGCATTCATAGCACCAGCCTTTTTGTGGTGCTGGAATCCTGGTCGCTTTTCTCGAGAAACATACACCAAACGCGGAAGCTCATTGCCCTCTGCATCAAGTCCACCATTTTGCCCTAAGAAAACCTGCATTCAACAATTGCTACTTTAACAATGAACTTCAAGACAGATACTCGATTTCCATACTTGAAACCAATTTCTCTTACCTGGATCATTCCTGGATGGTCCCTTGTATTATTTCCAGGCCAGGGTGTACCATCTTGCATAACCCACCCTTCTTCAGGACATTTTAGGGCCTTGGAAACAAGTGCATTGATCCGGATCTTAAATTCCTCATATTCCCTCTGCGAGAGTATAAAAGGTCAATATAGCACATGCTAAAATGAAAGTGAGGGTCACTACATGACTAAAACTACAAACTTACCTTCATAGCTCTACGATCTTTGACAAATGATGTCTGAACTTTATCCTTCAAGTAATCTATTTTGGCAGCAAAGTACCATTCTGGTGCGCGAGGCTCAATGCAATATTTCTTGCAGAATGGTACCCATTTACGAGCAAACTCTGATGTTTCCGCAAGTGCTTCAAATGATAACATAGCAGCGCCATCATCAGAAACATAACAAGACACCTTGTCGACCGGGTAGTCAACAGCCAGAATAGAGAGCACTGTGTTGGCTGTCACAAGAGGTGGCTCCTTCAAGGGATCAACAGTACTCACGAAAATATCCACAGCGGCTAACTGTGACGCTTCTCCTTCACGATCATATCTAGTCCAAAAATTGAGCATGACAAGATTAAAATGGGAAACAATATAGGCAGTCAATCGATTGAGTAATCACTTCAGAAGAATGTGAAAACGTAACATACCTTAAAGCAAGCCTGTCGAGGTAGGTTTCACGGTTCACAGGAAACCACTTCGGAAACTGATCCAAAATCCAGGAGAAGGCAAACCAAATCTCACATATCACTGAGACCAGCCACAGAGTAAAGGCATTTGGCACTGGATTTGTTATACGGTAATGCAAGAAGAGACACAGGATAACAAGCCGCAACATAATAACCATTCTGTAAGGATTGATCCGTGATGAAGGAATTGAAACTTTCCTTGACAGAGGCTGCCTTGCTTCGTCATTCCTGCAACAAATAAAACGGAAAACGAGCGTCAGGACATTGCTTAATAGGATAGGCGCTCAGAATATGCAACGTCATAACCCTGAAGCATAACAGAACACCACGGTGGACAACACGAGATAACAAAACAAGAACTCACAGCAAAGCCTCATCTGCAAGGATATCTGTGCTGGCATCAATATCTCCTCCACCTCTTTCAGAAGCAGCCTGCGTGCTCACAGGACCAGTATTCTTCTCCTGCTTCATTTTCCAGCCATCAACTCTCTCCTTCCAAGCTACATTCCCTAGTCCAACAGGATCCACAATCCTTCTATTTGCTGCAGCGTGAATGAAAACAGAGCTTACTTTAGAAATTTGACATAAACAAAAACTGTGTTGACCCGATGATAGTAAGTAAGTAAGGATATATACGTGATTGATTGACATCTGATGAGTAGGGAAGGCGCTTTCCACCAGCTATAGTAGAGGATACAGAGAGGCGTTCAGGTGAGGCAGCAGAAAACTCCCCTGAGGTCTGTAAATAATCACATGACAAAATCAGATTCCAAAACTCAAGTGCGTGTCTAATGAATGATGATGCAGAGGGAAGAATGAATGGCAATGCCTTACATCTTGTCTACTCGTGAGACGAGGAAGATGATTGTGAGAGACCTCTTTGTCATACTCTGGTTGCCCCATTTCCTCACTTTTCCCACGTGTAAGATGCCATCCGAGCATCCGCTCTGAAATCTTTTCCTTCTGTGGGTAGTTGAACTCAACGGTAGTTTCATCAGCTAAGTCATCCTTGTCTTTATCACTGGGAATTGCAGGACTCCCTAGACACAGAGATTAGCAAATTATAGTAAATACTAATCTGATCAAATAGCTTCAAATTCAGATGAATCAAAGTCATAAGGACAAGTTCAGATTAAAAGTAAGACCTTTGTGCCTCTTGTATGTGGTTTTGCACTGAGGACAAGTTTGATTGCCATCCTTCCTCTCATACTCATAGCAAGGCCTACAAACCGGGAACGAACAAAAATCACACGCCACAAACAGATCTCCATCAACAGTCTTCCCAACATCGTCCCTACAGATCTGGCAAATATGCCCACCGACGTTCTTCATCGGCTTCCCCTACAATTAGTTGAATCAAGAGTTAACACAAGCCAAATTTAGAAACCTTATCAAAAAAAATTGGGATCACGCGCCAAAAACAGATCTCTACAGTACACAAGTAAACACCATTTTATCCACTCAAATTCCATCAATTTCAGTATCTAACACTCCTGATTCCTAAGCGATGATAAGTGAAATAAAGGAAATATGATGATGATGTAGCAGAATCAGAACATAGTCAACATACCGCGGTTTCTCCTTCGGATTCCATTGTCAGTAACTTTCTTCCAACACCGAAACGTCGGGATACTTCAAATCTGCTCGCAATTGTCAAAAACAAAAAATGCGATTAGATCTGACGAGATCAAAGTAGGAGAAGTCAAATCTGAGAAGAAGAGGAAATGGAGAAAAGGCTACCATGAGATCTGAAGATGGAGTGGTGGTGCGACTCTTGAGATCGCTGTGAATCAAGCGATTCTTCTTCTAAAAGAGAGATATATGTAAGAGTAAAGAGGAAGAAGAATCTTGAGGTGGCTTACAAGATGCAAGCTGCTATTTGTCTTTGCTCATCACTCTTTCAGATTTTAAAAATAAATAACAAATCATATCCTACCAAGTGACAACCACCACCACCACCGACAACTCCACAGTGGTTTAATTTAGTTACAGATTTACAGTGTCGTGAGAGTGAAAAGCGTTTTAACTTACCCAATACATCATAACTTGAAAAAAATCTAAATTTGTCGGTCATTTTCTTCATCATTAAATTAGTCTAATTAATACTGTACTGATTTGAAACGTGACAGTGATGCTAATATCTGGGCCAATAAGGCCCAATAAACTTCACAATTTGTACAAAAACCAATTCGTCTATTTTCGGTTCAAGTTCAATCACCAAACCATTGGAGCGAAACTGAATCGAACCGAACCGAGACCAATAATTGGTTTTGTGTGGATATTTTGCATGTGCGGATGTTTGGCCACTGGGCAGAGAGATGGACAGACTGTAAATTGACAAATGGAGAAAATGGCAAACATTTGAATCCCAAAGAGCGCCACTTTCTCTTCGCTACCCGACAAATCTTCCCTCCTTTTCCCCTCTTCTTTGTTCCCCTAACCTTTCCACCTTCTGCATCGTAACTCTCGCAACCCTAATCCCAACTCCTCTACATAAATAAAGTTCACTCCTTTCTTTTGCCAGTTATAATTTGGGCTTTTTTTTTTTCTCTCAACCGAATCAATTTCAGGTCAGTGATTCTTCTGTTGTTTTGAAATTTAGACTGAGATCTTCACTTGTACGGTTCGGGTTTTGTTTGTAGATCTGGTGATCTGAGTTACTTACTCTGTTTATATGAGATTCATGGAAGTTTTTTTGTTCTGGGTTCTTCTTTTGATGACTCAAATTGTCCAAAAAGGCTTTTCATTTCCCGTTAAACTGTTCGAATTTGAGTAGAATAGTAGAAAAAGGGATACTTTTCAAATCCATGTAAACCTAAATTCAATTTCTAGGAATTTCATGATTAAATAACATGTTTGTGAGTTTGTGTCATTTGTTTCTATGATGGCGGAAATGATAATTCTTCAGGAAAGTTTCTGCAAAATTGGTTTTATATGCTCAGAAAGTTGTTCTCGTTTGTTTGGTGTATGGTTTTGATCATTGTTTAACTTTCAAATTCTCTTTCTTCTGATTAATTGTAGATGAGTTCTCCAACGGAAACTGGACTTGAGATTTCCGATGATTCATGTGGCTCGCCACAGAATTCCAACTCGTTTGAAGAAATCTCATCAGGTATATAGAAACCTTGTCTGAAATTCATACATATCTTATCTGTTTTGGTCTGGTTTGATCCTGTTAGAGCAAAAATCTCATATATAAATGTAAAACCAACTGTCGGTTTCAGAACACAACGCCTCATCTTCCCCTGTAACTCCAAACTCTGAAAGAATACCTGTAGCTCTCAGCTTTGGTAGTGGCAGTTCCGATGTCACTCCAAATCATGATTCTGACTCTTCTTACTCCGAGTTAGACTCGGAAGCAGAGGCCTTTTACTCATCTCTTAACCACCACCTGGTCTCACCAGGGATAATGGAGAATCATGAGTTAGCTGAGAAGCAAATTAGCTATGGAGAATTGATGAAAAGGTTTGTCCTATGCGAGGAAGAGCTAAAGACTACAACTTTAAAGCTCCAAGATTCTGAGCAAGAGATTGAGAGACTAAAAGGTGAGGCTGAGAAGAAAAAATCTGCTCTTCTGCTTGCTGAGACTCTGGAGGCTGAGCTTGAAACGAAGAACACGGACATTGAGACTGAGAGAAGGCGAGTTTTCGAGCTGCAGAGACAGGTTTTTGATTTGGAAGCTAAGCTCTTAGGCTCAAGTTTCAGTAATGAGAATCTAGTGAAGGAGCTTGAAGTGAATAGAGAAAGCTTGGTTGTATCGGATGCTGAGATATTGAAGCTAGAGGAAATGTTGAGTGACTGCCAGCAAAGTTTCTCTACTGAGAAAACAAAGCTGGAGACTGATATTGCTGGTTTGTTAGAGAATCAGATGTTTTTGGAAGCCCGTGTCAAAGAAGTCGAGTCACATGGTGAGGTATTGGAATATCAGATTAGGCGTTCTGGTGCGGAGAAACTGGAGATGCAGAGCAAAGAGGTTCAGTGGAAAGCTGAGCTCAATGCATTGAAGACGGACTTGGCCTCCAGAGACGACCATATCAAAGCGTTGAACAAAGATTTTGACAAGCACAAGCTGAGATACGACATGTTAATGGCAGAGAAAGATGGAGTCTGTGCTGAATTAGACAATGTGAAAGCAGAGATGAGATCAAGAGACATCCAGATCGAGCAAATGGAGGAGCAACTTAACCGGATGCGCTATGAGCAGACCGAGCTTGTGTCGGAATCAGGAATTGCCAAGAACACTGTGGAGGAACTGAGAGCTATGGCTAAGGAACTTGAAAAGCAAGCGGAGTTGCAGAGAAAAGTGATATCAGAAGGAGAGGAAGAGAAGCGAGAGGCGATTCGACAGCTTTGTTTCTCTCTTGATCATTACAAAAGTGGATATAGACAGCTTTTGCGGCTTCTTTCGAGCAGCAACAAGCGACAACAAGCAACCATGGTCGTGTGAGCTGGATCGAATACTCTCGTTTGCTATAGTCAAATATATTTCCTTATCCTTCTTATCTTTGTGTCATTGTGTTCTGTTCTGTCTCAGACATCTCTTCAGATTCTTTAGTAGGAATTGCAATTTATATGAATTATAAGCTCGAAAATGTTTTGAAAATGCGTGTTTATGTGTATTTATGTACTAGACATGTGGTTCTTTCTCGAGTTTTCCTTTGTGCTTATGTAATGATGACGTAAAGCCTAAGTAATTAAAAGCCGAGAGAAGAGAAAGTCAAAAGGCAAACACAAAAACCTAATCCTCCAATATCTCAACTTGGTTGACTCTCTCTCTCGATGCAAAAGTTGGAGCTAATGTGAAATGCCAATAAAAAGGTTTTCTGAATCTTTTTATGAGGACTGGATTATTGTGGACATTTATTTCTGATTCATATGTTTTGTCAAGAAAATTTTAATGAATACCAAGAAATTAACCTTTTCTTCATCACCCAAAAACAGTGAAAGTAAAATATACTCCCAAAAATATAACATGACAAATCAAAGTTGAATGAGTCTTTTATACTGCGTCTAAGTATTTTTTTCCGAATTCCGATTCTAATTCGTGTTGAATTTTTTTGATTCGGTCAAACAATTTTTTAAATTAGTACAATAAGATCTGACTTTATCAGGATTGGTCATGTTCTGCATGACTTTTTTTCTAACTTATAAGACTAGAGAATAGAAAAATGAACATTCCCAAAACTTTGATAGAGTCAATTCTACTTGTTTTCCTACTCGTAACGTTATATGGTTAAGTGCGTAATTATGTACGCGCATGCAAATATACTAATCTAAAAAACATATACGATCTGCACAAATAAATATATGGTCAGAACTCAGAATAGTAAGTTGCATGTGTGGAAACGACTTTGCAAGACTGCTGGCTACGAACTTTATTAGTTAGGTACCAGAAATCATTTGAAGGTAGCTAAGGAAAAGGTTAGTAGTTAGTACAGGCCCTTTTTATTCTACTTTACTTTTTATTCTTAATTAAGGTTTCATATGGAAACATATTCTTGATTTTATACACGTTTTGAATATCTTTTCAGATGTAATAAGAAAGTACTTTAATTTCAACTTTTTTAGTAAGATGGTGTTTATTAGTGTCATATAGTTTTCATGTATAACTCTCTATTGCTTTCTATTAGTATTAATCGGTATTGTACATATAAACCGGTTTAGTCTCTCTCTTGGTTTAGAGTCTCTGGTTTACCTATTCAGGTGTTGTATATAAACCAGCTCCAATTGTACATTTCTCTTTAATCAAGAAAATGAGAGTTTATTAATTTCTATTTGGTAAAAGTGTTTGTTCATGTCCTGAATTTTAATTCAGGTCACAGCAATTTGCTATATAAATCAACATTTCATAAAAAAAAAAAGAAAAATGTAGCGTTCCCAATTATGAACCCTCCCAACTTACATCTTTGACTGAAAAAAGAATCCCCAACTTATTAAAATTAAAACTTAGAGACCAAATACACATGTAATTTTGCGTGGACTCGAATGATATTGAACTTGATTTGATTTGGTTTGAGAATCGAATCCCGGAGTCATTGGATTGTGCAGATAAAACAAATACTGAAGCAACCTCTAAGTCTATACAAAATAGGACACCACAAACAAAGGTTGACTTTTTTCGGAATCATAAAAGCCAAAACGATTATCTAGAAAGCAGAACCTAGACAGCACAAAACGATAAAAGACCAAGTCTGTCGACCATTACCTTAATTTTGTTCACTGTTATAATAATAGGCTTACAGGTAGTTAATATCACACCTAGAAACTTTTATTCATTTATTTATCAGTCATAACTTATAAGTCGAAACCTCATGTAGCCTGAATTATCATTCAAAATATTTATAAATTGATGGCCCGTGATATATTTATTCGTTTTTTTTTTTTTTGGATGAACCAGACTTGGTTTTCAACATTCAGTGTAATATTGTAACTACAAGAAACCAAAATTTAAAATGTCAGAAAAATATGTAAGAATGTAGAGTCTGATAAAAATGGACAAGACACTGATAAAAATTGAATGGTAAAGTAAAAAATTGGGATCAATAAATGAAGAAACGGAGTAAGGCTATTTTTCTCTTTCCAAAATAAATGAAACAGGCGCCGACATTAAAAATGCGATTCCATTTATGACCCTTATCCAAATTTTATTAGGTAAATACATTTACTCTTTTCTTATCTCCATTCTCCTCTTTTCTTCTGCTGATCTGCTCTAACAAAGCTCTGTTTCAGATGCTTGCAACAAAAATTGGGCCAATATTTAAAAATACCTAGTACAAATGAGTTTGGCTGTGATTTGTGAACGAACGAGTCGTGGATGGCTTTTTTTTTTTTAATCTGTTGACTTTGATATCATAAAATTCCCCAAAAAGTATATGATTTTTATAGAAAAAACCTTTCTTGACACGGAAAAAGAGAGACTTTTCTCAAAGGAGAAAACATAACATCCGAACGATTTGGATTTTTCTGTGTCTTTTCTCTCGTTACCTCCTCTTCTTTCTACTTCTCCCCCGCGACAAGAAATTCTCCATTCCTTTCTCTCTCTATATAATCTCAACTCTTCTGGGTTTGTTTCTTTCACAATCTCTCGAGTTACAAGACTTTACTTTGGTTTCCTGATTCTTGATCTTACAATCTTTCTATGGATTCCCGAATGATGTAATTCTTCTTTCCATTTCTTCTTCTCACCATTTTCTTTTCATCCTGACGCGGATCCGTAACCAGCTCTCAGACCAACTCCTAGGTTTCTTAAACCACAACTGAAATCAGTTTGAGCTTTGTTTTTCTCTTTCTCTCTCCACCTCAAACGCGTTGACCTTCATCGTTTGGTCTCCGCTCCAATTTTCTGTAGAAACTTGAACAACTTCTCAAAGTTTCCATCTTTTATTCTTTGTTCTTCTCCTTCCTTCTCCCCTTCTCTCTCTTTCTCTACCTCTCTGCGCCTAAGACGGTTTTTCTGGGTTCTGTTGATGAGGATACTCTGATTCAGAAACTTGGATTAAGTCATCAAATTGGAAACCAACAATGGCGAGCCAGTTAGGTCAAAGAGTCCGGTTGGTGAAATGCCCAAAGTGCTTGAAGATTCTTCAGGAAGACGAAGATGTTCCAGTTTATCAGTGTGGTGGCTGCTCCGCCATTCTTCAAGGTCATTTGAATTTTCAATTCTCCAACTTTCTATTTCCGATTTTACCTAAACAAAATGTTAGCTCTGTTCGGATTTCCTTAGTTTAATCTTGCTTTGTCTGACCGCAAAACCACTTTTGTGTTTTGTTTTCACTTCTAATGATCTCTCTCAGCTACTGAACTTGTTTGCTGCTTCTTTGGTTCAGCGAAAAGACGGAGCATTGCTCCAAACATTACACCAAGTGAAGGAGAAACAGAGGGGGCTCAAGCCAGTAAGCCGCAAAGCGACTCTGAAACCAACAATGTGTCCACCAGCTCAGGACAAGACACTGCTCTTCCTTCCTCTCCGGTGCGTTCTCTGAGCCAAGAGTCTATGGAGAAGGGTCGGAATGTATCCATGGAGTCAATGGAGAAAGAGCTTGATGACTTAAAGATATCTCATGGAGATAAAACAAATGAAATCCAAGAAGAGGAATGTTCACTTGGTGATTCTGACAAGAATGAAAGAGATGAAGACAACTCCAGCAGATTGAAATCCGTGGCAGAAGCTACACGACCAGGGACAAGCTCAGGAAGCTTGAGTGCTGATCATCTGGTGGCTGCAAGAGCGAGTGGTTCGTCCAGTGATGCTTACAACAAGCTAGAAGCTGAGATCTCTCCTGATGCTTCTCCTTTAGAAGAAGAGCAAAACGATGACGATTACAGTTTTCACCCTCACATGGAGTCAACAGATGATCTTCCTGCAAACAAGACCTCTTCAGCTTATGACGGGTGTGAGTCTTCCTCTGACGAAAGAGAAGACCAACTTCTCGACGAAAACGAAACCTGGAATGCTCTTCAGAAAATAAGATCGGGCAAATTCGAGATGCAGCAGAGATCGTACCCTGAAGATTTCAAGGAGCAAGGCGGCGCTAGTTCCTCGTCCACTTTCTTTGAGAAGAGGCGCAATGGGACTAACACATACGAGAACAGGTCTCTGCAACTTGAGGGACCAGGAGGGCGTCTTGGAAGACAAGGGAGGAGACCTGTAACAGAACAACTTCGGCCTGACATGCCTTTCTATCCGAGAGACCCATACACACGCGTAAGCCCTTCATATCAATCGCCTGATCGCTATTCTCGTGCACACTCGCTTCAAATGCCTCCATACGCTGGACGAACGAACTACGAGAGTGTTGATTATATGTATCACAACAACACAATGGCAAGAGGTCGAGGCCAAGGAGCTAGGTTCTCAGGAGAGATGGCCAATGACAGAAGAAACCATGGACCCGGTTGGTATTCAGCTCAGCTTCATAATACCTACAGTTCATATTCTGCAAGTCCACAAAGGCCAATGGATCAACCTGAGTATCATCCGAGGTGGAGCCACGAGATGTTCTCTGATGCGGAGGATCATCATCAGCGTAATAGACATGAGTTACAGAACCGTCGGCTAATAGAGAGACAACGTGTGGCCAAGCGTCATATCCGTCCAACAGCTGGTGGGGCTCCTTTCGTTAGCTGCTACATTTGCTCAGAGAACCTACAGCTCCCTGTAGACTTTCTCATCTTCAATAGGAAGCATCATCTTCTCAGATGCGGCACTTGCACCACTGTTCTCAGATTCTCACTTCAGTCCAGAACTCATTTAGTTCCTGACATAAACGCTGACAGAAGTAGCAATTCAACATCAGAGTCTCCTAGAGACAGAGCTCCTTCCAAACCCGAAAACCCGAGCTCCTCTGCTCGGGAAGAGGAGGTACCTGTGTCTAGAGGCTCTCCGCTTCATCGGCTGATGGGATATTCTACCGTTAGCCAAGTCTTTAAAGCTTCCCAGCGTCCTCCTTCAGTGTAGAATCTCTGCTTCTGATCAAGCAACGAGAGCTACGGAAAGTTTTGGCTTTGGGTTTATCATTCTTTTTCTCACATCTGTGTATAGGTAATACATTTGTTTCTGCACTTCTGTTTAAAGTAGAGAAAAACCATGACACTTGTGCAAAATTATACAAAGAAAAGAAGATATTGCTTATCTGTTGTATATAGTCATGAAGGATTTGTGTTATGTTTGTAACAAGATTGAATTCATCATCGTTCCTGGCTTTATCAATCCACTATAACTTTACCACTTCTGTATAAAAAAGTTTATTTTAGGGTATCTGTATGAACTTAGTTGAAGCTGTCCTTGTATGGATTCGTCCTCCTGTTGGACACGACAGAGATCCGCTGATCCTGCAGCATGTTCAGGTTTGGGGCTAATAGTCTCGTGTACCGATCAAAATACAGAAGCTGCTTCATCAGAAGTGCAAACTCTCTCGGGAACTTGAGCCCATATGATTCGCTAACACGCACCTACACAAAAGAAAGAAAACTTGTTTTTATCTTAACCTACATGGACGCAACTCTCTCTATGCTAAAAACTTTAATATCAAAAACACAATCATGAAACAACTACGTCTACTTAATGCTTACCAGGTCTAGGAACAGAGCATTCATCTGTCTCTCATCCACAACTACGTTAGCAGCAACAGCCGTTGCGTCTGAATTTGTTCCACGAGCTGTAGCCACTACTATCTCTGTATCTAGTTCCTGCAAGAAGAGATTCACTTATCTCCATAAGACTAGTTGTCTTATTTGTTTTGCACTACAGTTCTGAAAGCAAAATCATAGTGGTTCCTCTGAACAGATGTAGCTTGCCTGGATAGAAGAGAACATCTTTTCCAAGTCTCTTGCAAAAGCGTTGGCATCAACATCTCTGTTTGTGGCACCCATTTGAATCAAAGCTGAGGCCATGGATTCATATTCTTCCGTTGCGATGGACGCTAAGAATATTTCCATAGCAGCCCATGTTTTGGGTGATATCCGACCAACAATGCCTGAAACAAATGTGGATACTTACTTAAATACACCAAAATTTTCCTTCTTGAATAGCCACCAATTAGGCTCGAGAGAGTATGACTTACCAAAATCAAGAAACCCAATCCGGCCATCACGCAACAGCCATAAGTTCCCTGCATGTACATCAGCATGGAAACTTTCACAAGAAAGTAAACTTCCAAACCTGCAGGTTACATCCACATGATGATCATTTCACTAAATGTTACTTTTGAGAGGAGTACCAATCTTATTTTCAATACTGAATTTCAAATATCTCATCTTACCACACATTAAGGGCCGTGATAAGGCTGTTTTCTGGACTGGAAACAAGTGATCTTATGGAGTCAAGATCAGTAAGAGGAACTCCATATAGCCTCTCCATTGTAAGTACCCGCCGGCTACTGCAGTGCTTATACACTCTTGGAGCAGTAGCTTGTCCTGACAACCCCATGGTTTCAAGATATCTCTTAAATGACTCAATGTTGTTAGCCTCCTTATTGAAATCTACTTCTTCAAGCATTGACTCACGAATGTCTTTGACAATACCAACCTATCCATAGGATATATTACTTTTAGATGGTAACTTAGCAGCAAATGCAAATTGAATAAAGAGGATTTGGGTGTCTCTACAGCTACTTGAGAGCTTACCAGCGAAGTACGGCTGAACTCAGGACTAAGGAACTCAAATATACGGGCAACAACGTAGATAAAGTTCAAATCTGCCACTAAGAAATCTTCAATTCCAGGCTTCAAGACCTTAATCACTACATCCTCTTGTGAGCCTCTAAGCCTTGCACCATGGACCTGGTCATGATGATTCCACTAATCAGAAGAGTACATGAACAGAACGAATTGATCAATGAAGCAGAAAGCAGACAAACGCACTTGTGCTATTGAGGCTGATGCAATTGGTGTAGGATCAACATATTCGTATACGGTATCTATGGGTCTCCCAAGCTCCTCTTGCAAGATTTTACGAATCTCTTCAAACGGCACAGGAGGAGCTTTGTCAAAGCAGTTCTGAAACTCTGTAACGTATTCTGCTGGGAACAAAGTTGGCGCAGATGCTATAAACTACAAATTCAAAAAGATATATTAGAAAAAGTATGTTAGAATGGGAAATAATTTGAGAAAGAAAAATACTTTTGGACACACACTTGATATGTTTCTAGCTTTTCACATGACCAAAGGATACAATATGATCTACATTTAGCAACATGATTTACCTGGCCCAGCTTAATGTAAGTAGCTCCCATGCGTTCAAAGAGTTTCCTCAAGTACAGAGGGGAAAGTAGACCAAGCTGCATTTCAGTTGGTAATCCACCAGACACACTTGTCGACTGCACCGACTGAGCAAATGGTTTGCAATCAGAGATAGTTTGAAACCACCAGAGAAAAACATAATTTCAGCTTAACAAGGCTACCTTAGAGACATCATTTAGCCACTCTCCTCCAACCCCAACAAAGGCCTGGACGCCTTGGACAAGGCGTAACGCACCGCGTGGACCTGTGTTTATCGATGTCTGAACTATATCCTCCACTAGTTTTGGTAAGTTCTCTATCCTGCCTGCATCAAAAGCCATGTGGAACAAGCACACGGATCATTCACAAAAGTCAACGTGATTCAATTGTGTAATAGTTCACGAAAAAATATATTAAGCTAAAGCAAGCCCAATTTGCAACAGAAACGCTCTAAATAGATATAATTCTGCAGGAAATTTCCGTACTTTGAAGGCGAGAAGTGAAAAGGTCCTGGGCTTGCGAATACTGAGCCGAGAGAACAAAACCCTTCGAATTTCTGCCTTGGATCATCTTCTTAGACCTTCCTGATACATTTCTCGTGATGGGAAACTGAAAAATGATAGCTTTCGAGATTCAGCAGAGAGTAATGGCTTTTGTCAATTTTGGTAGTTAAGCCCAAAAGAGCAGATAAAGGAAACAGATTCACTGAGTAATGAAAATAGAAAGCAAGTAGACCTGAGATTGGTGGAGAAATGGTAACCGCGTGCCACGGAAAGCTGAGACCGCCATCGCTAGCCGGAGACTGAAGCAGAGGACACGAAACTCCGATCAAGCTTTTACTCTCTCAAGCGGACAAACAAACGACACCGTTTTAGCGTCCGTTTTGAAAATGGAAAGACGTGAAGCAGCTGATAGAAGAGGGGAGTGAAGACGAATGATCCACGTGGAGACGTATAAGAGGTGGTTTCCTTCTCACATCATTTTCGTGCAAAATGCCTCGGTTCGATTCGATTAATTTCGATCGCGTTAAACCGAACCGTTGTTTAGGACGGCTGAATGAGAAGTTGAGATAGCGCATTTACATAAATACCCTTAGCGAATTTGGGAAATAACAAAACCGTTCGAACCCTAACCTCTTTCACGGAACCTCTTCTTCTCTTTCTTCTCTCTAACGCCGTTGCTTCGCCATCATCGCTACCGGTGAGATTTTCCATCTGGGTATGTTCTTTTTGTCAAAGGAGTACGATTCTCGAGTCAGAATCGTTCCGGATTTGAGATAACGAGTTATGAGTTATGTCGAATCCTGAATTGATATATGATATGAAACTTGAACATTCATTTTGTTAATACGATTCATCTCTGTATAATTTATATGTCTTCGGCATAAGCTTTTGTTATCATATGTAAATTTTCTTTGTTGTGCTCGTTAATCGCTTTATTCATCCTGCATTTAGTTAACTTCTTCTACAAAGCTTATTATACTGGAGAAACTTGCTCTTTGTATACTATTTAGGGTTTCTGTTTCCTGTTACTAGACGCAGGCAATTCCTAAAGTTTTTTGTTCGACCTTAGTTATCAGAATTAACATTTTTGATGATTCTTTTGATAATTTCACAGTGAGTATTAATTTCTTCTGTTATATTGCTTCAGGTTTGCAAACTTTTCTCTGTGGGAGAGCAATGACTAAAGTTCGTGGGACTGATGTAAGTTTTGATTTCCCCTTAACTGATGAAAATTTGATATAATATTTGGTTAATCTGCCGATGTGAGTCTTGATTGTACGGTATTGATGTGTAATGTTAGCTTCTGAAAGTGACTATTAGTTTATTTTGTTCTGATTTGTGATTGGTTTTGGCAATTGTTATAGAAGGCGAAGAAAAAGGGCAAACTTGATTCTGGACCGGATTTCAAGATAATGGCTCATGAGCATGCTGAGTTTTTTGATAACTTGATAGAGCTCATCCCTGCGAGATTCTACCTACCCGATGAGACAGAGAGGAAGTGGTTTCCAGGTCTAAGCAAGGCTCAGAAAGCTAAAGCCAAGAGGAAAACAAACGAAAACCTCAAGAGGGCGAGGAGGGATAGGTTGGACCCTGAGAAGGCTTCTTTGTCGACTCTTGATCTGCAGAAGAAGAAGATAGAGAAGGAGAAAATGATTAGTAAGAAGGAAGAAGATAGCAGCAAGCCTAAGACTAGTGGCTTTAAGAAAGATGAGTCTGTGTCTCTTGACGAGTTGAGGCAACGTCTACACCGCAAAATCGATGAGCTTAAAGGTGGTCGTGGAGGCTCAGACGGACCAAGAATCCATGAAAGGAGGAGGTTGCTGCCAAGTAAGAGAAAGAGGGAGTTAGATTATGAGGAGAAGACTGTGGAGGAGAATAAGTCAGCAGCAGATAAAGGTAAGGGAAAGCTGGATGTTGAAGAGGCTGCTAAGGACCTTACCTTTGGTTATTTCAAGGTTGATGACGATTCGGAACACGGGAAAGACAAAAAGAAACGGAGGGTTTCAAAGGCGCAGGAGCTTGAAAGAGCTATGAAGTTAGCGGATGCGAAGAAGGATCCAGAGAAAGGTGAAGTGATTGCGAAGAAGCACTCGTGGCAGGCGGCGACAAGCAGAGCAGCTGGTATCAAGGTTCATGATGATCCAAAGCTGTTGAAGCAGAGCATCCACAAAGAGAAGAAGAGGCACGAGAAGAACGCAGAGAAGTGGAAGGAGAGAATTGAAGGACAACAGAAGGTTAGAGTGGAGAGGCAGCAAAAGAGATCAGGGAACATTGCGGATAGGATTGAGCAGAACAAGTTGCGGAAAATCGCCAAGAGGGAGAAGAAGCTCCTGCGTCCTGGCTTTGAAGGCCGCAAAGAAGGGTTTATCAATGAAGGTGGAAAGTAAAACACAAATCTTCCAACATTTCGAAGATGTGATCATCACAACGGCTGTGAAGAGGGTTTGCACATCTGAAATAGGAAAACAACTTTTGCCATTTAGGGAATTTTCATCTAGTCAAGTCCCTTGCAATATCTGTTATCTCTTTTCTTCGTTTTGTTTTGCAGTTTGTAGACTTATTAAGTGTTCTATTTGCTACTCAATGTGTTCCTTACAGTTTATGGTTTTGTCAAGTTTTGAAATAGAATTTGCAGTTTCTATACAAATTTGTTAATGAAATTAATTTAGCAGATTACATTCAAGCTAAAATCTCAATGTTACTTGTGGTAATTTTGGTTTTAACTTGATTGCAACATTTATGAGAAATCATATTGAACCGATTTGAATTGAACAATTCTGGTGTGGTGTAGCTCGGATTTCTCAAGAAAGATCTTTTAGGTGCGAGCTCTTGAACCGATGTAGATGATAGAACTACACAAACGTGTCTGATTTTGAACGGTAACCTTGCTAAATAAACAAAAACTTGGATAAAGCTTAAAAGAGAAAGTCAAAAAAGGTCGGCAAGGAATCTCAAGACACGTGCCCCAAGAACATGGCCGGAGAATCTCGAAAACTCTCTTACTCATCATCACTCCCACACGTGTGATAAATGACGTGTGTTCATCCGTCACATATTAGCACACTCCAAACCTTATATAAACCATCAAGAGACCCAACCTTTGATTTTCAACTTAAAACTCCATTAAGAAGAGAAAAAAAAACAATGGAAGCTATTTCTCAAACCTGCACAAAGATCATCACAAACCGATCTATGAGAGCTGATCAAAACCTCGTTCCATTCAACGAGATTCCGACCAACCTGAGCCTTAACTCCGGGAAGGAGAGGCGAGTTGCTGCAGCTAGATGCGTGGCGTCAGGCTCGGGATATGCAGCGGCATTAGAACCAATTACACCGGAGGAAGAGGAGGAGCTGACTCAGAGAAGAGGGATATGTGGCGGAGAAGGAAACAGAAGAGTATGGGAGCTCTTGGAATGCCTAGAGAAGGAAGCTATAATGGGGGATGACGACGGGAGAGACCCTAAAGACTACAACAGAAGAGCAAAGATTTTTGACAAGAGTTCGAAGATCTTCAAGAACATCAAAGAACAGAGTGAACAGTCTCCGGAGTAAAAGAAATCTCATTTTCTTGTAATAATAACATTTGTGTTTGATTCATTGTAACACGGATCTTAACAATGGATATTTGGACCTTTTTTATTCTACATAAAGAATCCAAATTGAAAAGGTCGATCTAGCTTTCTTTGAGAGAAATCTCCTAATCTAATAATCTTTAGTTAATCTCCACTATAGTTTACTTTTTGAATTCAGAGGATCCTAATCAAAAGTAAAAATCATCTCTAGTCTCCGTAGAGACAGATTTTGAGGATAAACAGTTATTGATTTTCAGACCGTAAAAGATATATTCCGTTGACCTCACTTTATGTTTCTCCGTACGATGTCAAGTGGCTGAAGAAGTGGTCCGACGTCACTCGTAGTTGAAACGTCAACGTTTCAGTTTCGTTTTCCTCTTCTAACGACGTCGTTTTGCCCCCACTTCTTCTTTCTCCTCTCTTTAGTCATTTCATTTGATCATCTCTGAATATCTTGTTCCCTCATCACTCTTCTCTCTGCTTGAAGAAGGATATATCTTTATTTCGCGAAACCAAGCCAAATTTTCTAACTAATCCTTCTAACGTGCTTAATTCTATCTTCTATTTTCCGATTTAAATTAGGTTTTCAGTAAATTTTCGATCTTTCGATTCCATGTCGGGAAAAGGGCTATCTCCGGCGACGTTCAACGTTCCGCCGATGATCGTCCAAGATGCTGACCCGTTACGATTCCGGGTAGGCGAACAGGACCCTAAAACCCGTGAATTCGCGGCCTTTATCGGCGACCACCACCGGTATTTCGCGGCGGCAGCAGCCGCCGCAGCTGCAGCAAACCCTCACCCTCATCTGGAGTTCCGGCAGAATTTCTACTCGGAGAAACCCATTAGCGGAAACCCTCAGGACAGTGGTGGATCCGACGGCGAGGATGACGTTGATGTCGAAGAAGACGACGAAGATGACGACATAGACGGAAATGAAGGCGATGGCATGAACAAAGACGCCGGTGAAGATAGTTTATCAGCAGGAGGAGGAGCTGGTAAGAGAATCTGATTAAAGTTTGTGTTTTTGCCTTTTCTAGTGTGGAAAGTTTATATTTTTTGAGATGTTGAAGCATTGGACTTTTTTTTCCCTCTGGTAATGTTATCTATGCAGTGATGGTGGTTGGACAAGATAACGCAGCTTACTACTCTCAGGATTTTAAGACAATGGAAGCGAGTTTTGTTCCTAGGCATGAGGAATCATCATCAGTCGCTGCAGAAAACGGTTGTGATTTCAGTGGCAGAAGAGACCCTTCTTCTTCTTCCAGCAATTCCATCGAGTCTTTGAGGACCATTTTGTCTGATCCCACAACGTATGTTCTTTCTTTTGTTTTCGCTTGATTTCTATTGTTCTTTGAGGACCATTTCTTAGGATACTTGAAACTGTTAGATTGGTATGGATCATGCTTGTGTTTAATGTATAGTCTGTTTTTTTGTGTCTTTGCAAAAATTGTAGAGGGATTTTGATGGCTGATGCTATGATTTTGCCATGCGGACACACTTTTGGTTCTGGAGGGATAGAACAAGTAAAACAGATGGTACTTAATTTTGTTTCTTCAAATCACAATCTCTTCTTTTACTCTGTGCTGTTTGTTTTTGTCTCTCTGCTTATGAAGTCTATGTTTCGTGGTGCTCTCTCTTAGAAAGCTTGCTGCACATGTTCGCAGCCGGTCTCAGAAGAGTCGATAACCCCAAATCTCAGTGAGTAAACTATTCATCTTCATAGATTCTGTCATTTGGGTGTTGTCTCAGAGAATTCATTGTCTTTACATTCACTGCAATTGACGCAGCTCTGCGAGTAGCAGTACAAGCATTCTGCAGAGAAGAGAAGTCACAGTCGAACCATTCATCAAAGCGAAAACGAGAAGGATTTGATCAAGTAACTCAATACACTAGTTACTAATCATCATCATATTGATCTCTCATTTCTGTTCCAGCAAGAGATTTATTTTCCCGTAAATGCAGGAGAGACGCACATTTGGTGACTCGACTCATACAGGTCGTTCAAGGAACAAAAGTAATCATTTCCCTTTTGCTGTGGCAGATCGAGTCATAATAAAGGTCAATCCCCTTTTTTCTTGTTTTTCGTATAGCAAATGTACATTTTCTTGATAACTTGATAACTGTTGGGTTTACGTTAACCGGTTGGAGTCGAATATGAATCAGGGAAACAAGAGGACACCGCCTCGTTTTGTAGGACGGGAAGCTGTTGTGACTACTCAATGCTTGAACGGCTGGTAAACTCTCACAAAAGATTTCAACTATTTCTTGCTGCAAACTTGTGTAGACTTGTGTATAAATGTTTCTGTAACTTGTGGCAGGTATGTGGTGAAAACGCTGGACAATGCAGAGAGTGTGAAGCTTCAGTATCGTTCACTGGCTAAAGCTGCAGAAGATCCATCAGGCAAGGGAACACAAAGCAAGATGGTCTCTAATTGGCTCTAAACAAACCAACATTATCATAGCATGATGACGACGAGACCAGTTTATGTCATAGGTTCTCCATGTAAAGAACCAAAAACTTAAATCTACAGATCACTCTGTTACATAATGTAAATTGCAGTAGATTGAAGAAATTAGGACCTGGTATAAGATCCAGAACTTGTACTAGCTGAAACATATTCAGATCACGGTCCAATAAATACATGTTAAGTGCCCAACAAGGATTCAATCTCGAAGTTGGACCAAACGATGCAAATGTAAAACAGGCCCAACACGGAGCCAATCTCATTCAAATCTGGAGCCACAACGGATAGAGAGGAAGGTAATCAATGCGGTGCAGCAAAAAGCAACGTACAGAGTCAGAAAAGCACAAGCACGGGGACGAAGCAAAGATGACGAAGAATTGTTGGATATTTAAGTGAATAAGGTGTTACAACATAACCAAGGTGTTCCAACATGTTGCGAACAGTTACTTTGGTTCAATCATTAAACGAACGGTTGCAAACGTTTCGTTGAGGCCTTATGAGAACTTTATAAGTTCTGTTGTCTCTCTGAGACAGTTACAGAAGAAATTCGAGATCTACAGTGATAGATCTGATTCACAAAAGCAACCAAAGTAAACACACACAAGATCTCTTCTTGTTACTCTTTGATCTTAAGCCTAGACAAAGAGTGGACGTGATTGTCTTATCCTGCGAGGGATTTCGTGTAACCCAAGGCTGTATAGGGTCGAAATACTCTTTAAGGAAACTGCTTCGTACAGGATTCAATCACAATCCAAGATACCCAAATTTTTCTCTCTGAAACACAGTTTTCATTGTTCCAACACCCTGCGCTCTGTTCCAACACCACGAAACAGAGGAGATAAACCAACAATCTTAAAGAGTATTTTCTGAGAACGATGGCTGGTGTTTCTGTGCGTGAGATGACAACCAACTTTGGGAAGTTAGACAAGTTTGAAGGGATCGATTTCAGAAGATGGCAGAAGAAGATGCACTTTCTTCTCACAACACTCAATGTTGTTCATGTTCTAAGCATGCCGATGCCTCTTGTGACGGTAGATCCAGCGAGTGAGGAGTATGCAGAGCAAGCAAGGAGACAACTCAAATGGAAGAATGATGACTACATCTGTCATGGCACATTCTCAATGGTATGTCTGATTCTCTGTTTGATGTCTATCAAAATGTCCAATCCGCAAAGGAATTGTGGGATGCGTTGGAAGCAAAGTACATGGCAGAGGATGCTTCTAGTAAGAAGTTCCTTGTGAGTAATTTCAACAATTACAAGATGTCTGATACAAGACCAGTGATGGAGCAATACAATGAATTGCTTCGCATATTGGGCCAATTTGCTCAGTATGATATGAAGATGGATGAGTCCATCTCTGTGTCAAGTATCATTGACAAGTTGCCTCCTTCCTGGAAGGATTTCAGGCGAACTTTAAAGCACCAGAAGGAAGAGTTGTCTTTGGTACAACTTGGCAGCCACTTGCGCATAGAGGATTCTCTGAGAATGCAAGAGGGTGGAAAACCCAAAGTGGCTGAAGGCTTCTTCTATCAACATGATGGAGGAGGTGATGATTCTAAGTGGAAGAATAAAGGGAAGAAGCGTCCCTTTAACAGCAACACTCACAATCGATCCAACAAGAGGTCTAAACCTGTCTGTTGGAATTGTAACAAGCCTGGTCACTTCAAGAGTGATTGTAGGGCTGGAAAGGATAAGGATAAGACGCCTCAGAAGCGTTTTGGGCAAGGGTCTAAGGACCAAGGCCAATCACCACATCAAGGTCAGATTTCTGAGATTGATACATTTCCTAAAGTGTATTATGTATCAAAGATATCTGAGGCATGTTATGTGCAGGATGATGATGTGTCGTGGTGGATTGACTCGGGTGCAACAACACATGTTTGCAAAGATCGTGGCTGGTTCAAGTCTTATGAAGCAGTGGAAGATGGATCTGTTCTTTATATGGGCAACGAGTCAACTGCTCCTATCCTTGGTCGTGGAAAAGTGGTGCTGGAGTTTAGTTCTGGGAAATCTCTTCATCTTGATGATGTTATTCATGTACCCAGAATTAGGAAAAACTTAGTTTCTGGAAGTGTTTTAAACAAGTCTGGTTATAAACAAGTGTATGAGTCTGATAAATATGTACTGTCCAAACGTGGTCTCTTTGTTGGATTTGGATACTTTTGTAATGGCATGTTTATGCTTAATATTAATAAAGTTATCAATTCTAGTTATATGACATGTTCCAACACTGATCCGCCTTGAACAACAGTCGGAAATGATAGTTTCTTATGGCATATGAGATTAGGCCATGTACATTATGCTAGGATGCTTGAAATGTCGAAGGAAGGTTTAATTCCTGGTTTTGACATGAATGTAGAGAAATGCAGAACATGTATGTTGACTAAGATAACTAGGAAGAAATTTGATAGCATTGTTAGGGTATCGGAAGTCCTTGGACTGATTCATAGTGATTTATGTGATTTGCATGCTACACCATCTCTGGGGAATAAGAAATATTTTGTCACATTCATTGATGATTATTCCAGATATTGTTCTGTATATTTGTTGCACTCTAAGGATGAAGCCTTAGAGAAATTCAAGGTTTACAAAACTGAGGTTGAATTGCAACAAAGTAACTTGATTAAAAAGTTACGCACCGATAGAGGTGGTGAGTATTATGATCCTGCTTACTTTCAGTCTGTGGGTATAATACATGAGGTCACAGCTCCTTATACACCACAACAAAATGGTGTATCTGAGAGGAAGAACAGAGTCCTTAAAGAAATGGTTAATTCCATGTTATCCTACTCTGGATTGAGTGACGGTTTCTGGGGTGAGGGCATGTTAACAGCATGTTACTTGTTGAACAGAGTTCCTAACAAAAGGAACAAGATAACCCCATATGAACTTTGGTACAAAAAGAAGCCTAACTTGAACTACCTTCGAGTTTGGGGCTGCAGGGCTGTAGTAAGACTACCCCAACCAAAGATAAGAACTTTGGGAGAAAGAGGTATTGATTGCATCTTTATTGGTTATGCTGAGCATTCCAAGGCTTATAGGTTCTATGTCATTGAACCTAATGATTCTATAGCAGTTCACACTGTGATTGAGTCAAGAGATGCAATATTTGATGAGAATCGTTTCACATCAATACCTAGACCAAAGGATCTGGTTTCGTTTGGAACTGGACAAGGAGATGGTACAAATGTACGTTCCAACATCTCGGCTTGTGTTCCAACAACCAGCGAGTCACCTGTACTTCGTAGAAGTAAGAGAGGAAGGATTGAGAAATCATTTGGTCCTGAATTCCAAATTTATTTGGTAGAAGGTTCAAGAGATGAGATTGTTCTACAATACTCATATTGTTACCTAGTTGGTGATGAACCTAGGACATTCAGTGAAGCTATGGCTTCTATTGATGCTGCTTTCTGGAAAGAAGCTGTAAATGATGAGATGGACTCTATAGTAGGAAGCAATACTTATTTCCTGACTGATCTCCCACCTGGTTGCAAAGCTTTAGGCTGCAAGTGGATTTTCACAAAGAAAATGTTGATCGGTGGTGCAATCGATAAGTTCAAAGCTCGATTGGTTATACAAGGTTTTAGACAAAGGGAAGGCATTGATTATTTTGATACATATGCTCCTGTTGTCAGAATCTCTTCTATAAGGTTCTTGATTGGTTTAGCAGCCATTCATGATCTTGTGATCCATCAAATGGATGTTAAGACTGCATTTTTAAATGGTGTCTTGGAAGAAGAGGTGTATATGGAACAACCAGAGGGATTTGTTGTGCCTGGAAGTGAGCACAAGGTGTGCAAGCTGGTGAAATCACTGTATGGGCTGAAACAAGCTCCTAAGCAATGGCATCAAAGATTTGATGAAGCTGTCTTGTCTTTTGGTTTTAAGATTAACCAATCAGATAAGTGTTTATATAGCAAGTTTGATGATTCCAGTAATGGAGTGATCATTTGTCTATATGTGGATGACATGTTGATCTTTGGTACCAACCTTAGATTAGTGGAACTCACAAAAGAGTTTTTGTCATCAAATTTCGCCATGAAGGACATGGGGGAGGCGGATGTGATTCTTGGCATTAGAATCAAGCGTGACAATGGGAGGATATGTTTATCACAATCTCACTACGTTGAGAAAGTGTTAAAGAAGTTCAATTACTTGAACTGTGCCCCTGTAAGTACTCCCATGGAGGCAAGTGTAAAACTTATGCCTAACACAGGAAAGGCTGTGTTGCAACACGAATATTCTCAAGTGATTGGATGCTTAATGTATGCAATGACAAGCACAAGGCCAGATATTGCATATGCAGTTGGAAGGTTGAGTAGATACACTAGTAATCCTAGTACTCACCATTGGCAGGCTGTAAAGCGTGTGCTCAAGTACTTGAGAGGAACCATGGACTATGGTTTGTGTTATGGAGGATTTCCTTCGGTTTTGGAAGGTTATTCTGATGCAAGTTGGATCACCAACGTGGAAGATCATACTTCTACAAGTGGTTGGGTGTTCCTACTTGGGGGAGGTGCCATTTCTTGGGCATCTAAGAAACAAACTTGTATCACAAGTTCGACTATGGAATCTGAGTTTGTGGCTTTGGCAGCTGCTGGTAGAGAGGCTGAGTGGTTGAGAAACCTTGTCTCTGAGATTCCATTGTGGTCGAAACCAGTGTCTCCTATCTCAATCCATTGTGATAGTCAAGCAACTTATGGCTAAGGCTTATAGCCAAGTGTACAATGGAAAGTCGAGACACCTTGGCGTAAGGCATAGCGCTGTTCGTGAATTGATCACTCACGGTGTGATAACTTTAGAGTTTGTTCGGTCTCAGCAGAATCTAGCAGATCACTTGACGAAGGGTCTGTCTAGGGACTTGGTAATAAAGTCAGCTGAAGGGATTGGTTTGAAGTCCATCTCAAACCTCTAGTCGTGGGACACCCAACTCCCTTCTAGTACAACGCTAGGAGCTGAGTTCAAGGTGAGCCCATTCCTTGAGAGGTTGTAGCACTGTTTATGTAATCCCAAAGGAAGTGCTTATTATCTGCATGAAAGTTTAGGTTGAAGTATGACTTCTTAATAGATCCTTTGAAAAATTGCAAATGCAGAAGCAAGATGTAAAGGATCTACCTATGTGAGTGTGAAGTGTAGCCGCTTCAAGAAGCTTGGACTTGGCTTTCTATGCACTCATGAGAGGATTGGACACATGGCTGTTAATAGTGTCAAGAAACATTAAGAGTAGTGAGAAACTCATGCGTGTTTCACCCTCTCGTGGCCAAAGTAGTTGATAAGTTCAATCCATAGGACACTTTGATTCTCGGTCATTAGATGCGTGTGATTCACAGTATGTAAATTCAATCGATACGACATTTATATATATGCATGTGGTTTGGTTTATTCGTTGCTGGATTTTGTGAATGAAAGATTACACTTAAATGGGGGAGGAATGTTGGATATTTAAGTGAATAAGGTGTTACAACATATACCAAGGTGTTCCAACATGTTGCGAACAGGTGTCTTTGGTATAATCATTAAATGGACGGTTGCAAACGTCCATTGAAGCCTTATGAGAACTTTATAAGTTCTGTTGTCTCTCTGAGACATGACAGAAGAAATTCGAGATCTACAGAGATAGATCTGATTCACAAAAGCAACCAAAGTAAACACACACAAGATCTCTTCTTGTTACTCTTTGATCTTAAGCCTAGACAAAGAGTGGACGTGATTGTCTTATCCTGCGAGGGATTTCGTGTAACCCAAGGCTGTATAGGGTCGAAATACTCTTTAAGGAAACTGCTTCGTACAGGATTCAATCACAATCCAAGATACCCAAACTTTTTCTTTTATCTCTGAAACACAGTTTTTGTTGTTCCAACACCCTGCGCTCTGTTCCAACACCGCGAAACAGAGGAGATAATCCAACAGAATCTTGTACGAACAAACGCGTTTGTGATTCAATTATTCAAATGGATTTGAAGCGGTTGGATCCTTAGCTGCGACAGGATTTCGACACCTGGCAAAGACCTCTAAGGTTTCCATCTTTGTGTATAAATAGATAAACTCTCCATTACAAACTTGTTTAAAAGTTGAAAATTTTTATGAAATACATCTCTTGAGGTGCAAATTTTCAAAACTCCACCTATAGTGTGGAAATTTTCAAAAATACACATTTTCCCAATTTTAATATATATATTTGGGTTCACTAATCCTATATTAGGGTTTAGATTTTGGGGTTTAGGGTTTAGATTTAAGGGTTCAATATTAGATTTTAGGGTTTTGGATTTATATTTTAGGGTTTAGAGTTTTTTTACTAAATGAAAAAAGTGTAGTTTTGAAAATTGGTATCATTGTATTTTTGAAAATTTGCACCTCAAGAAGTGTAGTTTTGAAATTTCGCCTTAGAAGTAACAAACTCTTCACCGTTGATTTCTCTTGTTTCTTCTCTCTCATCTCTTCTCTCACTGTCTGCAAACCATGTCGATGGCACCACCACCACCAACTGTCCGGGCTCCTCTGACGATTCTGAGCTGCGAGTCCACCGAGAACCATGTTGTCATCATCTACTAATGCGCCTGCCGCAACACGGTGCATATCCGCGTTTACAGGCATGGAATGCTGTTTAAATACGCTAAGCCTCTGGATGACTCCATCGAGCAACGCTTCCCCAAGGTGAAAGTGGACTGGGTCGGTGAGCGAGTCCGCGTAGAGAGCGTCTGCGACTGCAACGGTGGATGCCGGTTCACTCGTGAAGAAGGTGTACTCGGAGCCGTTGAAGTCATCGCCAAGCTTACCTCTGCTTTGTAGTTTAGCTTTGCTTGGATTTCAACTATGGACTTGTGGCTGGACAAGTCAAGTTTGAGTCGTGTCTTAGAGTTCTGAGTCTTAGTTGTGTTTTAGTGTGTCAAGTCAATAATAGACCTCGAGTCTTGTGTTAGGTTTGTTATTCGGTTCTGATTTGCAAGAGTCTCTCTGTTTAGGAGTTCAGTTGTTGTAATGGCTTTGTAAGCCCGTGTCTTTCTAATTTGGAATAAACAGCCTTCCTGAATTTTCACGAACTTCGAATCAGATACGAACAAAAACAAACAGACGAAATTATATGTGTGGTAATATCTCAACTTCTTGTACCAATTGCTTCTCTTCTTCTGATCGCGTTTGGTCGAGCTGGTTAAACAGAGTCATCATCCATCTTTTGATATGACAGTCGAGGCATGGTTTTAGAGTCGGTGCTGAGCTCATATGATTCTGTTCTTGGCTCTTGAAATCTCTAATAATTGAAGACAAGATGTAGCATTTTCTGAATTTTGGTGTAGTGATCTTTCTGATCATCTTCATAGATACAAAGACAACAAATTAACAACCCTTAGCAAGTGAAACTTACTATTATTTCTCTCCATTGGTTTATCTTGCTTGTGAGTGTAGTAATCTTCAGACAAAGAGCTTTTAGTGCTCCATGTCACTGTTACATACTGTAAGTTATGCCAAATGTCTGGAGATCTTACGCCATGGACAAGATCCAGACTATTAACTGGTGGAACATATTCCGGATCATGATTCAATACACTCAACACAAAGACAAGTTTATAACTTTCAGGTCTTAACTAATTCAGCATACTAAGGTTCTCTTATTGTAGAACAAAATTGCAGGAAGCAAAGAAAGAAATCTATGAAAGAAGTAAAGAGAAAGCTGATGAGCAAGTGTGCTCGTAGTGTTACAGATGATACAATGGAAAACTCTGCTATGAAAGCTTACACTAAAGTAACTGAAGAAAAAGTTGTCAACTAAAAGGCTTAAAATCAGAAACCGGGTCAGAAGTTTAAAGGAGTTCAGGTACATGTTATGTTCTCCTTTGATGCTAGAAAATTGCAGGTCGAGTATATGGAGGCTGCGGCTGCTCTAACCACCAAATCCTTATCTGAGACCAACGCATCCGCAGCTCTGCAACACAATTTTGACAGCAGGGAAACTTACAAAGATTAGGACTCTGGGAAACAGATTTCAACAGTGTAATGTGATGAACAAGAAGTGAAATGGCCATACCTAGAGTGCATTGGCATTCCTAACTGTAAGAAATTCTGACCAGAAGTCAAGCTCAAATGCTGCAGACCACTTTCACAATGTATTTGCAGTTCTCTCACTTGGTTTAACCAGCTTTCCTGAATATTCAAGTTCACAATCTCCAAATCAGATACCAACAAAAAAACGAAACAACAATGAAAAGAAGGAGATATGTGGTGGTAAAGATATCTTAAACTTGTTTACCAATTGTTTCTCTTCTTCTGATAGCGTTTGTTCGAGTTGGCTAAACAGAGCCATCCATCTGGCCTTGTGGATATCGACTGTTGAAGCCCTGGAAGCCCCATGGAGGAGTAAATTTGGGTCATTCTCTTGATCAGTTGGGAATTCTTTCCTTATTATTAAAGGTAGCTCTGTCATAACAACTGCTCGAACCCTCTTCTTGCTACGCCGAAGAGCTGAAAAGTACAACAAAAAGGATTCTCAATACCAACCGAGTATTGTAGTTTTCAGTTTGAATCCATGAATGATATAAGTGAGTGTTTTTACCAGAAACACGTCCTTTGATGTCCTGATGAAGCAATTCTAACCATTGAGAAGCTACTGTAGCCGCTGCAAATCAAAGCTGAAGATCAGTCTAGGCCTTATATGATGCATAGTTTAACACAATGCACATTTGGTAGTAAAAATTATACCTTTTACAGTGAGAACACTAGCACAGTTAAGATCTGCCGTGTCCTCGCTCGACAAGGAACTGGCATTCTCCGAGAATTTACTTGCTCCCTGCAACCTCGACCCAAATGTATTGTTTTCTTCACTGAGCTCACCATCTGCGTACTTCTCCTCGTAGTATCGCATAGAGTAGCTATCTTCTGGCATGGCATACTTGAAGCCATCAGTGTTCACATCTTCCAAGTGCTTCCTGGAAGTCCCAGCTGTAGTATTACTATGCCTCATCGAGTGGTGATAGAAGTTTCCAGAATCTCTTTCAGACTTGACAATGCTTTCAATAATGGACAGTACTTGCTTCTTGTTTCTCACGTGGTTTATAATCCCAGGGTTCAGTTCATTGAGCAGTCCACTAGGAGCAGCTAGCCTAGCAAACCTGTCAACTTCTTCCTTCCTTGCAATCTCTATCTTTCTCTTCTTCACCATTGCAGCGTCATTATTGTTGTTCTTGATTTTGCGACCACGTTTCCTTGGCACAGGTATTCCTCCATGAGAAGATGAGACGACGCAGCTGCTTGATGTTACTGAAATCCCACCGTGTGGATTAGAAAGAAACCCGTTCTGTTTCATTGCTTCCCACCGCTTCATCCCCTGATCTTTTTCCTCAACAGGTACATTGGAACTCCCACACTCGGAGTAAACATCAGTCGAACTTGATTTATCGTGTCTCCTGGAGGAACAAACCGATGATAACTCATCATTCACGCAGCTGGAAACAGCATGGTCCTGAAGCTCTAGTCCACTTCTCTTCACCAAACTTCGCTTCTCACAATCAACATCTATGTTGAGATGAAGCTTACTGGATAAAGGATTGACCTCTTGACCCAGCAATTCAGTCTGGTTACTCTTTCCTTCTTTAACTTTACCAACTTGAGACATTTCATTGGCCTTAGAAGCATGACCACTGTTACCTATAGCATAAATGGAAAGCCAAAGGATGGTTCAAGTTACATTTTGAGGGGTCTGATATCAGAAAATTTTACAATCCTAAAATAGTCAAAGAGTTTAAGTTCCATCATATGCCTTTCCTAGACTCAAAACACACAATTGAAACCATAGTATATAGGGGAATGTGTATGGAATCATAAATTACCTGAATTTAGAATTGGGGTAACCGGTTGAATTTTACTCAATTCATGTCTTTCATCCAATTCAGCGCCTCCGATCTAAATCCCAGAAACCGAGAAAGGTAAAGCAAATTATAATTAGATCGAAAAATTAAAACGTCCAAGTATATCAGCAAACGAACAAAATTAGTCCAACGAAAACCCAAAAAACAAAGGAAAGGTGAAGAAGTTACCTTTAAATCGGATCTGGGAATCGATGAAACCCCTCCAGAAACATCGTGGTGTTCTTCCATGGCGAGTCGATTATTACCTCCGGACAAACCCAGAAATTTACCCTCGAAAATGTGTCGAGAAAGGGCACAAAATTTCTATAAAATTGTAGGGAATCCAGAGAAATGGAAATTACAGGTTCCTTTAACCCTCGAGAGAAAATACCCAAAAAGGAGATCGAGGGTTCGGGTGAGTTAGTCTAGGGTTTAAGATCTGATGGTCAATTGGTAGAGATCCGAATGTGAATTTGAGACCCTAAAATCGGAGAGGAGGGAGAGAGAGAGAGAAGAAGAAGAGAAGGAGGAAGAAGAGCGCGCGATGTGGGCGTAGTTTAATAATTTCTGACAAACAACAAATGTATTTATTTTTCGTATTTTGGGTTTTGTGGGGATCTCTCTTTAAGGTTTTCAAATTCAAACCAGACTTCCACGTGATTTGGAGGGAATAGTGGTTCGGGCCTTTCAAAATGAATCTTCTGTGAGCTCATTACAAAATTCTCTGAGTCACAGGCCTTTTTAACTTTTCCCAAAGGCCAAAAGTTAGTTTTACGAAATAAATAATTTTTAAAAAATTGACTACAACTACAAGAGGGCTTATACAAGTGATTAACATTTGTTTTTAAATACATTTTTAATTTTTGATTGCTAATAATATGTGTAAAAAACTAAAAATGCAACATCAAATACGAATATATGAAACTCACAAAAAAATATACATATATCTATGTGGAAAACAAAAATTAAAACAAAATGCATATGCAAATGTAAATTCGAATGGTGACAAACCAGATACTAGTGTATATGAGATTAATTTTGGTAAACTGGGAATTGAGAAAACAGAATTGATATTTCACAAACTGGCCAAATGTATTTACAAGATGAAACAGAGGTTTCGAATATTAATTTCCCACAAGCCAACAATTTCTAAGTTGAGATTCAGTTGTCTCCCTAAAACTCGACACCTTAGCTAAGCAGAAATGGGTACAACGCATACCCAGACCCGACCCGGATCCTGACCCAACCCGTGTCGTCTTCAGCAGATAGCAAACCGGTCCACACTCCACTCCTTTCCCCTGCACCACCAACCCCCACGCACGTGTGCCGTCGCCACCGTCAAAGCCACAACCACAGCTCTCCTCCGACTTCTCTCCTAACTGCTCCACGAATATAATCCCCTCCGGCATCTCCGCCTCTCCTTTCTCCCATCTCCCCTTCACCGCCGCCCATTCCTCCGCTTTCATCACCACCACCGTGCCGTCCTCCTTATCTCCGGCGTGAAGATGGACTAACAACGGCGCTTCGCTTAAATTCTTCACGATCTCCGTCACCGATACCTTCATCCACCTGTCTACCTTCTCACGCGCCGCCTCCACCGCTCTACGATCTCCACCTCCTCTGTTTCTCCTTCCTTTCTGCTTCTCTATCTCCGTCACGGCCTCCACCATCGAAGCCGAGATCGTTCCGACGTTGGATCGGCGATTACCGTCGCGATTGGTTGGGAACGACGATGAAAGCAATCTCGCGTTATGATCGGATCCATACGGGAGCTCCAATACGCCGCAGTGCACCAGATAACTACCACGGTAACCGATTTTTGCGTAGGCCATCTTTCTTCGGTGGCGAGATTTTCACGTCCGATCAAAGTATCTTTACCACAAAACCGAAAAACTAAACCTCTTTGGATGCCAATTCGTTTATATCCTCGTCGGATTTTGCAGATCAACGGCGAGGATTGAGGTGGAGAGAAATCCAGCTGTCGGATGAGAAGGAAGCGTTTTAACGTAAGGAGGTGACTTAAATAACGCCTAGGTTTCTGAACATGCTGACGTCAGTCTCATTTGACTTGTTATTATCAGGTGTGACTTAATCCATGCTAAGTCCAGATGCACCGTAAGTAAGTGAATGTTTTACTGGTGGCTAATCATTGCATGGAAGTATGAATGTATAACAGAGGAGGAAGTTATGGTTGCACAATAGGAATCCCGCAGTGGATTGCTGCTGCTCAGTGAGACAGTGGAACGATGTCAATGATGAAAGAACTTTAAGGAAATAACGGCGTTTTTTTAATATTCCGGACAGACCCGCTGCCGGCGAGTGTCGTTTGATCTCAGCCGTGAGATCATCATATTACGCTTTTGAGAGACTAGATCGGACGGTTTAAACGAGACATAGAAATCTTTAGGCACGTGGGAATGTGATTTGGGTGCGTGGAGATCTCGGAGTAACACGCGACCCTCGTCTTCTTAACACATGTTTGCCACGTCAGTTCAATGTTCATGTGAAAAATTAAGGTTCCAAAAAATAAATATATCACATCCTGGTTAGACAATAGATAAACCAACTCATAAAGGTTCTTTTTATTAATCAACTGACCAAGACTAAAATTGAAAACTGTGGAAATTAAATACATATACAATACTGCAATTCTCTTGCTTTATCTACAAGTTGACATAAAAAGAAGAAAATAAAAGAAGAACCAAGCATTTTCTAGACTGATTATATAACATACCGTTACATGCAATCTTTACTTTCTCAATTAGATTGGGTAAACCTGTGGAGCCAAACGAGGTGTTGCAACCGCGTGCAAAGGTTTTGCCATGAAAAGGTCACTCTTGCTTTCAGAAACGTCAATTTTACCATCGCCAGGCACTGACCACGTGAACCCTTGAATCAACCGAGCCAGCAACATGTACGTCATGGCCGACCCAATGTTCACACCCATACATCCTCTTCGTCCCGTGCTGAACGAAATTATATTGAGGTTTGGATCGTTCAGCTCCACGTTTATGTTATTCCCCAAATGTCTCTCGGGGTCGAACTTAAGTGGATTCTCCCACACGTTAGGGTTTCTGCCGATTCCCATACGACTAATCAGCACGTGGCTTCCCTTGGGGATGAAGTAACCGTCCACCACTGTGTCGGCTGTGGACATATGAGGGAGGTTGAATGGCGCTATAGGGTGTAACCGGAACGCCTCTCTCGCACATGCCTTCACGTAGTTGAGATTTGGAAGATCGGATTCAAGGACAAAACGATCTTTTCCTACCACTCGGTCGATCTCTTCCACGGCTTTTTGCATGATGCTTGGCTCGTTAATCATCTCCGCCATGGCCCACTCCGCCGCATTCGACGGATTATCCACCGTCGCCAACATTAGTTCCTGCATAATCCAACAACGAAACTAGTAAACAACCTAACTTTTTTATTATTTCTTCTACTAATTAAACGTTTATTGTAATTAAATTAAATACTCACTGTCTCTGCTAGATTATGCACATTATTCTTTTCTTACATGAGTATATATATGCATATTTTCAAGAAATTTGTGCATGTTATACTAAAAATCTATGTAGGTATTTAAGAACATATATGTGTGCAACTACTACCCGTATTCAAAATTAATGTCAATCATTTTGTTTGAAATATAAAAATATATATCCACACATGTAATAAATTTTGTATTATTATGTCTTCATCTATAATAAATTTTTAAATTTTATCTCCACACATAGTGTGGAAACAAATACCTAATCTTATATATAATCAATAGTATTATATTATTATGCATACCGTTACTTGTGCTTTGATCTCTTCGTCCGACAGAGCAGGCTTCCCATTGGTGTCTTTCGCCATTATAAACATGTCGAGAAAATCTTGAGGCTCCTTCATTTTCCCATTACGCCATTGCATGAGTCTTTCATCGACCAAGGGATCATTGTACTTACTCACATTCCTCATTGCGCCACTCACGATCTTCTCATGACCTTCCAAGTCCAAGATCCGTAGCCACGGGACATAATCCGACAATGCAAAGGCATAAAGATGGATTAAAACCGTAAACAAAGATTCTACATGTTCAATCTCTTCGAACCCTGGTCCTGATCCATCTTCACTTCCTTTGCCGAAATGCCTTACACCAAACATCATCTTCCTAGCTACATTTCCACTATATTGCCGCACCACAAGCCTTAAATCAATAACCGGAGAACCATTAAGGTTTTTGACGCAGCGGTTATTGATAAACCGAACGAGATTATCGGCCTCGTCGGTTCTCTTTTGGTGCATCAGTTCGAAGCTCTTGTGACTCGTCACGTGAGACGCCACCACTCTCCTCATCTTCTTCCACTGCTCACCTTGTGGCTCCACGGCAATGGTTAGGTATCCGCGGCTGCAGTACTCCGTGGCCATAGTTTGCGGTCTAGTGGCGAAAATGGAGTCTTGCTTCTTCAGAATCTCCCGCGCAATCCGTGGTGACGTCACGGAGATCACGTGAGTATTGGCGAGACGGACACATGCAATATCGGTGTTGAGATCTTTCATGAGGGAATGTATCCACCGGAACACCGGTTCTTTCTTCCCTATTATTTCCGGTAGGTTTCCGATTATTGGCCAGTGTACCGGCCCGGGAGGGAGAGAGGGACGGAGGTTTTTGGTGTAGGAGATTTTTGATTTCATCGTCTCCTTACGCTTCATAGCTAACGCAAGGGTGAGGAAACCTAGAATAAATGCAAGCAAGAGGGTGGAGTCGAGCATTATTGTTCTCAACTGTCGAAAGTGATAAGATTTTATTGGAGTTTGAATTGAAGGATTTTTGATTTTCTCTCTCAAAAAAATGAGGAACACGCCCCTTTAAATATGTATGAAGTAACGGTAATGACATAACACTTGTTGTAAGATGTAAATGTGCTAAGAATGTGTAGTCAATCAGATTTGGGGTGATTGTACTAAGATGACAAATCATCTCTTATCCAAACAGAATTTTAATCCATTGTTATTGTAATTATTGTAAGTAATGAATTTTATGTGATTTGTTATTAGTTTAAAGTGATTATGTGGAATCTATTAGCCTTGGTAATTATGTTAATTTTTTAAAGGTTGACCAAAAATGTGCTTTAAATCAAATGTTGGAAGAATAATGCAGCCAGAAATATAATGAATCTGCAGTTTTTCAACAGCTGGCTAATGTATAATGGATATACCGTTTTAATTTGCCAACTTTAGGTTTATTAGATCAAAGCAGATAAAAAACACGTCAGAGATATATAGTTACATTCCAAATTAAGAGTACTAAGAGTGAACATATGTAAAACTCTCAAATACGGATAAGAAAGCATCCTAAGTTAGAGGTAACAACGACATCCAAACCTGAAAAATCTAATTAACCCGCAGCGAAAGACATCTGTGATCAGAGGTGTAACATAGGATTTCTTCTATAGATCTTATAACATTAATGGTAATTAAGACATAAAATCTGATAAACATGATACGTACATATTTAATACAAGAGATAAAATGTAATCAATGATGTGGCTAAGCCTTAGATACATGACATAATGCTTGTCGTAAGAAGTTACATGTGCTTTTAGACAAAAAGAAATGCGATTTTAATGTTGACCCAAAAATAAGGAATCCGCATTTTTTCCAATGGCTAAGGTATAATGTCTAGCTTCCGTTATTATACTATAAATTATATTTTAAAGGTCATAGTCTAGAAAATTAGTTAAAGCAACCAACAAGAATCGATTTTCAACCATACAAAAGAAAGTAGAGACATGTAGTCATAGTTTACACAATAAGTTAAAGCAAGTAACAAGGATCGATTTTCAACCATACACAAGAAGGTAGAGAGACGTGTGGTCATAGTTTACAAAATACGTTAAATAGCAACAAACAAGGATCCATTATCAACCATACAGAGACATGTTCCAAGAGGAACCATGAATGGAAAGGATCATAACCTTGAGGCTTCAATCCCCAACCATGTGGGACTTCAATACTCCACCCGAAACCTGTAAATTTTCCTCCAATTTGGTGTTTAACCTTTGCTTCAAACCCACCAACCAATGTCACCATCGAAGGAGAATTAGCTACGGATATCAGCATATATTTATTTACACTACGAAATGAGCAGATCAAGGACACCATCACTATAGACAGACATCATATCATGCTCTTGAAATTATTAAAGCCTTGCCACACAAAAAATAAATTAAATTAAAAGCTGAAGACAGAATTGTGAAAAACGATGTTAAGTAGATTGCACAACTCATGTTAGTAAACCTACAAGCTGAATCTGAGAGCATGCCATTAAGTCATCACACAAAAGAGCAGACCTGATAGTGATACATACTGATGGATAAGCTAACGAGACTGTCCTGATTTAAACAGAGATTACAAACACATAAAGAAGAAGCTTTGAAAGATATTACAGACTCCATAAGAGCTATAATCAATTTGGTGGACGAGGCACCGGACCCATCCACTGTAGAAGCACAAACTGGGATAACATGAGGACCGAAGTTTCTTTAAAACTTTCCATACACCCCTTAGAATCCAGCGTGTTCACGACCCAAGAACCTGCACTGCTACTCGAAATATCTGATTCTTGACAGACAGCAAACTCTTGCTTCTGCAAGTTACCGGATACCAAACAACCATGTTGCAGACTCCATAGATAGACCATGTCAGAATCAAACGGATTCGCTCCCAAGGGGGAACAATCGACATCAAACCCGACAGAAGCCATGTTGATTGCTTCCCTTGACAAGTGCCAACATTCCCCATCAGAGTTGCTGCTATCTTTCAGCTTCCAAACCTTCAATACTCGATCTAGTACTTCCATGCAGACAACACCTCCTCGTGAAGCAGTCAAGCATCTCCTAGGGCGTCTGTTGGAAGGGAGAGGAGGAAGAGTTAAAACCCGCCATTGATCATCATCTTCAGGGCCATAAAAGTCATGAGCTACAAACTCTAGCTGTCCAAAATCATCCGAATCTGATTCCCACGTGTAATGCACCCCGCTGTGATTCTCAGTAGGGGAAAAACCAGCCTTGTTAAGAACAAGCCGCTTGAAAGTCCATAGCCCTGTCTCAGACGAGTATACATAGACTCTCTTCTCTCTAGGTCGAAACATTTCACACGTCGTGAGCACTTTGAAGCTTGAAACAAGGCCGTCTTCCTCCACACGTGTTACTAAACCAGAGGTTCTGAACAAACAAACGGGGCAGACTGGTTGTGAAGTTGAAGTTGAAAGCGGAGGGATTTCAACCCATTGCTGTAGAACTGGATTACCCACAAAGGATTTATTAGCAGAGTGGTCAGGGATGGCCTCGATCAAAACCAATCCATTGGAGGAAGCTACATAGCGGAATTTCGAGGCTGGGAGATTCGGATACCGTTGAAGAGGCATGATGTAAGAAGATGGGGGTTTTGGGAGATCCCATTTCTTGCATCCGTGGAAGCCTATCGCTTCTGTGATGGGATGGGGCAAGCTGCTTTCGAACATGAGCGACCAGGAGGAAGATGAGTTCCGGTGGAGAGAGATGAAGAGACGGCGGAAATAGGAAGATTCTATCACCGATTTCCAGTTCTTGCACACTGACTTGAATCTTGCTATGCTTCTCAACGGTAATCTCGCAAGTATCTCCACCCATATGGCCTCTTGAATCGCCTCTAACATTCCACTTCTTTTTCCCATTTCTACTGAGATTTTGAAAAGGGATTAGGGTTCTTCGCCACTCTCAGTCTCTCAGTCGAAAATATCTTCTTTTGATTTCGGGATTTAAATTTTTGTACAATGTTATTCCGTTTAAAATACTATGGGCTTGAATATTTGGGCCTGTGTAATTGTATATTGACTCAGGTTTTGAAAAATCCAAGCAACGCAAATCGTGGTCGTTCATCAATTGCTGTTGCTTCTCTCTCCTGACGACATTTTTAAGACTTTTTTTTCACATTGTAAATGATCAAATCCTGTCATAATTCAAAAAATAAATGACAATTTTTATATATGCATGCTTCCAATTGCTCTACATCTATTGCATGACATCTTATGACTAGCTTCGTTCTTGGTATCTCTCTTATCTTACTAACTTCATATGTTTCATTGGTAGGTAGAACGAGTGGTTGTGGACTGGCTGTTTAAACTAACTACGTGGCTTTTTGGTGGGTAAGAATTAAGAATGCATTTAATAAAAATAATAAGAATGCATCGTCTCTAGATCACAAGCTTTGAACGTTAGCAAAATTACGTTACCTACCACCAGTCTCTCGCTTACTATATAGTTATTCACATTTAACATTATAGAATTTATTTCTCTAAGATCATCACAAGTGGATTCATCAAGCTGATTTTAAACCTCTTTACTACACTCAGTTTCAAAAAATAACAAAAAAAACACAAGTAAGTCTAGACTCTCTGCGTTGTTTTATTAATCGTTTTTGTCCCCTGGAGTTAGATTTTATTGTCCAGTTTCGAAATTCTTCTCCTTCTTATTTTAAACTGGACAAATTTATTTTGTAACCACTTCTGATCTGCAAAAAGTTATATGGTTGTTCATTGATTGTGATTATTTTATCGAACAGTGGGAACAGAGATGGTAATGGTTCACGAGGTTCCTTTCCCTCCACAAATTATCACTTCCAAGCCCCTCTCTCTTCTGGGCCAAGGTGTTTATTTGATTAATTTTGTTATCTAGATGCATTATCTTTCTTGCTTCCATAAGATTTGGTACCTTAGTATAATAATTTAATAAAATCTCGAGTAATAATTTTCTGTCTGTTTGTTTTTTTCTATTTGTTTTTGTAGGGATCACAGATATCGAGATCCATTTCCTCCAAGTGAAGTTCACGGCGATCGGAGTTTACTTAGATCCTTCAGATGTTAAAACACATCTTGAAAACTGGAAAGGCAAGACCGGAAAGGAACTCGCCGACGATGATGACTTCTTCAACGCTCTCGCCTCCGGTACACTTAATTAGTCCATCATAATTACGTTCCAAAGCTATTTTGAATTAGGACTCTCCGGTTTTGATGTTTTCTGGTTTAGACGATAGACTATTTGGTTTTGGCTTTGCGATACGAATGGAAATATGTAAGTAAATGGAACTGTGGTTTATTGCAGCGGAGGTGGAGAAGTTTATAAGAGTTGTGGTGATAAAGGAAATAAAAGGATCTCAGTACGGAGTGCAGCTAGAGAGTGCGGTGAGAGATCGTCTAGCTGAGGAGGATAAGTACGAGGAAGAAGAAGAAGCAGAGCTCGAGAAAGTCGTTGGCTTTTTCCAGTCTAAGTACTTCAAGGCTCATTCCATCATCACTTACCATTTCTCTGCCAAAGATGGCGTTTGTGAGGTATATCTCGAATTCATGCTTCTTTAAAAGAAATTATTTTCATTTTTTGTTGATTAAATTATGTAAAGTGTGAACCCCAAGCATCAAAAGGTAGTGAACAGAGAACACCTCTGTTTGCATCTAGCGTTAACAAGTGAAGTTGTTTATTTTAAAAACTAGACGTTTTAGTTAAAACACCTTCTAAATACAATTGCTAACGTATGTAAACAAGCGAGCCCTAAAAAAAATTGCTAACTTATGAGGTATATTTGGTAATTGGTGTATTGATTTTGTGGAAGATCGGAATTGAGACGGAAGGGAAAGAAGAGGAGAAACTGAAAGTGGAGAATGCGAATGTGGTGGGAATGATGCAGAGATGGTATTTGTCAGGAAGTCGAGGAGTGTCACCAACCACCATTGTCTCCCTCGCCGATTCGCTGTCCGCAGTTTTAACCTAAATTCCTTTATATAAACATTTATATGTGTGTATTTTTATGTTGTTGTTAAATAAGACATTGTCTTTGGTTTTCTTGATAAAATGAGTTTTTTTGTGTGTTTGTAAAATGAGTTATTGTTGGGGATTAATACTATTTCCCAAGAAACAAGAATGGTAGGCTAGGTTAAAAAACCTTGCAGTCCAACAAACAAGGCAAGAAGATGGAGTATGTGCATTGCCGTCTTTTTAGGGTAGAAAAGAGTTAAGATATTTTGATAAGCAAACTTTATTTTGATCAATTTACCTTAGTAAAGATCATTGTTTTAATAATTCTGTTATACGTTTCTCAAAAACCAAGAAAACAAAATCTAACTGAAAAAAAAAAAAACAATATTCAAAAGAATATAAAGCTAAGCAATTCTGGATCAAACCCCCCTAATTAAATAGCGTTAATTTAACAATAAAAATTATGTATATAGCAACCGAGTCTTTGACAAAGAGAGAGCAGAAAACTCATTAAACAGGTAAGAGTGGTGAATACGCTAGAAGCAAAGTATGGACTAAATCTAGCTTTGCTAGGTTAGATTTTGATCTGGTTCGGTTATCTTGAAACCATATGAGCAGGTAGTTTGTACAGTAGTCTAGTGTTTGGCTGTTTTATAACGGTAGTAAATTTCTCTTAGTAACTAAAAAAAACGGTTTAAGATTACGGCATTGGAAACACGTGTTTGGGCAGGACTTGAGGGCCCTGAATACAGCGGCTATCTATGACGACGACAAAGGTGGTTTTCTAACGATAATTTGATTGAAAGAAAGTCTGTTACCGGAAACGACGGACGATCTCATGTTCTCTTTCTCTCTTTGATCGGTTTCATACGCCGAGTAAGTCTGCTTTTGATGATCTCATCCCTATGTCTCTCTCTTCCTTTCTATATAGATCAAACTATATAATTTTATTTACATAGTGAATGATTAAAAACATAAAATAAAAAATGTAAGTTTGTTTACAATTATGAATTGAAATTGTAGAATTCCTTCGATTTAGTTCAAAGTTCAAACAAACCAAACGAATATAAAACTTTAAACAAAATGATCCAACTTGAGCGGTCACGGACGTACTAACTATAAACCAAGTTTGTTACAGCATTAAGTGCCTCATGTACGTCACATTTCCTTAATTCCTTTCTCGTTACTGATGTCCAACTTTAGAATGCAAAGAATGAGTTTTGGAACTCTAGCCAAAATCATGTTGAGAACGTAAACTATTAATGATTATTGCCGTTTTAACAAAATGTTTGTGTTATAGAGGGAACATCACAAATGTGTATAATATAACCAAAAAGAACATCGCGTATTATGGTTAACCATACTTCTATGTATAATACATACAACTAGATTAGTAGACATGTGACGTATCCACGTGGAATAAAAGTAAGGGTCCAGGCGGTATAGCCGTTGGGATGGTTAAGCGCCAAACAGAATTGCATGTGAGACTTCTTGGATAACTTACAAACGGAATTCCTGGAAAAATAATACTGATACTAATTACGTCACTTTCTTCTTCTTTTTTTAATGAAATTTGATGGATTACAAAGAAAAACGAACTGAACTCCCTTCACTCCCTATTTGGCTGTATATATAAGTGAAGCATTCTTGGTACGAATTAACAACTTCACTCAGCTAGCTTATTTTTCAACTTCACCCCAACAAAATCATGAATCTTACAGAATATTCCCAGATTTTATTTATTTCACTATGCACCTTCAACTTCTGCTTTCACGTTATAAACTCTGACGTAAACGGAGGCTGGGAGAGAGGCCACGCCACTTTCTACGGTGGAGCTGATGCTTCCGGCACAATGGGTACTTCAAACATATCTTTTTATATCTTCGATTCCCATTTCCCACACACATCATCAAATCATCACAATGGATATACTATTACTTAAATATATTTATGATATTTATCTATTTATTTTGAGAACGATATACAATTATGGTTTAACCGTTGAAGTGTTGGGCTTTTGACTTTTGGCAGGTGGTGCGTGTGGGTACGGTAACTTATACAGCCAAGGCTACGGGCTGCAAACCGCGGCGCTGAGCACGGCTTTGTTCAGGAGCGGGCAGAGGTGTGGGGCCTGCTTTGAGCTACGGTGTGAGAATGATCCTCAGTGGTGCCTCCCTGGTTCCATAGTGGTCTCGGCTACAAACTTCTGTCCTCCAAACTATGCCTTAGCCAATGATAATGGTGGTTGGTGCAATCCTCCCCTCCAACACTTTGACTTGGCCGAGCCTGCCTTCCTCCACATCGCTCACTACCGAGCTGGGATCGTTCCTGTCGCTTTCAGGAGGTAAACCATCAATTCATATGTCCACCTTTAAAGGTAGAAGCATTTTTGGCAATAAACCTTGACTTACGTACCATTTTTTGTCCTCTGATAATGACAGGGTTCCATGTGAGAAACCTGGAGGGATAAGGTTTACGATAAACGGGAACGCGTACTTCGACCTCGTGCTGATCACAAACGTGGGTGGTGCTGGTGATGTTAGGGCCGTCGCCTTGAAAGGCTCAAAGACTGATAAGTGGCAATCCTTGTCCAGAAACTGGGGACAGAATTGGCAAAGCAACACTTACCTCAGAGGTCAAAGCCTCTCCTTTCAGGTCACTACTAGTGATGGTCGGTCCGTTGTGAGCTACGATGTTGTGCCTCACGATTGGCAGTTTGGTCAAACTTTTGAAGGCGGACAATTCTAAAAATTAATAGATCATATACAAGAAGCGTCAATGATTGTGTTTAAGACCAAAAAACATCTTGCTTTTTATGGATCATATCTACTCTTCTATATTCATAAAAGACATCGAAACAATTTCCTTAATTGGAAAAAGGCATTTTATAATCTTCGCATATTATCCTCGTTTTCTTCTCAAGGTCATTAACAAGTACAAGAAACTGAAAGAGAAAACTTATGAGTACGAAAAAAAAAGGACAAGAAAATAAGAGGAAAGTTATGTATTAATTACAAAATGTTTATTAACCAGATAAACTTAAGTATTTTTTAGAGTTGACCTTATCTATTTGGAAAAGAGTTAATTTGGATATGAGGATGGGCCTTATTGGGCTATTTTTTAGAGTTGACCTTATCTATTTACCGTTTTATGACCTTCGTGATACTTCTGAAGCAAACAGAAGGTTTCTGTATATGACTTTGTCTCCTTCGTACTTCTCCGATTTGCCTTTCATCGGTCTTCGGGACGTTGACCTTCTAGCTCGTTACAGCGAGAGGTTCCAATCTTTCTCTCTCGTGAAAATGGCAGGCAGATTCCGACTAGATGCGATTGTTTCGGCGATAGTCACAGTTCACCCGCACGAGATTTCTGCGTTGCTTCACTCCTCTTCCTGCTTCTTCTTCGTACCGATCTCTCTCTCTCTCTCAATGTCTCCATTTTTATTCGTCTTCACCATTGATCTTGAGTGTTCCTTAACCATTCATTGGATTATCCTCATGGGGATCGAATTTCAGATTTTGAGCGCGTATTTCGTTGTTCTTCCACTTCGCGACGAAGGGGCAATATCGCTTGGGTTATCAAAGCTCCCGGGACTGTTCGTAGGTTCTCTGTTTCTCACTCTGATTGCTGCTCCTCTTTCCACCTTGATCTTCTCTTTGCCCAATTTGTCCAAATCCAAGGTACTCTTGCTGCTGTTATACATGATCCATTTCCCGATTTCTCGCAATTTGTTTTCCTACTCTTTGATTTAAAAGGAATTCTGTAAACTTTAGACTACGTGAGAGAAATGAGATATTTTCTTGCTGGATTCTCTATAATCTTACGCATGCTTCTCAAAATTTGCAGGCTTTGGTTATAATACATAGGTTCTTTAGTCTATCGCTTGTTCTATGTTTCCTTCTCTGGCAGGCCTCCCCAACGGAGTCTATGTCATCTAATTCAAATGTAAGGGTAGGAGACTTGTATTGTATTATATGCAAAATAAGTAATCTCTCATGATTTAACACACACTACTGCTTTGAAGGATGCAGTTGACTCGGCATCCGATCTAACAAATAACCCAAAAGTTCATATTGATGGAGCTAATCCTGCTTCTGGATGGGACAACCATGGCTGGTTTTACGTTTCTGTTCGAGTTGGATTTTTCCTTTGGGTATGACTAAACTCTTTGTTTTTGGTTTTAAATTTTAATCTCGAGCCGTCCTGTGATTAATGTAGCTGGATATATTTCCTAGGTTGCGTTGCTTAATCTCGTGGCTATTTCTTCAACATGGGCTAGAATAATAGACGTTATGGATAGTGAGGTAGTTTCTGCTGCCCTTTACTTTATTTCGAAGAACTGGCTATTGCTTAGAAGCATAAAACATTCTTCAATTCAGTCAGGTGCAAGATTGTTTGGTTTTGTTGGTGCTGGTGCTACCCTTGGACAGCTTTTTGGATCGGTGTTTGCTGCTGCCACTGCTTGGATGGGTCCATGTATGCATCACATTGTCTCATGATGGTTCCATTTAAAGTCCAAATATCTTGATAGAGATACTCTGTTCTGCTTTTTTTGTTTCATGAAACCTATTTGTTGTCCATTACAGATCTACTTCTATTTGCTGCTCTTTTGATGGAGTTTGCTGCACAGTCCTCAAAAGGTATCACCAAAGATATTTCCCAGCCATCTGAGGAGATGTCTCCTCTAAGGTTAGCTAATGCTCGAGTTTGACTCAGTGATAATCATGGTTGGTCGAGAATTTGATCTGCTTTTTCTATTAGGAAAACCGATAGTGATCATCAAAGTGAGAGAAGACAGGAAGTTTCTTCTCCAAAAGTTGGTTCTCCAAAAGTTCCTTCTCCAAGATCACCTATCTCCACAACTAGACCTCAGCTTTGGGCCATCTTAGACGGAATGAGACTTATACTAGCATCCCAGTATCTTTTGCTCGTGTCTTTGTTCCTTTGGCTTGGTGCGGTCATCTCCTCCTTCTTCTATTTCCAAGTAAGAAAATTCTTGAAATTTTATATGACATAAATCATGTGAAGGTATTATCAGAAATTGTGACGATGAAACAGTAAGATTGTCATGTGAGCCATCTCAACCCTGTTAAACAACAGAATATCCCCTTGTTAGCTGTTACTAGTGCTTGCAGTGATTCTTCTCGACTTAACAACATAGCAAAAGGCTGAACTTGTTGTGGTCTCACTAATGAAATAAAGTTCACTTGCAGAAAGTGAATATAATTGCCACAACAATCAAATCATCCATTGGTCGAAGAAAACTGTTTGCTCAGATAAATAGCTTCGTTGCAGTTTTCATACTGATTGGACAACTGACTCTAACGGTATGTTAAATGCAAGACAAATTTCACACGTTGATTCACCCCAACCCATACCTGGTGTTTTTCTTATACAGTTTGTATGCTAACTCTTACAGGGCCGGATCTTGACTGTAGCCGGCGTCACAGTTGCAATATCTGCATCTCCATTAGTTGCACTTGGGAATTTGGTTGCTATTGCCATATGGCCAACTTGGGTTGCAGTTGCTGTGTCTGAAACCGTGAGAAAGGTTTGTTTTCTCTTATATCAAATCTCTTTCGTGTTACCACTGCTTGATTATTTATACTTGCGCATTTTGTAGGTGACAAGTTATGTTGTAACTAGACCTGGAAGGGAACTTTTGTTCACCGTTGTCTCGCAAGACGAGAAATACAAAGCTAAGGTACTGAATCATTCCTTTTTTCTCAATCACTTCTGCTAAAAGAAAAGCCTATGTTTGTTTCTTTCTTTTTTCTTCATATTGCTATGCGATATTGTTTCAGGTGTGCATAGATGTGATTGTTCAACGGCTTGGAGATGCAGCAGCGGCGGGACTCTTCGAAGTCCTTACCATTGCTCTTGGTGGTCAAACATCAACTGCTTCACTCTACGCCTTGCCAGTATAATAAAGAGCTTCCTCTTTTATGAGTTTGGTAGATCACTTTCCATGAAAGAGTGCTTGACAAGTTTCCATTGTTTCAACGCAGGTGTGTTTAGTGTGGATAGTCACAGCATATTTCTTGGGGCGGCGACAAGAACAACTGGCGAGATTCCAGGTGGGTTCATCTTGCTAGGAACAAATTGTTTTGAAAGAATTGAGATTGGTGAATAGGATCATGCAAGAAGATGAGAGGCTTCAACATTCATGTGTAGGAGTTATGGGAAAACAACTTGAACCAGACTGATATGAAGGATCACAAGACGGATTAGGGGCTCCCGCGTAAATTGCTTCTGTAATGAAACTTGGTTGCTACTTGCTTGCGAAATGCTAGTAATAAATATTGTTGTACAAAGTGAAATACTGGAAGATCTAAGCATCGATAACGGCGATGCCTTCTCCATATCTCATCTTCTCTTCTTTACACATATCATCTCTCTATTATCAAGAAAATTTATCTGCGATTTTGAAACCTTTGCGGGGTTATGGTTGCATCTTAGCATTAATAAATTGCTGCTAACGTGCGCTTTAGAAAACAGAGGCAATCAGTTATCACTTATCACCTTCACCCAAATAATCCGAGGTGACTGATAAAAAGAAAATGGATTAAACAAGGCTAACCCCAAAAACGAGAAACACCTCTAAAGTTACAGAGGAAGGAAACTAAATCAGCCTCTCTTTGCCTATATTTACATAGATTCCCCAACAAAAATGTCTAAAACCTGTACAGACAGCCAAAAACCTCTCCACCTAAACCGGTTTGTCTCACAACTCCGGGAGAGAATCGTCGTCCCTGTTTCAGTGAAAGTAAAAGTGAGAACACAAGAAGCAACAAGCAAGGGATTTTGTAAATAATGTATGGTTCAGACTCGAGAGCTTGTGTGAAAATACCAAAACTCATGGCCAAAATCATCCGACGAATCACAGTCCTCCTCTTCATGATCGTATCTCTCATAGCCCTGTGTGAAGTATTCAAGTGGAAATAGTTATGCAAAAGGCGAAAACACGCAGATAATCTTTCGTTGTTGTGTAAGAGAAACAAACATGATTCTGACCTTGTCAAATTTCCCAACATCTTTCGAATCCGCCTCGTCATCTGCCTGCAAATTGGTCATCACAATGTTCAACAACCTTTGCAATGTGTTTCAAAGGGAATTGAATGCAATTGTCACGACTCTTTTAGACTAGTTATAAAACAAACAAAAATATCACAAAAGCTCCTTTCTTAAAACCTTAAAGCTGAACTAGTTCAATTCTGAAGCTAGCTCAAGTATGTATACTCGATAAAAGCAAGCATTTTGTCAGTTTACATCCAGATATATAACATACCTTACAAAAACTTTGAGCTTCTTCGTTTAGTTTCATGTTGTGTGCCAAATCAACTTCTGAAGCACGGTCTATGAATGGTTTCCGTTCCTGGAAGACACGCAAAGATAGATGCCAAAATCCGACATATAAATAAGGTTTGCAGCAGAAAAAAATCAAGTTTCTGAGTGTTTATGAATAAATCTGATACCTCTTTTGACATGTCATTCCACACGTTGAAAATCATTCTGTTAGCAATAGCATCCCCCAAGTTTCCACCGTAATTTTCCCTAAAATCATATATAGATAAAGAAACAGAGTTACAAGAGAGTTAAATTACTACTCAAGTTCCCTTTTTCTCACATTTTTGCATCTAAACACACAATCCAATATAATCACGCCACCAAAAACCCAACAACCGGTTCAATATTTCACTTAAAAGGAAAGGGATTGACAATATGAATCAACAAAATCACTAAAGAACTTAGAATTCAAATCAATTACCCACACAAAATCCATTTTTCACCTTCATTGGTATCTAAATCCAATAAATTGAGTAGAAATTAGCGGAATCGTATTGAGTAACAGAGGAAGGTTTTGGTTACTGTACAAGAAGAAGATGAATGGTGATCTGGGCTCATCTTCAAAGCTCCCGACAGGTTTCGAGATAATCCCGACTTTGCCACTCGAAATGCACTTGAATCTCTTCACCTCCCTCTTTCTCTCTCCGCACTCGTGCATATCAAACAGGGCAATCGCAATCGTATCACCACATTCTTCACTGAAATAGACCCCAAAAACAGAGTATCACAAATCTAGACGAGCCCTAAGAAAACTGAAACGACGAAGCAAAAAAAAGTAGAGCAGTACCATTTCTCAAAAGCGCTTCCATCGGCAGCACGACGAGCAGCTTGAACCCTTTTACGTGTTCTCGGCCGAATCGCCATTAATGCATCGCTTTATCAAGCTCTTCAGTTTTTCTATTTCTGACACAGAAAAGGTTTTAACTTTTTAAAGGTTAAACCTTTCGCATTACTGTGTGTGTGGGGAAGAACTAAACATCGGATCGCTTACGTGTCACACTTAGCGCATAATAGCATTACTCAGTTATTGCTAACGTGTGCTTAACAGATAAACGCGCGGGACATAATTGGCGCCTACTTAAAACGGAGAAAAATTCCCGCTTCCGAGATTTATTATATATGATAACCAATCAAATTAAGCCACGTAATCACTCGTTAATTACGCGAATAACAAACGTTCTAAAAGGGGTAATAAAAATCGCAAAAGCTAATTTCATTAGATATTAATGCGAAAATACACACTTCATCACAAAACACACAATAAAAGATCTTACATTTTTTCGGGGAAGATCAAAATCTTATTCTTTTGAATTAAAATAAAAACGAAACAACCCAATCAGAAAACGACACGTAGGCGAGTAATCACTAATCAGTTGGTGCTGCCGCAAACCTTCCTGATCTCACCGCTACTACCAGTCAAAGGGCTTATATCGCCCATTTTGATCATAGCCGCCGCGAAGTCGGAGCTAAAGCTCGACGGGTTGTTGCTGTAACCGCGAACTATAGAGTCGGTGGAGCCACCGTTGAAGAGCTCCTGGTCGGAATGGAGGAGACCTCTTTGAGCCACGAGGTTCTTGAAGTAGCTGTTGTCGAAAGAAGCAGCTGAGGTGACGTCGAGTGGAGCTAGGTTTGCGTCGCCGGAGCCGGAAGCTCTTGGGCATGATCTTTGCCGTAAGGTAGCGAAGGCGGCGTTGATGTTGGTCTCGTTGTAGACTCTTGTTCGGAAGTTCCTGCAACTGGATTGCCCGATCGTGTGCGCGCCTGAAACAAGATTATAAAATAGTTCGTTTAATAGTTGACTTCATTTATTGTAAGTTAAGTAAGTATCAGTAAATTAACTTTGTCGGTGTTTCTGTAACAGTAATCTATATGATTACGTACGTAACTTTGGCAAATAAACAGAAAAGCCGGTGTTGCGTAAGAAAATGTGTTGAAAAACAATCACAAAGAAACAAAGAAAGAGTCGACAAAAATCAAAGACAAGATCATTTTAATTTATTTTGTGTCGAATATGTTGACTCTTTAGTCCTTTTAAATGTTATTTTTTCATGATCCTGTTTCCCATTTTATAAAACAAGTCTTATTGGTTGCTTTATTTGAAAAAGTGCAATAAAACAAAAAATCTTGCAATAAACCTTAATCAAACGATTAATTAAAAAGGAAGCTTCTTCATTGGTTGCTTTATTCTTTTTTTTTCGCAATCTATGAAACAAATAGTTGCATATATAATGCAAAATATAAAAAGTGTAAGAAAGGGAAGTGAAACGGACCGGAGAGAGCAACCATATCTCTGGTGGAGAGTCCAACGGCGCTGAAACTACTAATAAGCTGGCTAAGACTCGAAGTCGGCGCCGGAATGTTGTTATTCGCGGCGGCTTGACTCGCCGTTCTTGCATCTCTTCTTCCCACTTTCACATTCCAATTCGGCCCTCCGAGCTTCAACGAGAACAAGGGCGAATATTTGTTGACCGGTTAGTTTATATTAAATTTGCAAAACCGGACTAAATTAAGAGAGGACAGATGGAGCTTACGAGTACGACGGAGTCTCTAGCTGCAATGGCTAGGATATCAGCACAAGACACAACCCCAGGACATGCTTTTTCAACCGCTGATTTGATGTTGTCGATCACATTAAACCCGCGAGCAGTTTGGCGGTTTGGTACAGCGTTTTGTTCTCCCGTAAAGCTTGATGTGTCATCTAGTAGAATCGAACCGTCGCATCCCTTTATATACAGTGTAAGTTATGAGTCTTGTGACTGATTAGAAGGAAAGACAATAAAGAAACCAATATGCTACTTTTCTTGGAATGCAAGGAATATGCATAAGAAAAAAGCTTACGTTGACGAAGCAATCGTGGAAGAAGAGACGGAGGATGGATGCACCCATTCGAGGCTGGCCGTTAACAGAAGATTTAACGGTTGATTGGACGGTGGAGAGAAGATTAGGGCAAGAGGTTGAGTAAAAATTTGTCGTGAGCTGTGCTTCGACGGCGTTATTGTTATCACCTTGGAGTGAAAGTGCAACGATGAGGACCAGAATGGCAATAAGTTTATTTGAAGCCATGTTTGAGTAAGTAAAGACTTGGATAGACTTAGAGTTGATTATATTGTACTTGACGAACAAAGCCTAACGGAATCGAGGTTTATATAGAGACGTGAAGGATGTTCTAAAGTGAAAGATAGGTAACCTAACCTAACGCGTTGAAAAATGTGTATGATTTCTGTTTTTTATTTTTTGCATGGAATATATATTTTGGTTATCTACGTCGGAGAGAGAAGCTAAAACAAAATTTGCCAGCGGTAATACTATTTACCCTGATGTCAAGTAAATAGTATAGCCATCAAAATTAAGTCGTAGTCTTTATACAGTTGACTTGGAATATGATGAGAAATTAAGAGAAAAAATAATAACGGGGAGTCGGGGATAAGTAATAAAATAGATATAGTAGTGCTTATGCTTTTGATCGTGATCGTAGTTCTAACTTCTAAATAACTTTTTTTTGGGGTTAAAAAGTTAGTTATAAATAGCATAACTAGCCAGCCGTCTATACTTAATCTTTGTGATTTTTTATGAGCTTTTGCTTGTGTTTCTTTTTTTTTGTTTTTTTTTTGTAAATTCCAGTGTCAAACATTTGTGTAACGTCTTATTGGTTGAATCTTTGATTTTCATAATAAAAACTTTCCTTTACTAGCCTATAAAACAAGCAACTATTTGCAAACGCGTCTTCTTTGAAATAGAGGCCGAAAGCATATTTGTCGAAATCTGGTTATCTCGACATTAGAGGAGGAAAAAAAGGTGTAGAAGTGGCAAGAAATGGTCTAATTTTCTCTAACGACGACATCTTATATCAAAATCATGATGGATATTTGGAATGTGCATATGTAGCTGCCCCTCTAACTGCATGTAATATACTTTGTATTCTAAAATGACAACAAATTAAGATCATTAATTCATTTGGATATACAAATTCTACAGTTAAGGATGGACGTGAGAAGACTAAAAGACCTTCATGATTAGGAAAGTAATTACGATTGGCGTATAAATCATACTGGAAAAATAGTGTACTTTCGAGTTATAGTGAACAAAATGAGTTTATACCGTGCAACTAGAAACAAAGCACGTGAAAGTCGCCATAACTAATAGTCTAATACAATAGTTTGGTTGATTTTGATGTCATAACTAATCAATACTTACTGTCGTTTAGGTTAGAAGTCATAATAATAAATAATCAAGTATCAAAAGTCGCCTTATACAGTTAAATATTAGGGATTAGACATGTTTTATTTAACATACCATGAAAATATGCAGAGAAGAGTTTGTTAGAGAGAGTTGTCAAGAATAGTGGCCTGTCTTTTTAATTTAATACCTTGGGCCAAACATTTGATTTTATGGAAAGGCAAACTAATTATTTTTCAATTCCCAGCAATTTGTTTTTTTTTTTTTAAATTCCCTGCAAATGTCTAATATTCCTTTGATTAGTATTCACAGAAACATAACACTGCATATTTCCATGAAGCTTAGCTGTAGAGTTTTTCTGTTTTGCTTAAAATTATAGTTAACCCTCGCAAAGTCCGTTTGTTATCCATTTATGAGTTGAATTTTTGTCTAGACTTTATAGATTTCATGCAAAGCAAATCATACAGTGTGTACTAATCTAGCATGAACATCTTTCTCGTTCGAAATTTTCAAAATATGGATTAAAGAATAACTATAATAGAACAAGAGTCAGATACTTTTACACTACGCGGCTTTTACTTTTACAAAGGAAGGAGGCGCACGCCTGTCACTTTCCAGTTTAATAAGGAATCAAACTAAGTGAGATTTTTTAAAACAAAGCAACTCTCAAGTTAGATACCCTCTCCGGTCTCATTTTCACACCGACCTAAAATAACTTCAATAATAGAAAGTTGATCAAACCCTCTTTAAAAATCAAGAAAAACCCTTCTAGATACTTTAATAATTTGATTTACTCTTTTGTTATTTTTGGCTTTGGATGGGTCGTTTGAACAAAACTTCACTACTACAAGACCACAAGGATATGGTTGTAGTCCTTAATGTCAATTACCACTATATGAATATACATGAATATAGATAAGAAACCAGAGAAAGAGACATGATTCGAAATCATTATCCTTTGTCAATTAGCATTTTCTATACTTACGAATCAAGATTGCCTCCATTGGTTAACAGCTTCAAACTAAGAAAATCTATGAATCTCCTTGATAGAGTCAATAATGGAAAAAGTTGTTAGAGTGAGTAATTTCTATAGAGAATTTGTAAACACTCTCTGCAGCATATATTGAAGATTATCATTTGAATAATCGATTACATAGAAAATGCCAAATTACCTTATTGTAGTCGCAGCATGAATGATGGCATGATATATATTGATGTAACTTTTAAACAATAAATTTAACACTGAATAATACTAGAATGATTTAAGTTTTGGATGTACGTAGCGGTAGTTTCTTAAAGATAAACAAAATCCCAAAGTGATCTATAAAACCTCAGGAAACATAGCAAAGTTCTACTAACTTTGCGAATCAATTGGCATTATAAAGGGGAGTTACACCACTTCTTCTGAAATGAAACGTCGTGCGTGCAAGCTACTCAAGAGGATTACTCTTAGTTCCTAAGCCAGAAGTGCATATCTAAGCGAACATTTTCCAAACCGGACCAAGTCAACCATATATGTCGTTTTCCAATATATTAGTCAAAGAGAGAAAAAAGAAGTTAAAGTTTGTAATATCTTTGAGATCATTATATGCTTTTATACTATAGTTTTGGATATGAATATTTGACCGTGTAACCAAGATGCGAAGATATATTTCTACATATATTTTTAGCAACACTTCGGTGGATGAAGACCCTCAAGGTGAACACTTTCGGTGGGTGGGTAGAAGAAAACTATGGAACATTGTTTTGACCTTCTTCATATATATTGATCGTTAGTTCGTTACTATAATGAGTCTTATGATCTTACGAGTCAAATACATATTTTCTAGGGCCAGGTGTGAATGCCACAAAAGAGACGAGGTTTTCGATTTATGCGTGTTGGTTCAATTATCGGCTTATGGGCCAGGTGTGATTTTTGAACATTTGGGCCTGGTTTCTTCGTGATTTTTGATGTCTTGGATTAAACCGTTACATTTAGGCCTGATTCATAACGTGTGTTTTTTTAAGTAACTGACATCACATAAACTTCGTTTACATTTTATAACTTCTCGTTTACATGATTCTTGTACTAAAGATTTTTGTCAAAACGGTGACATGGCCTGACCTATGCTTTAATTGTATTAAGGAGGCAAAAGTAGGAAACGCTTTTCGCCCGAAAGAAAACTTCTCCTTTCGATGTCTCGCATCAGTTTCTCATCGTTTACTTTGATTATAACATCTCTTTTTCTCTGTGAAATCCTCCTCCCAATTAGACCTTAGGTCGTCTCTATCGTTCTCGGTTTCTCTGTAATTGTATCCATTTCGGTTTCTGGGCATACAATTCGCTCCAAAAAGTTTCGAATTCGAGTTCGTCCGAAATTAAGGTTACTTTCTCTTTCTTTCCATCGTCTTTTTGTAAAAGTGGGAGACTTTATTCGTTTTGAATGTGCCCGCGGGCGAAATCTCTCTCATTAGAATCGCTTTCACATTTCTGCTTTATGGGTTTTCACTTTTCATAATTCGCTAGCAATGTCTAATCTTCCAAGCACATGTCTTTGACTAGCTTTTCTCGGTAAAGGATTTGCTTTTACTTCTCTTTTTTGTTCCCGGGACGAGAAAATGAATTTGAATGATGATATTGAGGGATCTAATGGTAATGGCAGTGAAAAATCTATGGTCCCATGTCCTCCTGGTCTCTCAACCCCTAATCAGACTCTGACCAGTGAAGAGACAACCAGGAGATTATCGGAGAATTCGTTGCCTGATAAGATTAATCTTCCGAAACTCGGATCCCCTTCTGCTAAATCCAAGAGAATGACAGAGGAAAGAGATGACCTTTCACGCTCAGTGAACAACAACCACAACTTCCGTGAAAGAATCAGCGTGGTGTTAATCTCCCGGGAAATCGAGTGGGCTTCCGTGATGAAAACCGGTAAGCAATGGCTTAAAAACCCGCTTAACATGGCTCTCTTCTTGTGGATCTTTGTGGTTGCCGTCTCCGGTGCGATTCTATTCATGGTCATGACCGGAATGTTGAACACCGCCTTGCCCAAGAAGTCACAGAGAGACGTCTGGTTTGAAGTCAACAACCAAATCCTCAACGCGTTGTTCACTCTCATGTGTCTGTATCAGCACCCTAAACGGTTTCACCATCTCGTGCTTCTCTGTAGATGGAAGGAAGACGATGTCACAGCGCTTAGGAAGATCTACTGCGAGAAAGGGACTTACAAGCCTAACGAAAGGTTCCACATGATGGTTGTTGTTCTCTTGCTTCACTTGAACTGTTTTGCTCAGTATGGGCTTTGTAGTCTTAACTTAGGGTACAGGAGATCAGAGAGACCAGCCATTGGTGTGGCTATATGTATCTCTGTTGCTATAGCAGCTCCTGCGGCTGCTGGTTTGTACACTATTCTAAGCCCTCTTGGGAAAGATTATGATCCTCAAGGAGACGAGGAGAATCAAGTGGAAGAAGATAGTAATCGGAAGTTGTCTCTGGAGAGAAGATATTCGTTTGCTTCTACAGATGTGAGGGATGGTCCTGAGTGGAGCGGTGGAGTTCTTGATATATGGGAAGATATCAAATTGGCGTATCTCTCTCTCTTCTGCAGTTTCTGTGTGTTTGGTTGGAACATGGAGAGGATTGGGTTTGGGAACATGTATGTTCACATTGCGACTTTTGTTCTCTTCTGTTTGGCTCCTTTCTTTATATTCAACTTGGCTGCGATAAACATCGATCACGAGATGGTTAGGGAAGGACTTGGATACACTGGGATTGTGCTTTGCGTGTTTGGTCTGCTCTATGGTGGCTTCTGGAGGATACAGATGAGGAAGAGGTTTAAGTTGCCGAGTTATGACTTCTGTTGTGGGAGGCCTGCGATTGCTGATTGTACGCTGTGGTTGTTCTGTTGCTGGTGCTCTTTAGCGCAAGAAGTACGGACTGCGAATTCGTATGAAATTGTGGAGGATTCGTTCTGCAAGAGAAGGGAAGAGGAGAGCAAGGTTGATGATGAGGTTTTGGTATCTCCGTTGCATTGTGAGGACGGTGTGATTGACCCGGAGAAGATGGCTACGACGGTGGCTAGTTCTTCTATTGACTTGAGCGGACCGGAAGAAGAATATTGCTTGGGTGATAAAAGTGATGACGCTCTAAGTCCACCTTCTCCTCCATTCATTCACAGAGATGCTAGTTAGAAGTTATAACTTAACCGGGTGTTGGTTCGATTTTTTTTTTTTGGTTTTAGCAAAATAGTAAACCATGTAAAACCAGATCTTCTACTGTGGATTAGTTTTTCAATGGAATATAAGTTTGAAATTCGGTTTAGGAGTTAAGGTGAAACATTTTGTTTAAAAAGTTTTGGAGTAGTTTAAAACTTAAAATTCATGTTCTTCCCCAATAACAGAGATTAACCAATAATACACAATCAACATGGAAGTGATTGATGAGTAAATTGATAACAAACTCAATAGTCAATACGAATCACACTAATGATAAAGTTGTAGACCAATGTCGAAATCGTAGAAGTAGTGTATATACATGGATTTATTCTCAAATCTCAATCAAATGCTGCCAAAACAAAAAAAAACGTAGAAAATGTATTTTTTAAGAAAACAAAAGGATTAGATAATGTATTTCTGTGTCGTATCGTCGTATGTGACATTTTCTTGTAAAAATAATAAAGAAGAGAAAAAAAGAAAAGAAAAAAATGAAATGATCCAGTGGCTTAACAAAAAATTGCAAACCCTAATTGGTTGAATGGGAAAAACGATCCTAAGGACGGTCAGATTCGCAGAATTGGCCATAAGACTATCTTCCGACAATCCGAGCAGACCCCACAGAGCAACTCCTCCTCCTGGGAACAAAGTCTTCGTGAAGAAGACGAGAGACACAAACCTCCGGGATCACTCCAATCTGGTTAAGCTGGAGAAGGCGGGATCGCACTCGGGTTCGAATCCCGCTCCGGCCTCGGATCCGAACCGGGTTCCGCTTGCTCAGGTCGTCGACGATTGCGTCAGACGTTGGTTCCAGGATACCCTCAAGGAGGCCAAATCCGGCGACGTCGGTATGCAGGTCCTTGTCGGACAGATGTATTGCAGCGGCTATGGCATCCCCAAAGATGAACACAAGGTTTGCTCTTTTTTTTTCGAATTTTCCAAATTTGTTTCTGAATGATTAGTTTAGCTTTCTTAGGTAGTTCTTAGCGATTGATTCGTTATTGATGGCTAATTTGACTACTAGAGTTATCACAGGATCTGATTGAGTGATCTACTGTCTCTGTATGTACATTGTATGTCTCTAAATTTGTCAAGAACGTGTTTTGTTCGTGATTTGTAGCTAATTGGTCTAGCAGAGTTAGGTTTGGATTTAAGATGTAAGTGTTTTCTTTCTGATATAGAATTTGATTTTGATCTGTCAAGGGCCGTGCTTGGATTAACAAAGCTTCAAGAACTCGATCATCAGCTTGGCAAGTGAGCGATAAGCCTCCAGGTATTGTATCTTTTATTAAATCAATGAAATCTTCAGTAATGTTTTAAGATTCAATCTTCATCTTTTGTTCACTGTGAGTTATGTGTTTTGGGGGTTTTCCGTTGAATTCAGGTTATAATGCGAGCGATTCAGATTCCAATGATAAGAAAGAATGACGATGACCTTTTGAATGTTTGTAATCCGGGAATTGCCAGTGACTTTGATTTGTTAGTTTCTCTCTCTCTCTCTCTCTCTCTCTCTCTCTCTCTCTCTCTCTCTCTCTCTCAAAATTGAAGCGTTGGTTTCATTTCAATGGTAAAAAAATGGCTAAGTTGTGATCTTTGTCAATGTTATTACCACGCAATGAAGCTATTTAATGATTTATGTTCAGTTGATTTATGGGGTTGAATGGAATGAAAAGATTAAGATTAGGCCAAGTGTTTGCATCTCTGTAGTTGTTTTTGGATGATACTGTATTGTTATATTCCGAGATTCACATAAGATTCTATGAAACAACGTATACTGGATCAATGATCTCAAGTTCCCCATTTAAGCCATCGGGTGTAGGAAGAAACACATTCATCACAATTCCTAAAAACTGGTTCGACTGTAATACTGTATGTATGTAACCAAATAGCCAATAGCAACAGCTATGTCCGAGACAAATGTTCTGAATATGCTAAAATATTCATGTCCTTTTTAGTCCTTTAGTGAAGAAGGTTGAAAAGTGAAATTAATAAATTATCAAACGGACGGTTGAAGATAATGAAGGAAAAACTAAAAAGTAAAGGACTTTTTGATCTCTTTTATCGAACGCGGCAATCAAAAACAATTTGTCTATGCGAGTGGAGGCCAGTGAAGCTCTCTCTATTAACGAATTCTCCATCCTTTACGCAAAGAATCCCATTCTTCTCTCTTTTTTGTCGTTTTATAAAATAAAACCATATATATTTACATATGTGGTTGATCCTTCTAGTTTCTCTCCAAAACAAAACCAATTTTCCACATACTCTCTTTATATCTGCCTTCAAACTCGAAGAAGGGAATTGCAAGGATTACGTGAAACAAAGTCGTTTTATTCCACAAGAAGAGTTTGCGTGATGGCTAATGTAAGTGTGATCTTGTACACTGGTTTGCTTTAATTCATCATCAAGCTTTTCAAATCGAGTGGAAATCTTTGCTAGTGTACAATAACATCTTAAAATGCACCGGCTAGAATTCAACACTTGGTGATATGATTATTCGAATTAATTTTTGACAGATTGTGGAGATGAAAGTGAATTTGCACTGCGACGAATGCATCAGGAAAATACTAAAAGCCATTAAGAAAATAGAAGGTAACCAATTGTACTGTCCTTCTCCTAATATCTTCTGTTCAAAATTTGAATCATACCTTGTAGACTTGTAGTGTTATTATTATGGGTTGTGGTTACTTAACAAGATGAATATTACTTACACAGATATAGAGACATACGATGTGGACACCCAGCTCAACAAAGTGACGGTCACTGGGAATGTAACAGATGAACAAGTCATTAGGGTTCTTCAGAAAGTGAGGAAAACTGCTGTTAAATGGGACCAAGACAATCAAACCCTCTCTGCGACCTAGAGCCTTTTTTGCTTTCCTCAGATTTGTACTTTCCTCGAGGATAGTTAGGTGACTATACGTATGTATGCTAAATTTTGGCTATTGTTTTCATGCATTTGTAGCAGAATCCATGTGAATTAGCTACAATACACTACATAGTTTTCCAGTGCACTATAGACTATAAACTACATCTTTTGTATGGATGGATAATAATAAGATGCGATTTAGATCATGTCTTTCAGCAACTTGTTATAGATGCTCAAACCTTGAGAGTGTTGTTATTCATGAAATCAACAAAGTTTTATTCAACAAAAACGCAAAGAAGCAACTTTTCCGCTTCTATTTTGAGTGTTGCGAAAACAATAATCCGTCTATTGGAAACATTTTAGAGGATGTAAAAATGAAGAAAGAATTGGATTCTCGTAAAATCAGAAAATCTCCATGCTTAGAACCTGTGCTCCAGCTTCTCTTGTTCTTGGTAGTATTGAGCATACCTGCGTTCATTTGCAACATCACAATGGAATGTTCAGCATATGAGCATCAGAAACAGAAACACTCATTATATGACACATGCAAAGTTAATTCCTCAATAGACGTTTTTGGTTCATCACATAAACACATCTGTAGTTAACTCAACAGACGAGCATAGACGACTAACACACTACTATCTCAACATTCATTTAACAATCAGAAAATTCAGAAATCTGAAGCAACAACAAAGTTTGTAAAATTCCTAAAGTATATTTGTTCATACTCCGCAGAAGAATGAGCTAAAACATCGAATTCGTCTCTAATCTATGCGAATTCGTCATGAATCGATAACTCTAAAACCATTTGTGCTGTCATGTCTAATACAATCACAACCTAATTGAATCTACAATATCATCGAACAAACAGATTGAAGACCGTCATAGCCGAAGAGACATCATGATCACCAGGTAACAAATCTAAAAACGATCGATCCATAGATTGATCTACCAAACAAATTCAGAGGGAGAGATAGGGAAAGAGAGAGAGCGTACGAGTAGGTTCCGATGACGGGAGCGAGGAGGAGAATAGTGCTGATCCAATTCTCAGAGACCTTGTGGTGGATCTTCTCCGGTAGATCCTTCCAGAGACCAGTCATGATCTTCTGCTGAAACGGCGACAACGCGTAAACCACCGCCTTCAATTTCACCGGCTGCTTTCCCATTTTCGTCTTCTTCTTCCTCCACCAATGGTCGTCTCAGGCGAGAGAGAGAGAGAGAGAGAGAGACCGGCTATATGCAATGTCTCAGCCTCAAAACGCTGTCGTTCAATGCTAATGTTCTGCTGGATAAAAATTATCAAATAGGCCTTTAAGTTCCAAATGGGCATTGGCTTAAAGGGCTTCTTAAGATGTTGCACTAGTACACGTGGACGGTGGAGATGCTGCCTTGCATAATGAAGTCTTTCGTGAGGGTGTTTACATAGGATCATGACGTTAACACGGAAACGCCCGGTTGCTTCAAAGGAAATCAATCACCGTAACTAATACGCGTCTTCAATCCACGCGCCTTCTTCGTTCCCGAGTTCCCTACGCGCAGCCGTGAGATGGCCAATCCACCAACGTTACCGATCTCAGACCATTCCGGTGGTTCCCAATCTCAGCAAACCGTCGCTACATCGGCCTTTCGCACGTTCCTCTCTCGCCTCTCAGCGTCGATCCGCCAAAGCCTGTCGCAGCGACGGCCGTGGTTGGAGCTCGTTGATCGGAGCGCGATTTCTAGGCCGGATTCTCTCACCGATGCGTATTCTCGGATCCGGAGGAATCTCCCTTACTTCAAGGTGAACTACGTGACGATCGTCTCCCTGGTGCTCGCGCTCTCGCTCCTCTCCCATCCGTTCTCTCTCCTCGTTCTCCTATGCCTTTTCGGCGCGTGGATCTTCCTCTACCTTTTCCGTCCGTCCGATCAGCCGCTTGTCATTCTAGGCCGTACGTTCTCAGATCGCGAGACGCTTGGAGTTTTGGTTCTCCTGACTATCGTCGTCGTCTTCCTGACCAGCGTGGGTTCTCTATTAACCTCCGCTCTGATGATTGGCTTCGGAATCGTATGCTTTCACGGCGCCTTTAGAGTCCCGGAGGATCTTTTCTTGGACGAACAGGAACCTGCCAACACCGGCTTATTATCTTTTCTCGGCGGAGCCGCCACCTCCGCCGCTGTTGCCGCCGCATCAACTCCTGGGTCAGCTCGTGTTTGATTTGGCAAACACAAACCAAATTGGCAAATTCTTCTGAAACGAGTAGGGTAATCATTATCATGCACTCTTCTTCGTAGACAAACTCAATTTCTATGATTGTTGTTTTACATTTTTCTGAACATTAGTAGACGGGAATGTAGATTTGATCTTCTTGGTTTCTATTCAAGGAATCAAGATTCTGAATTTTGACCATGATTCGAACATATGACTCATATTATTCAACATTATACTCATTTTTTACTCCTTTGCTTGTGACATCGATTTGGCATTCTATGGTATTAGCTGCAACAAGATTATCGAGTCTCTTGACTAGTATAGTATTGCGTTTCAGACTATTGTCTTTGGGAATTAGGATCCAAACATTTCTGAGTATAAATTGGGATCCAAAATTCGAACATTATTAGTGTGGATGGATGTAGGGAGCTAAACATGAACATAAACATTTGAGCTAAGCTAAGTAGAACGAATCGCTTCAGTGTATCTGCAATTTACATCTTCTGATGAATCATAATGGCCAAAAAGTATGCGAAGTAGGAAAAGTAGAAGAGGAATGATAATTGCACAAGAACCTATTCAAATTCCATCCAATCAAAGATTGAAAAGGGAAGATGTGTTTTTCTTTTCTGAAATTCGTGTTGAAATGTCGATTAATTGGTTCTGAAGTTAACGTCAGGAATTTACCTCAAATTGGTACGGTTATTCCAAGTACACGACCAAAAATGTCAGTGTCACACCGACTATTCTCGCAAATTCCGGGTAAATTACTTTTGTTTTTGCCATGGAAAATGACAGAGAAATAACGTAGCATAGAAGTTTATCGTGAATGTTAGTTAAAATGCATAATGAAATATTTGAATTCTTCAAGAGAAAAGGTGACTTTATTATTGGAAGTTAGCTATGTTTGAGTCTTTCACTCTATTAAAGTGCAATGCATGTGTTTGTTAAGATAAAACAAAAGCAATCATCAGATTATTAGAACGACTGAATATGGAATCTGAGTTCACACTTCAGAACCAATTAATCGACATTTAGTCATACAAAATTAATTACTCATATATATGTCACCTTGGTATCAAATTATCAAAGTATTTTTTACTGTTGATGAATGATGGCTAATGCTGGCAAAAAAAAAAGAATGATGGCTAATGATCTTTTGATTTGCTAAGACAGAGAAACTTGGGAATAAAGGAAGAAGCTTGAGACACAAGCACTAAACGTGATATGAAATGACTCGAGTTCAGTTCAACTACACTTTGTTGAAATTATTGTAAGTGTTGGGTGCAACTACTCTCCCCTTAACTAAGTATCTTCTCCCTTTCAATGACTCGACTTCTCTTCTCAATTTCGGTTTTGAAAAATTTATTGGTTTAAAACGTGGAATATCGAGTTTCCAAAGCATAGTAATGCAATATATCATTATAAAGTAATATTCGTAAAACTAAAAGATTATGTTCCATGGTTTAGCGTTTGTTTAGAAGAACTAAAACAAACTTCAGTAATCATGGAATAGTAGCTAGTACCATTACTTTTTCTAACATCCATAGATTAATTTGGTACAATGAATCATCTTGATGCGTTAGGTGTTTAATCTAATCCTATGTCAATTTAGTTTTAAGGTTGATTAAAAAAATTAACCATGTTTTCCGATAAAAAGTGTGAAAGGAAGCAAGAAAAACATAGCCAACGAACTGATAAAGACACTTAAATATGTTGGTGACCGGTAATCTTAGTGTTCTTTTGAATAATTAGAACCTAATTTTTCCAAACTCGATATAAATTATTAACTAATTCACATGTACTTTAACTATAAAAGCCATCTTTCCCTCTCCCAAAATCACTCAAACACTTCTCTCTACTCATAATCCTTAATCTCAAAGTTTTCAAAAGCTCGAAGCTTAAACACACACGATGACGACCGTTCACACATTCTCTATCTTATTGTTCTTTTGTTCCCTACTCTCGGCTTCATCGATTATCGCTAAAGTGCAACACCATGATTTCGTGGTACGTCCTCGAAATAAATAATAAAAAATGCATGCCCATATTGATGATTACGTTCATTAATTGGGACTGTATGTGCAATCATTTAGGTACAAGAGACGCCGGTGAAGAGGCTGTGCAAGACCCGTAACTCCATCACCGTTAACGGAATGTTTCCGGGCCCCACGATCGAAGTCAACAACGGCGACACTCTTGAAGTCAAAGTCCATAACCGTGGCCGTTACAACATCACCATCCATTGGTACATTAGACTTGCACATTTACACTACGCCTTACTGCGAGAGTATTATTGTCCAAAAAAAACATAAATTTTATAAGATTCCAAAAATACCACAGAAGGTGTTTCTACATACAGTATACACTTTTTTCAACGTATGAAGGATTTTTAATATTGTCTGTTACGACGACATACAGTAACAAAATTATAAGTTTGTTTATCTATTTGATAAAAATGAATAACAGGCATGGAGTAAGGCAGATAAGAACTGGATGGGCTGATGGGCCTGAATTCGTGACCCAATGCCCGATCCGACCCGGAAAGAGCTACACGTACCGTTTCACTATCCAAGGCCAAGAAGGGACATTGTGGTGGCACGCTCACAGCTCCTGGCTCCGAGCCACCGTCTACGGTGCACTCATCATCCACCCAACCCCGGGTTCCTCTTTCCCTTTCCCTAAACCGGACCGCCAAACCGCCCTCGTTCTCGGTATAACCAATGCCATTCCAGATTTTTCCCCCTATTTGATCCACAAATTTGTCGAAATTTAAATCACTCTTTTTCAGTTTTTTTTTACTAACTGGCAATGGTTTACTTAGGGGAATGGTGGAACGCAAATCCGGTTGATGTAATCAATGAAGCCACACGAACCGGAGCAGCTCCGAATATATCTGACGCTTATACCATCAATGGCCAGCCCGGTGATCTCTATAATTGTTCAACCAAAGGTATAACAAACAAAAAAGTTAAAGAATTTAAAGTATTTGAATAAATCAAATACACTAAAGGTTTAAAAAAAATTCTTGTAAATGCAGAGACAGTTGTAGTGCCGATAAATTCAGGGGAAACAAGTCTTCTACGAGTGATCAACGCTGCTTTGAACCAACCGTTATTTTTCGCGGTGGCTAACCATAAGCTCACGGTGGTTGGAGCCGACGCGTCCTACCTCAAACCATTCACCACAAATGTTCTTATGTTAGGTCCGGGTCAAACCACTGACGTACTTCTAACCGCCAACCAACCACCCAAACGCTATTACATAGCAGCAAGAGCTTATCAAAGCGCTCAAAACGCACCGTTTGACAACACCACAACAACAGCCATTCTCCAATACAATAAAACGACGACAACTTCTCCACCAATCAAACCGGTTCTACCAGCTTTCAACGACACCAATACCGTGACGTCATTCTCCAAAAAATTCAAATCTCTCCGTGACGTCGTCGTACCGAAGACAATCGACGATAGCTTGTTCTTCACTATCGGTTTAGGTCTTGATAATTGTCCCAAGAATTTCCCTCAAAACCGGTGCCAAGGCCTAAACGGGACCCGGTTTACTGCCTCCATGAACAACGTCTCGTTTGTTCTACCGTCGAATTTCTCGCTTTTGCAAGCACACTCCAACGGCATTCCCGGCGTTTTCACGACGGATTTTCCTGCTAAACCGCCGGTTAAATTCGATTTCACCGGAAACAACATTAGCCGGGCTCTGTTTCAGCCGGTTAAGGGTACTAAAGTGTACAAGCTCAAGTATGGATCGAGAGTTCAGGTTGTTTTACAGGACACGAACATTGTTACGTCGGAGAATCATCCCATTCATCTTCACGGTTACGATTTCTACATTGTCGCTCAAGGGTTTGGTAACTTCGATCCCAAGAAAGACACTTCTAAGTTTAACCTTGTTGATCCTCCACTGAGAAACACCGTGGCTGTTCCTGTTAATGGCTGGGCTGTTATCAGATTCGTTGCGGATAATCCAGGTGATCCATTCTTGAACGATTGCAAGAAAATGATTATAACATTTGTCATTTGATTTGGGAATATAATGTTTGTTTGTTGGGTGATGAAACAGGGGTTTGGTTGATGCATTGCCACTTAGATGTTCATATCAAGTGGGGTCTAGCTATGGCGTTTTTGGTTGATAATGGTGTCGGAGAATTGGAGACTCTTGAAGCTCCTCCTCATGATCTACCTGTTTGCTAGTCACAGCATCATGATCACTATCAACTTACCATTTATTGAAGAAAAAAAATTATAGATCTAAAAATGGTGGCATTTTTGGAAGAGTATTCAAATTTTGGTATTGTAATGGATTAAGGAATATAAATCTCGTTTGCATAGATGTGTTCACTGTCGACCAGTCCATATTGTTTTTGCTTTGCCAATTGTGGCGTTTTAAAGAAACTCGAAATTTCAGCCTAATGATTCGAACATGAATGAGCCTTTTTAGCTTGAAACTGGATGCTAATTTGACTAAGGCCCACCACAATATGTGGACTTAAAGGACGTAGGCAATTGCGTAGGGTGACGCGAGCAATGGCGTTGGAGACACGTAGTCGATGAAGTGGCTACGGTGTCGAAAGGACACACGACGCACATGCAAAGGCTATGGCTGGCTACTGCTCCTAACAACTTGTAATTTCCATATTAGTATATGATTATGATCCTCTACTGCTCTGGTCGAAGTTGAGCCACCAAAGTTTGAGCTTCATCCATTGACACGTCTCTTGTAAACTACTCCAATCATTTTGCCTAATATTTAATGTCTAGCGACTTTTTTTGATAGAAATGCAACATGATAAAATCAGCAGTTTTTGCCCTCGGTTTCTTAATTATATGTATTGTAAACTGAAACCTGTTACTTTTTAAAATAATATAACCATCATCCTTTGCATTTTATAATAGAGATAACCAATTTTGAAGGATCAAAAGAAAAGTAATATTCGTTGATGACATATTTTGTATATTGGCTATATTTTTGCAGAATACGGTAAAATTATAAGACCAAAAAGCACCCAAGGATCCATTTAATAATTGTGAACTAAGGTTATGCAAATTTGATATTGACATTTTTAAGTCAGGTTTATAAAAGGTGGCAATTGCAAGGCCGAGAGAAGTCGAGAAAGAGCATAACACAAGTAACGAGGAGAGCAGCTGCCACAATTTTCTGGTGTTGTCTGTGACAGTGTTGATAAAAAAATTAAAAATATTATTGTTGTTAAAATTAAAAAATAATGCAGTTTTTTTTGTGATCTTATCTATAACTCTTTTTTAAAAAGGCTTAAAATTTTACTTTTCCGTATCAACAGCGCGTCTTTGCTGATTCGAGAAGATTCGGGACACTCGTCGATTGGTAAAGACGTCTTAGCCCCTATTACCAAATGAAAAACTGACACGTCACGTTTATCTCGCACAGATTAATAAAATAATATTGGAAATATCTAGAGAAGGCTATAAATATCCCTCGATCCTCTTCTCAAAGATATTTTGATTACTGATAAAGCTGTCTGAGAGATTATCACTAGAGAAAACGCGAAAAAGGATTCATCGAAGAAGAAACATTTTCACAAGTCAGTTCGACGAGAACAAGAAGGCGATTCCTCTTCGTACAGAAAGAGATTTGATTTCGATCAGAACTTCAGATTTCGAGCTATCGTCGCCAATAGGTATGTTCATTTCTCGGCTCTTACCAAATTTTTGATCTGTTTCTTTGAATTCCCCTTAATTTGGCCTCGGAAAGGGCACGTCTTGTGAATACTCGGTGGTTCTAGGGTTCTTAGGTTTAGAATTATTCCTTTTTAGCTTCAATTTTGCCTTTAGGTCTCGCGGAGAAATTGAAGTTCTTAATATGGATTCATTCTCCCCTGTCTAGCTCTGATCAAATTGATATGAAATTGAATAAATCTAGAATTAGATTATACTTTCAATTGACAAAAAAATCTTACTTTGGGGGCTGAAGGAATTTGAGACTCTGATTTTATCCCAATTTCAATGATTTCGTGTGTTTCGATAAGAATAGTGATTCGTTACTAGTATACGATCTGGATTGTGTTCTGATATAAAGGTGTTGCTTTTTTGTAGATTGTCTTAGTCTCTGAGAAGAAGATGGCAGTTTATGATCATAGTGGAGACATCAATAAAACTCAGCTCGATACATCAAGGAAAAGGAAATCTAGAACTAGACGTGACGGTGTCACTGTGGCTGAGAAGCTTCAGATATGGAAAGAGTACAACGAGACCGCAGAAGAAGCTTCTACCAAGAAACGGAAAGTCCCTGCTAAAGGATCTAAGAAAGGTTGTATGAAAGGCAAAGGAGGACCAGAGAATAGCCGATGCAGTTTCAGAGGAGTTAGGCAGAGGATTTGGGGTAAATGGGTCGCTGAGATCAGAGAGCCAAACCGAGGCAGTAGGCTTTGGCTTGGTACTTTCCCGACTGCTGAAGAAGCTGCTTCTGCTTATGACGAAGCTGCTAAGGCTATGTATGGTCCACTGGCTCGTCTTAATTTCCCTGAGCCCGCTGTGTCTGATGTCGCGAGTACGTCGAGTCAGTCTGAGGTTTGCACGGTTGAGACTCCTGTGGGTGTTCGTGTGAAAACAGAGGACGCAGACTGCGAATCCAGACCCTTCTTCTGTGAAGCTAAACCGGTGAATCGTACGGAGAATGGCGCACATGTGAGCGCAGAAGAGATGAAGAAGGATGTCAAGGTAGATGTTAATGTAGGAGTTCCAAACAAGGATTGGCTGAGCGAGTTCGAACACAAGTATTGGAATGGAATTCTGAAGGAGAAACAGAAACAGAAGGAGCTAGAGATTGCAGGAACCTGCTGTCAGCAGCCGGGTACACTCTCTGTTTCAGATTACGGATGGCCTAACGATCTGGATCAGAGTCAATGGGACTCTTCAGAGATGTTTGACGTGTCTGAGCTACTAGGCGACTTAAACGGCGACATTTTCACAGGCATGAGCCAGGACCAGTACCCGGTGAACGATGTTGCCGGTGGCCTGTTGGAGCCCGGGAAGCAGCAAGTGGGGCTTAGTTCTGATTACGGATTGCCTCCACTTCAGTTCGAGGCACAGGATGGTAATGAGTTATTCGATCTTAGTTTCTTGGATGTGAAGAACTGATGAGACAAAATTGGATATCTTTGTATGTGTAATTTGCCTTAATCGTGACTTTTGAGACTCTTATCGAGTTTTAATGATACAGAGAACCTCGGAGGAATGATGCACTTTTGTTCTTGTAGAAAAGTGAACTGTATATATCAAGAGAGTGTACTATATAACTATGAAGTAATAAGTTAGAAAAATTGTCTTCGTTATGTTCAAGCCTGTTTTGTGACACAACAACAAGAGCACATATAGTTCACTTGATGGGCCTGAGTGGCAGATCTCTTGATCAAAATTCTGTTGTATACACAGTCAAGTTAAATGATTTGTTGCTACTCAAGCCCAAAAAGTAGTACTGGTGATTTTGAAACTCGACTGAGTCAGTATTATAAAAATATTATCTGTTTACGAATGTAGATGAATTCACAAATCACAGCCAAATACGATACACATTTGTACAGACACATATATGGTGTGTGTAGGCATGCTTCTAATTAGCATGGATAACTACTCGCAACATTACATAGAAAGTTTGTTGATATTTTGAATTTCTTAGTAGAAAAAAGAATGTGCATCCTATTAAAGAAACAACAAAAAGGCAAAGGAATACAGCCAAATTGGTCAGTAAAGTTTTGTTGTATTATCTGCAAGAGAAGTTTCCCAGACAGCTTCTTCTTTCCAAAATTTAAAAGGATAAAGATGGATGGAACTATCCAGAATTTCAGTAATGTATCAAGTCTAAATATCTGTTAAGTACAGTAACTAACCTTCCGTAAGAAATATATACTAAATTCATTTAATTAATACTTTCATAGGCAAGACAAATCTTAGACAGAGCTAAGGACAAACCTAAAAATCGATTAACAGTAACTCTGGCCTTCTATGTCGAAACTCACACATGAAGTGACAAAAGGATAAGATCAGGGGATCCTGAGAAGTGTGAAAAATGTATCCAAAATCTTCCTTTGCGAGTTTAGCATATAAAAACGATATGAAAGAGATGATAGTAATTAAATCCCACATACATATCTTTGACAAAATAAACAACTCATAGCAGTATACCTTGTAGCACACAGTATTGATTAAAATCACCAAATTACGGAATATCGATTTCGACCATTACCAAATGCAATCTAATCCACTTTTCTTTTTGCACATATACACACAAATTTGAACTAGCCTGTCAGGAAAACAGTAACTGCATGTCTATACAATTGTATGAAACTTGGTGTAGGGTATCAAACCCATGTCGTCATATATTTAGCAATTAAGTAAAACTTAAAAAAAACAAAACAAAGTCGCGATGCAACAACCCTTGTACTATATAAGAATATAATATTAAAATGGCAACAAGAAAAAAAGAAAGTGAAGAAGAGGAGAAAAATGAAAAAAATAAAATAAAGGAAAGGATAATCTTCCACCTAAACTAAGTCCAAAGAAGATTGCAAGTTGCAACATCCACTTGCATCCTCCGGCGTAAGCTCTTTGATAAGGTCTCACACACCTTCCTCCCAATTTCTCTCTCCACCATATATACATGCATACATACAACATTCCTACACATATATGACAAACCCATCAACATCTGTGCATGCACGTGTGCTCATGCATGTATGTCGTTTTAAAGTTACCCATGACCATACCCATCATGATTCATGAATGAATATTTGATTAACACAATCAATTAATGAGACCAGATTTCACATGCGCGATACTTGGGCTGATACTCGGGTGCTATATTTATTTCAACTATAATCTACTGGTCACGGTTTTTATTCAAAAATATTTTGAATTAAGGTAATAGAATTGTTCAAGAGAAGCAATATTGGTTTGCTTTCAGTTGTGTTACGATGATCAACGGATGCATGAAACACAAGAGCATGCTATTTTCTGTTTCATACAACTTATGCTTCTAAAACTAAGAGATGTATATAATAACCAGAATGTAATTAAATAATATAGTAAAACTGTAATAGGGATTAACTTGTTACCATAAGCAATTGATTTGCTGGAATCATATCTAAGTTAAACCCGCAGATTCTGGAATAAATTTGTCAGAATTGGAAATGAGGAATCAATAGAAATATACATTAATCTGCAGGTGGTAATTTATAGAAAACGAAGGAAAAAAAAATGATGGTACACTGCATCATACATGGCAACACATATCCATACATATCTGCATCGATACACACACAGCAAGCCTTCACATCACCAGCTATCACTATCTCTATCTAGCTACAAAAATGTTAATATAAAAAACCACAATATGTTCACATAATCATATCTTATTATTTTAGAGATGATCATCCTCTAAAAAGGTTCTCAAACAAAACCAACTTGACAGCCGACAGCGAACAAGATCAAAAAGCTCTCTTCTTTTCTCTTCAAACCAATATATACGAATACATAATTTCTCATCCCAAACCAGAGATTCCTCAGAGAGAGAGAAGAAAGAGAGAAAGAGATCAGAGATGAGGTCACCGGTGCAGCTCCATCACGGCTCGGACGCCTTGCAGCCTCACGATCAGACAGATGGTCTGATCAGACGAGTGTGTCTCACGCGCGGTATGCATGTTCCCGAGCACGTGGCGATGCACCACACACACGACGTGGGTCCGGACCAGTGCTGCTCCTCGGTCGTGCAGACGATCCACGCGCCGCCCGAGTCCGTGTGGGCCCTGGTGAGGCGTTTCGATAACCCGAAGGTTTACAAGAACTTCATCAGGCAGTGCCGTATCGTGCATGGCGACGGTCTCCACGCCGGAGATCTCCGGGAGGTCATGGTGGTGTCGGGACTCCCGGCGGTGTCGAGCACCGAGAGGCTCGAGATCTTGGACGAGGAGCGTCACGTGATAAGCTTTAGCGTCGTGGGTGGGGACCACAGGCTCGAGAACTACCGATCGGTGACGACACTGCACGCGTCGGACGACGAAGGAACCGTCGTGGTGGAGTCTTACATCGTCGATGTGCCGCCGGGAAATACGGAGGAGGAGACTCTCAGCTTCGTCGATACCATCGTCCGGTGCAATCTCCAGTCTCTTGCTAGAAGTACCAACCGGCAATAATCTAATCGTTTTATTACTGCAAAATTATGTATCTACTTTTTTTTCTTTTCCCTTTCTACAGTATTTCCTATGGATGTTTCAATCGATCATCACAAGGAGTAAAATTTCGAGTACCTTTTTTTTTTAATTAGATATTTTGGTTTAGAAGGAAATGGAATTTCGGGGGATTTGTTTAGGGCATTAAACATTAATGTTGGGAATATCGAAATATTGTTGGAAAGATTCACACAGAACAGAAAGATCGATTTGAACTTTGAAGGGTTGGTGCATACTGCATAATAACATTGTGAGGTGAATCTGCTAAACGAATCTGTTGTTTCTTTCCATATTAGCAGACTTAACCATTTTGTGGTTTGTAAATGGATTTGAATTCATTGAATCAAAAACTGTTCACGGTCATTTTATCACAAAAATAGTAAAAGTTTTTTCTTTTTTTGTTGGTCCTTGTGACCAGAATTTTGAGATATAAAATACCATTCAAAGCCAACATTCCGAATTAGGAATCGATTAGAATCTAGAAGTTAAAAGTGCCTTTGTGTCTGGTGAACAGTTAAAATAATTAGTACATTGATAAGTAATGGTTTTGTCTCTAAGAAAGCTATGCATTTCTAGATCCATTTATTATATAACCGGGTTCAAATGTGACATGAGATTTATCCAATTGTCTATCTATATACTCATATTGTTCTGCTAACAGTTTATATATTGAAGGTGTTTGTAGATGAACTGTAATTAAGATTGAAACAATCGTATAGTATATATGAAGATTATATAGCAGGAAATAGAACTTAAACCACCCGATTAGCATGTGCAACTACATAAATTTATTTAGTACACCTAAAGCAAAAGCAGACGTGCTTAAACTATTGCCAACTTGAGTTTTCATTGGCTACTAGCCTGATCAAGTGGAGATTATGTTATTTTATTCCGGCTTGTTTTCGTAATTAACTATAACCAACCAACCTAGTGGTTTATATTTAATTCGAATTTAAGTTTTGGTCTACTAAATATTTGTTTTTTTATTGGTGGGTTATTTTAATTCAAGATTTTAGTAAGAAAGTCTAAAAGGACATGCAATTATAATTTTAGCTGGAAACGCGTTGCAACTTGCTAGTATTTTCTGCTCCTAGTGGGTTATTATGATCCAACGAACCGGCACACTTTTTATTCAATTTCGTTAATTTTAAAAGTACAAGGAATGAAAATATTTGCAATCACCACATTTGCAGATAATTGAAGATACAGTATATGGGCCGAGAGAGAGAGAGACATCTCTTCCATAGTTCCATTATTCTATGATTCTATCAGTGGGTTTTCGGAGTAAACCGGACCCAGAAACGAGATAATTCGAATTGGTAACGTGTTCAGTACTTAATGCTGGATTGGCAAAATCCAACACAAAACCGAACCGAATCGCTCAATACGCTGCGTTTTGCTTTCGCTTATAAAAAGGTCATTTCAAAGAGAAAAGCGGGGGAGCGTGCGACGGGAACCAGCGGCGGCCGTCATGGATTCATCGGCGAGCACCAACAAGGCGTTAAAAAAGATCCGTTTCTCCGAACTCGAACCTTCGCACTCCGGAGATATCATCTCTGCGCTTGACCGGTCCGGTTTCGAGATCTGTACTCCGGTTCAGGCCGGGACGATCCCTTTACTCTGCAGCCACAAGGATGTTACCGTCGAGGCAGTCACCGGCTCCGGAAAAACCCTAGCCTTCGTCGTCCCACTCGTAGAGATACTCCGTCGATCCACTTCCTACCCACCGAAGCCTCACCAGGTAGGAGAATTGGCAGAATTTGCCAACTACAATCTGGAAATTAGGATTTTTGGGGCATTTAAATCTCTTTAGAGCATTCCTGTAATGGAGAATTTATTAGTTTGTAAACATTCCTCGCCAAGAGTAGTTTATGCCTTTTTAGTTTCAGTGAATCTTCTGAAAATGCCTTCTTTCTTTACCCATTGATTTTTCAATTGTGAGATGGTGGAGTCTGATTTAGGTTTGATGCAAATTTGAAACTACAGGTTATGGGTGTGATTCTGTCTCCAACAAGAGAGCTATCAACGCAGATATATAAAGTGGCACAGCCGTTTGTCTCGACTCTGAAAAATGTGAAATCTGTGCTGATTGTTGGTGGACGAGATGCGAAATACGACATGAAGACCATAGAAGAAGAAGGATGCAACATCTTGATTGGTACGCCTGGAAGGCTCGCTGTTATAATGGAACGAATGGAGTTTCTGGATTTCCGAAATCTTGAGGTAGTGATGGAATATAATTTATGACTGATGTTTAGTTTGAAGATTCTGCCAAATTTGATAACTATCTGCGTATATATGTATGTAGATTCTTATATTAGACGAGGCAGATAGACTATTGGATATGGGGTTCGGGAAGCAGGTGAATTACATTTTATCTCGCTTGCCAAAGCAACGTAGGACTGGCCTGTTTTCAGCTACACAAACACAAGCTGTTCAAGATCTGGCCAAGGCTGGGCTTAGGAACCCTTTCCAAGTCAAAGCTACAGCCAAGTCAAAGTCGGACTCATCTCAGCAACCTACAGACTCGAAGACTCCTTCTGGTCTGCATCTTGAGGTATTAAGATTGATCATTTGCATAATTGATCATATTCTATCTTTACATTTTCTTGGCGGTTTATTTCCTCATTGTCTCTGCAGTATATGAAACGCGAAGCAGATGAGAAATCATCACAACTAGTGGATCTCCTGATCAAGAACAAAAAGAATAAGCTTATTGTGTAAGTTTGAAACATTTCACAGAAGCCTCATAAAAACTAAGCAACCTTATAGATAGTAATGAGTCTTAAGTGTCTCTGCAGATACTTCATGACATGTGCTTGTGTTGATTACTGGGGACTCGTACTTTCAAAAATTCCTACCCTCAAGTCCATATCTTTCATTCCTATCCATGGGAACATGAAGCAGGTAAGCTACTCTGATGTATTGTAATTATCCATATCATCTCATTGCTTGGTGTTATGAAGGGTTCTGATATAATATATACTTTACTTTACAACATCAGAATGCTAGAGAAAAGGCAATTGCGTCATTTACAGAAGCATCAAGCGGTGTCCTTCTATGCACAGATGTCGCTGCACGTGGACTTGACATTCCAGGCATCGATTACATAGTTCAGGTAAGATTGAGGAATACTGTTTGTTTCCATTGTATTTTTTTTGCCATCTTTGTTGCAAAACTGAGGTGATGTTGTTTCATGCAGTTTGATCCCCCACAAGACCCAGATGTATTCATCCATAGAGTTGGCAGAACTGCAAGATTGGGAAGAAAAGGGAGGTCCATTGTGTTTTTAACGCCCAAGGTTTAGCTTTGAGCACCTTTGTATTTCTCTTGTCCCTGATTTTTCTCAAGAATTACATCTCAGAGCAAGAAAACTTTGTTTGTGTGTAGGAGAAACTCTATGTAGGGTTAATGCGCGTAAGAGGGGTCCCTCTTCAAAAGGGAAAATGCTCTGAGAATGCATCCAATGTCATCCCCATTGTAAGAAAATCTCCCATCCTCTCTATCTCTCTCTCTCTCTGTCTCTGTTGGTCACATGGCTTAGTATTTGTTACAATGTAATCAGATACGTTCAGCTGCCATGGAGGACAGGGCAGTGTTGGAGAAGGGATTAAAGGCATTTGTTTCCTTTGTCCGTGCTTACAAGGAGCATCACTGCGAGCACATTTTCAAGTAACCATTTTTCTGTTTTGGTCTTCCTTAATATTTTTTCTCGCTATTGAACTTTTGTTAAATGAAAAGATTTCCCTTTTTGCTAACTTACAGATGGAAAGAGCTTGAAATCGGAAAGTTAGCCATGGGATATGGCCTCTTGAAATTTCCTAAAATGCCTGAAGTTAAACAAGACAGACTTTCCTGTGAAGGTTTTACACCTGTTGAAGGCATCGACATTGATGACATAAAATTCAAGTAGGTTTTCTCCACAAAAATTCCATAACAGTTATGATATTTGTTATCAGGAATCATATGCTAATCCACATGTTTTTGAATAAACACGCAGGGACAAAGTTCGGGAGAAACAGAGACAACAAAGGATACAAGCAAGGAAAGAGAAACAGCAAGAAGAGAAAGGCAAGAGAAATCCGAAAAAGGCGGTTGTTGTTGCTTCTGCTGATTCTAACAATGCGTCGAGAAAGAGAAAGTTAACGGGGAAGCAGAGACAAACCATTCAAACAGCTGAAGATGAAGAAGAGTTGGCTCGAGACTCTCGGTTACTGAAACAACGAAGGAAAGGGAAAATTACAGAAGATGAATTTGAAAGGCGCACAGGAATGATATAAGAAGAAACAATCCTTGAGAGGCTTAAATTAGTGTTTTCCCTTTTAGATTATAGATTCCAAAAGTATCAAACTTTTTTGAACGAATAAAATCGGATCATAAAAGACCAGATAATTTTATCCATTACCAACTGCTTCGTGCTTCCTTCCTAGTAGAGTGTGCTTGCACATGCTCTGGTAATAAAGACCATCACTGTCTCTCAGTGGAAATAATATTAAAAAAAAAAATAGAAATCATAAAGCAATCATCTTCTCCGTCTTTTGCCGTTGACTTGTTTGAATTTGGCAAAAACTCTCTCTGCAAATTTCTTCTTCTTCTTCTAAACTCTCTCTAGCGATATCCAAATCCAAGGAAGGAGCCATGTCAGTTCCACTTCCACCTTTCGATCCGACCAAGCCATCCACACCAATCTCCTTCCCAATCAAGACCCTTCAAGACTTGGAGTCTCGCTCTTACTTCGACTCCTTTCATTTCTCCTTTAACCGCTCATCCGTCTCTCTCCGGCGGAACGTCGGCAGCTTACCGGAACGATCCAGGCTCTTGGTTTGCCACGACATGAAAGGAGGCTACGTCGACGACAAGTGGGTTCAAGGTTGCGGAAACAACAACGGTTTCGCCATCTGGAATTGGTACTTGATGGACGTCTTTGTCTACTTCTCTCACTCTCTCGTCACTCTTCCTCCTCCTTGCTGGACCAACACTGCTCACAGACATGGCGTCAAGGTCAGTAACCCCCTCATGATCTCGACATTTTAGGATCTTTTGACATCTCAAAGTCTGATTTATAGTAGATGCTTCATTTGTTTGAAAGAAAGAGAAGAGTTTGGTGCAGAGTAATGATATAATTTATAAATGTTGGTTTTGACTGAAATGTAAGGTATTGGGGACTTTCATCACAGAATGGGACGAAGGTAAAGCTACTTGCAAAGAGCTGTTGAAGACAGAGGAGTCTGCGAAGATGTATGCAGAGCGTTTGGCTGAACTTGCTGCTGCTCTAGGCTTTGATGGCTGGCTTGTGAGTTTTTTTTTTTGCTATAGATTTGTTTGTCTTAGGATTTCACTCAACTCCTTAATCATATGGATCGGTATTTTGGTAAAAAGTGGAAACAAATATCTTGAGAAGTTATTTATTTATTGCTTTCTATTAATTGCAGCTAAATATAGAGAACGTAATAGATGAAGTTCAAATTCCGAATTTGAAGACTTTTGTAAGCCATCTAACCAAAGTCATGCACTCATCTGTCCCCGGGAGTTTAGTTATATGGTGAGTGTTGAGAATCGTTTCTTGCTCTTCTGTGTTCTGTTTTTCTATACTAACTGATACTTTTTACCTTTTTGTTTTGTTGCAGGTATGATAGTGTGACTGTCCATGGTGTTCTTGCTTGGCAAGATCAGTTGACTGAGGAGAATAAGCCTTTCTTTGATGTATGCGATGGAATATTCATGAACTATACATGGAAGGTTTGCACTTCATTCACTCTCTTAGGCCACTTTCCTTCTATATATCTTTAGATTCTGATATGAGTAGGCATGTCTTTCAGGAGAACTACCCAAAAGCATCAGCTAAAATTGCCGGTGATAGAAAATATGATGTGTACATGGGAATTGATGTGTTTGGCCGGGGATCTTTCGGTGGTGGCCAATGGACGGTGTGTATCTCATTTCTCTCAAAATCATTCGTATTTGCATTTCTCTGTCATACACAAGCTGCGTATAAAGTCTTTCTTAAATTCTTTTACGTGGGGGTAGGCAAACATTGCCCTTGATTTGCTGAAGAAGAACGATGTATCAGCTGCGATGTTTGCTCCTGGATGGGTATACGAGACTGAGCAACCACCGGATTATCATACAGCACAAAATAAGTAATACATATTTAATTCCATGTGATGATGCTAAAAAGGATATATCTATGTGATCTTATCGTCATGTGTGTTCTCTCTTTTTCTAGATGGTGGTCACTTGTTGAGAAGTCATGGGGAATAGTTCAGAGATATCCAGAATCCTTACCTTTCTACTCAGATTTCAATCAGGTGAAGTGAATCTCACTACTCTGTTTCCAAATATGGTAAGTTTTGAAAGTTAAAACTATCTTCTCTTGTTCACTATCCAGGGCCTTGGCTCTCATGTTTCTCTCGGAGGTCGGACATTGTCAGATGCTCCTTGGTACAACATCTCATGCCAAAATCTGCAGGTTCAGTAATCACTTCTTCTTGTTCCAGATTATACTGCAAACATCTTAAAGTTTACAAGAACGACATAACTTCTTTTTATTTGTCACATTCTTGTTCTCTTCTTGTCTGATCTGTTGTGTTCTTCGTGACAGCCATTTCTAGAGTTCAATGAAGCAAAGAATTCAGAGATCCTCCAGGTCACTGTTGAGTGAGTTCTGATGCTTAACACTTTTATCTTAAGAAGAAACTATTTTGACATCTAACAATAACGCACACAAATCTTGTAGTGGTCGAGAAGCTTCTTATAACGGAGGAGGGAACGTTTGTTTCAGAGGAAAACTAAAGAGACATGAAAAATTCACAGCAAGACTCTTCAAACCTCAGCTTCAGCTTTCTTCTGATTCCCCCATCTCATTATCTTACTCTGTAAGTCACATATGCGTCACATTTTGGTTAAACAGTTTCATTTTTACAAACTTACAGTTGACGCATGTAAATGTTTGGACTGTGAAGGTGAAATCAGATAAAAGATCTGTTCTAGGCATTCTGCTCCGTTTTTCATCTTCTTCACAGGAGACAAATTCCTTACTCATGGCGCCAGATGAGTCCATCCACAGATTTGGCGACGACATGTTCCTGCCATGTCTTCTCACATCAACACAGACCAAATCCGACTGGACAGTACACGAAACAAACATTGTTCTGGATGGACACACACTGACTGAGATCTCTGCTCTCTGCTACAGACCAAATAATGATCTCTCAGAAGAAACAAACACAACAGAATATTTTGCATTGCTTGGGCATATCTCCATCAAGAGCCAGCAAAAAACTAATATTTTTCCTCCGGCGTCATCGTGGATAATCGAGGCTCGTAACGTGCAGTTTCTACCGGGTGGCTCTGGCTCCAGGACCTTAAGTTGTAAGCTAGAATGGAGATTGAAGCATCCTGAAGACTCTGTGTTTACAAGGTACAATGTGTATGCTGAGACTCTAAAGTCGAGTGAGTACAGAACAAGGAAGGTTATGGAAGAGCCGAGAAGTGATGAGAAGGTGTTTCTTGGAACGGCTCATGTTGATGCTTATTATGTTTCTGACATGGTCGTTGGATCAGATGTCAAGAAACTCCGGTTCGTGGTTCAAGCCTGTGGTGAAGATGGTTCATGGCAGGAACTTGATGCTTGTCCTAACCTTCTAGTTGATGTAGAGCGTTTCGGTTCAAAGTTTTGTTGTGGTTTGTTTTGATTTCGGTTCAATGTTTTCGGGTTCAGTAATATTCATTTAAGCAATTTCAATAACTATACGCTTTTACATTAAAAGCCCTTCATTTAATTTCATAAATCATAACCTTCAACAAAACGACGTCGTGGATTGCTACACAAAATGACGGCCAACGGCGGCGTTACCGGACCGCTGGGAATATGAGCGAGACTAAACAGTGATTACGACGGTCAACTAAAGTTTAGATTAATAGAATCGCCCCAATTTTTAAAACCCTAAAACTCACTCTTCCGACTGCAAAGAAACTCAATCTCAAACAATGGCGAATCCTGCGCCGAATTTGGAATGCCGGATGTACGAATCCAAGTACCCTGAGGTGGATATGGCTGTGATGATTCAAGTGAAGAACATCGCCGACATGGGGGCTTACGTTTCCCTCCTTGAGTACAACAATATCGAGGGGATGATCCTTTTCTCCGAGCTCTCTCGCCGTCGGATTCGTAGCATTAGTAGTCTCATCAAGGTCGGCCGGATTGAGCCCGTCATGGTCCTCCGTGTCGATAAGGATAAAGGTTACATCGATCTTAGCAAGCGTAGGGTCAGCGAGGAGGATATACAGGCTTGTGAGGAGAGGTACAACAAGAGCAAGCTTGTTCACTCCATTATGCGCCATGTCGCCGAGACTGTTGGGGTCGATTTGGAGGTAATTGATAGGATTCGATCACTCTCCTCTCACCTCCTTAATCCAATTAAACGTTCGTGTCAGTGATCTTTTGCGAGCATTTCGTTTACTTACCAATAGAAACTGAGTTCATGGTTAGGCTGCACTTGTTAATTCTGACTTCTGAGATTATGGTTAGGATAAGTTTGATGAAAGTTAAGGTTTTAGGAGATGGTGTTTCCAAATGTTGTTGAATTCTACTGATATTGCTTTCAAGATGAGTCTCGTCTAGCGAAAGTTTTCAATCCATTGGTCACCTTCAGTGTTTTGGCTAATTTTCCATGTATGTGATTTTATCATCAGTTTTGTTTTCTTCTTGAAGTGAAGTTAGGGCCAAAGTTTGCTTACCCTTGTATTCTTTTCTCTTTAGATTTCCAGTTGCTGAGACAAAACTTTTCTTTTGTAGGACCTATACGTAAACATCGTCTGGCCTTTGTATAAGAAGCATGGCCATGCTTTTGAGGTAAGAGCTCCAAAACTTTTGTTTACTATGATAGACTGTGTTTAAGACGAAACATAGTGATGGTGTGTGACTGTGTGCTGTGGACTGTGTTTTCAGGCTTTCAAAATCGTTGTGAATGATCCTGATTCTGTTTTGAATACTCTCACCCGGGAAATCAAAGAGGCAGGACCTGATGGTGTGGAGGTAACACTCTGTGCTTTTAGCAGCCTTCACTATCTTTGTTTTAGTTTGATCATGACGACTGAAGATTTATATAACATATCTGTTGTAAAGGTGACTAAAGTTGTTCGGGCTGTGTCTGAAGAATTGAAAGATGCGTTGGTCAGAAACGTTAGGAGAAGAATGACTCTGCAGCCAATGAAGATTCGCGCTGATATTGAGTTGAAGTGTTTTCAGTTTGATGGAGTTATCCACATCAAGGTCAGTCTTATCCTCTTTCTCTTTTATTTGTTTGTTTTGTTTACAGAGATGAGTTTTCTTTCGTTTACTTCTAGCGTTTGTTTCACAAAACTTAACTTTGTCAGATTCTGGCTATAATAATATAATGAACTTGCAGGAAGCCATGAAGAAGGCAGAGGCTGAAGGTAGTGACGACTGTCCTGTCAAAATCAAGCTTGTTGCTCCACCACTTTACGTTCTCACAACGCATACCCTTGACAAGGTATGTTTATGCTTAGTTGGGTTTGTCCCTTCTTTTAGGGCGGATATAGGTTTAAGATACATAACAGTTATATCACTACAAATCTTCTTTAATCACTCTTGACATTTTCTTTATCTGATTGAGCAGGACAAAGGAATAGTGACTCTGAATAAAGCAATTGAAGCATGCATTACTGCAATAGAGAAACAAAAGGGGAAACTCGTCGTTAAAGAAGGTGCTCGTGCGGTAAGTCTTCGTATCTCTACTGCGTGACTACTGTTTTCGTTCACTCCGGTCCATAACTTTAACGTGTCCAACTTTTTTAGGTGAGTGAACGCGATGACAAATTGCTTGCTGAGCACATGGCTAAGCTCAGAATGGATAATGAAGAAATCAGCGGAGATGAGGGAAGCGAAGAAGAAGAAGAAGACACTGGAATGGGAGAAGTTGATATCGATGGAGGTAGCGGACTAATTGAATGAATAAAATCAAATGCATTGTTGCCACCGTTTCCACTTTAGGTCCACAATTTTGTTTCCCTTTCAAGCAAAAAAGTTTTCTCTCGTTTGTCCCTGAACATGGTTATTAGTAGTACAAACATCATTATACAAGAAACGTGTTTTATCATGAAGTTACGAGGAAGAAGATGAAGCGCAAGTATCAGATGAACTGTTGAGGGTGATCTCGCCATTGGCTGCAACAATGTTGCGTGAGTAACAGCTGAACTCATCAACGTAGCTGAAACTCTGTCTTGTGGTCGCTTCACCGGCTAACACATTGTGATCTTCAACCTGCATCCAACCCTCTGAGTCCTGTCTGTTATAAAGCTCTGTCAAAGCTTCTCCAGAGGAATACATCTCCTCCAACGCGTGTGAAACATTTGTCACGAGCAGATACATATCCTTGTCGTTGGCTGAGAGCTCTCCAAGAGTTGAAGTGATCACCGTGAGTGGATATGCCCGCTGCTGAACAACCCGCTTCACCGGTTCTCCTGATTCAGAAGTCACCTCCACGACCCGCTTGGTCTTCACACTTTGCTCTACCCTCTTGTATGATCCGTTTTGCTCGAACTTCACCAAGTTGCCAACTTTGAACATGCTTTTGACCACGGTGGTCAGGTTACCTTCACTTGATTTAACCCACCCGTCAAATTCACTATGTACCTCTGCTTCAACTCTAAAAGACCCATCAAGCTCTTCCTCAAACTTTGCTCGTCGCACCATGTGACGGCTTGGACTATCGCAACGCCCAGAGCCAGCTTCAACATTCGAAGACTCGTGATTCAACCAGAGGTGCAAATTAGCGTCCACAAGCCAGTACGATATCCCATCGTTGACCCCGAGTGCAAACTCATGAGACTTTCCATCCAAAAGCAACCCGAGAAATGGCGTCAAGTCCATGTCGTATGAAGGTAGATTGAATGCACCGATTGCAACAACTGGTTCCCAGAACAAGGGATTGATTCCTCCCGTGAAGATCACCGGAAATGGCACCTCTGATCCCACGTATCTCCCGTCTATCTTCACAACAACCTCCCGGAATGCACCATTGCCACGCCCGGTTGCTAGATTGTTCGTTGTGATGTAAGAATTTGGCGGGTTTGAATACCAGAACTCGTCGTTTCCGTGGAACGATACGTACAGTTCCAGCACAATCCGACGAGTGTTGGACGGAATTTGAATTCTCTTAGAGTGCGTTTCTGCGGGACTCTCGATCATGAACCAGAAACCTCTATTTCCTTCGTCACATAACGGAATTATCAAATCCGCAGGTGCTTGGTCGCTTCTCTGGGATCCATCAACCCCTACTCTGCTACTGATCTTCGGTTTTGACGCAATATGATTGGATTCGTAAAAGTGGAGAGTGACATTGATATGATAAATGCCCGTGTAAACATCGTTGACGATGTTCTCGAGCATCATTGTTACATTTAGATCGGATCGCATAAAGAGCGAGGAGTACCTAGAGACGTCCTTCCGAACATTCCAGAAGATTCCGGTTGGATTCGGTTCAGCCGTACTGGTGCGGAGTAGCTCCACTCCGCCGAGCCACAAGCCGGAAATACGATCGTACTGATCGCCACTCGAGGTGGCGCGTAGGTCGAGCACAACATAAGACCATGGCGGCGATGTACAGCCGGAAGGTGGAGTATATGGAGTGGTAAAGGGAGGAGCGTTGATGGTGTTGGCGAACGAGTGGCGGAGGAGGACATGAGAGCACGACGGCGTGAGTTGATCGGACGGCAAGGGCTGACTGAGTTCCTCGTACTTCTTTGGCTTGTACGGTGACCGGAGAGAAGTCAAAGCCGATTTGAGGAATCGGTCCGGCGAAGAAGGAAGAGAAGCGGTTGTAGCAGTAAGAAAAGCAAGTGTGAGGAAAAACTTAACGGCGCCATTTTGGTTTATCTCCGGCATGATATTTTCTGTGCAATTTGATTATCCGATCTCGCCGATGCAAAGCTCTATGTCAATGGAGAGAGAGGCATGGCCGGCCATGAATAAACACCAGACCGTTTTAAGTTTTCAAGAATCAACTACGTGTCGTTCTTACATTCCAAAATGGCAGGCAGTCCAAATGAAAAGTTTGATAGTGATACTATGGGGTCCACCTGCGGTAACGGAATTGCTATTGTTTATTGTTCTAGTGTCACATGTGGTTAATTATACCCTGTGTACGTGTCAACATACGAGAGGGCTGCTTGTGTTACTTTCGTCACCGTGCTGTATCTTTCGCGTTACTCCTGACATGCTCCCTCTCCCTCCCGATCACTGTGAGCTCCCTTCTTATACTCATGGCGGGTGCATAAATATATACAGGCAGCTTTAATCAGATTCAGCTTTTTCTCCAGACTCCGTAGACGCAACGAGTTGATTTTCTCTTTTTCTCTCTTCCTGGGTTGGATTTTTTTTTTTAAAACTTGAAGCATGTTTTTCTCTCATCAGCTTCTAGCTCGGAAAGCGCCGTTAGGTCAGATATGGTGAGTCGAATCCTATCAGTCAAACGTTTTCCGATGTTTCGTGATTTTGCAAGCTTTGTTTTCGTATGGAGTTACTTCGCTGTTTTTTTGAATCCGCCATGGGAATTTCCTCGTTCCGATCAAGCATTTTTGTTACTGCTTCAATCGCCACTCTGGGTTTCCTTTTTTTTTATCTCTCTGCGGATTTTAGTGTAATCTCCAACCTCTGTTTATTTTTTTCTTTCTTATTTGTTTATGGTGTACGTTCTTCAAGGATGGCTGCTACGTTGCACGCGAAGATCAATCGGAAGAAACTAGACAAGCTCGATATCATTCAAATCTGGTGAGAGGAGATCCTTTCCTTCCTTTTTTATGCGTTTGATTTTTGGGTTCCATGACATTATATGAAAACGAACGTTGATTTTCCTTTTTTTTGTTTTGTGTTGTTGGTTATTTGACTCTCTCACAGCGAAGAGATTTTGAATCCGTCGGTTCCAATGGCTCTCAGACTCTCTGGGATTTTAATGGGTATGCTTAACAATTTTGCTCGTCGGAATTTATTTTCGTTCTTCTCATCCTGGGTTTGATGATTCTCAGTCTCTCGTCTCTTTGTTAGGTGGGGTTGTGATCGTTTATGAGAGGAAAGTGAAGCTCCTTTTTGGTAATTTTTCGGATTCAATAACTCTTAGCTAAATCTCAATTAAATTTTGAATTTCCAAATTGATGAGACCTTTCTCTTTTCTGGGGTTTCCTTTAATTTTCAGATGACGTAACTCGCCTTCTGGTAACCAAACTTTTCCGATCCTATTTCTTTTTCCGTCAAAATCAGATTTCCGTATCTCGCTTTCTGGGTTCTCTCTCATATTGTGTATATTCTCAGGTCGAAATTAATGGAGCTTGGCGCACAAAAGCTGTTCCGGATCCCACTTTACTACCTAAAGGAAAAACCCATGCCAGGTATTTTACTATTTCCCTATTTCGCTTCTTCTTCCTTTGCCTTTCTCCTATCGTATTGCCATTGAAGGATTCGGCGGGAAAAACCCAAAATCACAAGAACAGTGTCGTAAAATGGATTGGCGTAAAAATGATTTGGCGTGTTTGGGTTTTTGTTTGTTTGCAGGAAAGAGGCTGTTACGTTGCCTGAGAACGAAGAAGAGGATTTTGGAGATATTGAACAGACTCGTAGTTTACCAAAATTTCCCAATTTCATGGAGTTTCAGCAGACTTACATTTCCATGGTAACCAATTAGATTGAGTGTTTAATTTCCTTTTTCGTCTCAGTCTTCATTAATACCCCATATAAAGATTCCAATGCTGAAATTTCCAACTTAATAAGCTGAAAGGGATATAAAGAGAATTCCAAGGGTCATTTTTCATTTCCATAGAAGGATAATGTGGGGGGAAATAAGTTGCGCATAAAGTGCATCTGAAGACTTGGTCTAACTCAAGCATGTGATTTTTAGAGTTGCCTCATTCCAGTCTGCGTATGAAAATTTCTTTGTGGAACTTGAAACATATCATTTGAACATCGCTTTAAATTTAACGTGTAACCTATGGGTTGTGGAAAAGGACAATGCACAAAAAAGGCAACTGTTAATGTGAATTGATCATAGTGTTCATCTCCTTGTAAACCAATGAATATTCATGTGCATCTTCATTTAAACTAATTCTTTCCCTGCTTTATCTCTTTGCAGCGGTTAGATGAACCCAATGTTAACGATATCCCCGGGCAAGAAGATCTTGGACAGCAATTCCATCAAGGTTTCTACCGTGATAAACTTTCTTGAATATGCCTCATGTTAATAACTTTAAGTAAAATTGTCAATTTTGTAACATTCTCAGCTGATGCCGACAATATCACACTCTTTGAGTATCATGGTTCATACCAGGCTAACACTGAGACGTATGATCGTTTTGAAAGGTTAGTTTCCAATCCCACTGTCTATCTTCCGGTCTTTCATTCCCAGATTTTATACCATTTCCAAAATTGTTGATGGTAGAAGTTTGGAGGGTTCCATTATTTCTGTGTTTTGGTGATTCTTAGTTCATTTATATTCTGCGTTTGCTTTCTTAATGGCATCTCAGATTTGACATCGAAGGAGACGATGAAACTCAGATGAACTTCAGTGCAAGAGAAGGCGTTGAAATACCTACAACTCTCATCCCATCACCACCTCGTCATCATGACATTCCTGAAGGTAAATAGTTACTCTATATGAAGTTTTGTGCTTAAGTCCATGAAGCCAAGAGAACAATGGCTTGAGCGGACCTCTAGTATAATAATCATGAATCTGACCAGTGAATGTACTTCCGTTGAACCCTTGACAAAAGATAGATGATTTCTAGAACACTGAGCTCCATGAACGAAAATGAACAAATTTACTAACCTGTAACCATCAGCAGGAGGCAACCCCACAAGCACTCAGCGCCAAGAGCAACAGGAGCATGTTGGGGATTTTGCTGAGCAGATGGAGGAACAAAACATACCGGATAGAGAGGTATTTTCTCTCACTAGGAATACTTTCATCTTGTGAGAGAAGAAATGGAATTGGATTTTGTTCTGCATACAGGAACACGATAGACCACAGCCAGCAAAAAGAAGAAGAAAGAAAGATACTTTAAAGATGGATTGTGAACAGACTATTATCGCTGGTCCTGAATACCAGTCATGGCTCCAGAATACTTCTAACATTCTCATGAGCGGAAAAAAGAGAAAGGTACAAATTAGCGAACTCATGTTGGCCTGTAATGTTATAACTGATGCTCATGTTGGCCTAACATCTAGATTTTTTTTTGTAGACTCGAGGAACCATCACCCTATGTATGGAGATTTCTAAACGTATGAATATGCCACCTACACAACTCTTCGAAAAGCATGTGGACATTTCTTACCCGCCTCAGCTTCAGGAGCTTTGGTCAAAAGGCACTCGTCTTCTTCAAACCTCATCATCTGGTCCCTCTCTATCCATCACTGTTTCTCTATTGTTTTTCTCCTTGATTCTAATAATCACTAATAATAAAGTTAGAGGAAGCAGATCTGACATTTGGTAATGCCAATGCAGGAACTCCACGCCCTGATTTCGGTGCGGAGCAATCTCCAGGGTCTGTTGAGGAGAGAATGCAAAACCACCATCAAACAGATCATGTAAGGCGCGGAAGCATATTACTTTAATATCAATAAGAGAGAAGCACAATTCTAATTCTCTCTTACTGAGTGTGGATAAATGCAGAACCAGGGCATTGAGACAAGCCCCCAAGATCTTGGAAGTCCCGCGGAAAGACTCCGGGACGCTCTTGCTGGGAAAGATGTTTCAATAGAAAGCTTGGTGGCCGGATCTCGAGCAAGGCCTGAGAGTAGCAACCGCCAGACTGCTAATATTAACGTTACGCCATTATATTCTGGTTAGATGCTTATCTTTTATATTTAGTCATCAGATGTACTAGCTTGGTTTTTGTGGAACATGTGTCGTCAATTATCTGTTTCTTTTCATGGAAATTGCAGGAGACGACGTGAGATCCATGCCTAGCACACCATCCGCACGTGGAGCAGCTTCAGTTAACACAGATATCAACTCTAACAGGTTAAGAACAGTATCTATATTTCTCTGATACTAAGTTTAGTAGCAACCACACACAGGTTTTGCGTAGGAAGAGGATCATTAATTCTTCTTCCGGTTACTAAAACATTTGCAGGCCTAATAGAAAAAGGTCACATTCGTCACCAAGAAGAGGACTCGAACCAGTAGCGGAAGACAGAACTTGGGAGCACCGTGCTTATGATGTTGAGTTTTCAATGATACCTGAAAAGGGATTCACAGCCGATAACGGTAAAAGTCTCTCCCATAACCTCTTCTTGATCATCCTACAACTTTCAGAAACATCATCTTACAAACCTTAAAACTTTGCTTCTGTCTCCTGCAATCTTTTTTTCACAGAAGTACTAGTTGAAACTGGACCTACACAGACTCAAAAGCCAGTGAACACTCACTCAGAGGAGAAGATAACAGATGCTATCAAAAGGTAAGAGATTGAGTTTTTATTTGAACAAATATATTGTGACAATGATGAGATGTGTGATTAAAACCTGAAATACACAGTCACCTCAAGACACACTTTGAAACACCTGGAGCTCCTCAAGTGGAATCTATTAACAAGCTCGCATCTGGAATGAAAAGAAACGCCGCAGCTCAACTCTTTTACCAATCATGTGGTACTACACTCTTAACTTCCTTTCCATGTAAGAGCAGAACAACTATTCGACCACTAGAGAATCTGACTATCAATGACTCTGTATTTTCGCAGTGTTAGCGACTCGCGGAATGATAAAGGTGGAGCAAAGACTGCCTTATGGGGATATTCTCATTGCAAGAGGACCTAGAATGTAGGTTTCTTCTGGACCATCGTTCCCGTTTTGCTATTCACGTTGAAGCAGAGAGACCATCGTCCCCGATTTATTTTTAATATTTTGCTATTAAAACCTCGTTTTATTTTGCTATTCACGTTGAAGCAGAGAGACCATCGTTCCCGTTTTATTTTTCAATTCTCAGAACGTCCATGTTAATGTAACCCTTTTTAACGTTTTAGGTAATATTTATTCAAACTCTTTCCTGGTTTATTATATACGTTTTGTTTATTTTAGAAGATAAGGAACTAGCTAGAGATCAAGCAATCAATATTTTAGTATTTACACCGTTGACAAAGATAATGGCAGTCACGTAATAAGCCGCTCTGCCTCCATTCCATACAAGACAAAGAAGCTCCTTATTTAGTTGCACTCACGTCTCATACAAAATGTCAATTCCTCACAAATGTCGGTTTACAAAACAATTAAAATTAATTACACAAAATATTATAAAAACACCAGTCCTTGTATGTTTCTATATATATATATGTATATTTCTCTCCTCTGAATCACACACATTAAGAAGTTCAAGAAAAAGAGAAACTAAACAAGAAACATGGGCCCACGATCCTTAACCTTCTCCGTTCTCGTCATCCTCATTGCGGCGACGACTTTGGCAAATGGTTACAGTCCTCCGCCTCCAACCACCGCATACCCGGCCGTAAAAACCGTGGAAGCGGCGGTGGAAGGAATGGTGTACTGTCAATCCTGCGACACATCCGGGTCATGGTCTTTGGCCGGAGCAGAAGCCATAGCTGGAGCTAAAATCAGCATCATTTGCAAGAACCACAAGCAACGAGTTAGCTTCTACAAAGTCTTCCAAACTAACTCCTACGGATATTTCTACGGTGAGCTCAAAGGTTTCAAGTTGACTCCACATTTCTTGGACCATCCTCTTCACTCTTGCCGTGCCAAGCTCGTCTCCTCTCCTCGTGAAGACTGCAATCTCTTCTCCAACATTAACAATGCTCTCGATGGTGCTCCTCTTCGGTATGACGAGAAGAGAATCAAGTGGACGAACTACGAGGCCGTGGTTTACGCCGCCGGTCCATTGGCTTTCCGTCCTGACCACTGCCCCGCGACTGCACCGCCTACTTACTGATTTGGAATTTTGTTTTGAAGATCATCATATACTAATGATAATATAAGCTAATGTTATTGATTTGTATCTTCTTGTGGTCCTTTGGTTTTATGGTTTGTCAATTGTTTGTAAGATGAGTTACGTGTTGAGTAATATTGAAATGGGACTCTTAAGATCTGTAAAACCATCGCTCGTATAGCCATATATAACCTGAACAACATTTATTAAATTTAAGACACACATATGTTTGCAAGTTCAAACAACAACATAGAGTAGTCACAATCGGCACAACAGAGAGGTATTCAAGAAGCAACACAAACCACACACTTTCTTGCTTCTACGCATAATTTATGAGAGCAGAGCAAAACCAAGTGGAATCAAATACCTTGTTCCTTAGAAGTCCATTGGCATTGCGAACAATTTGTTGATCTCATCCAAGGCTACTTTTGTGCACACTGTTGGCTCAAACAGATCACGCTCGTTTGACTTCGAAGGTGATACCTGAGCCGGGCGGCTACTCCCTTGATGTTCTTCCTCTTCATCATCATCATCCTCAAGAATTGAGAAACCTGCAGCAGGATTTGGCTTCGTTTCTTCAACTGCTTTCCCTTTGTTTTTCGAGCGTTTAGGTCTAACAAAGTCTATTGGTTCGCCAAACATGTTGTTTATGTCCTCCATAGCTTCCTTTAGGTTGACCGTTGGGTCCACAAGGCCATGGTGACAGACGTTTTCAACTGCTGGCTCATCGGAGATGGTTGAACCAACAAACCTACGTACGACTGTGTCTTCTCTGAATCTAGCTCGAGGAAGACTGTTTCTGTCTGCTTCTTCGGAGCTTTCAGGTGAATGGTCTCTTGGTTGGAGAAACACAAAACCTTTCCCGGCCTCATCATTTTCATCCGTAATGTCATCATCGTTTTCATCATCGATGAATATCTCAAAGGACTCTTGATTAGGCTGGGATCCCTGAGTAGTACCAGTCTTTGCTTTTCCTCTTGTGCTTGTTTCACTTTCAAGACTCTCGTCCACGAAAACTTCAAATCCGCTATTGCGTCCTTGATTTTCTCTGTCTTGACCTCTGTGTGATCTTCTCTTAAGTGGAGCAGTTTCAATAGGCTCTTTAAACATTCTGTTGATTGCGTTCATGGCTTCCTTCATGTTTATTGTGGGATCCACCAAACCGTGGTGGCAAGCATTTTCTGCTTCAGGCTTTCCTACAATGGCTTTATCAACAAAATTCAACACTGGCGCATCATCATTCTTAGCTGATCTAGGCTCATGTTGTTGCCTCTCAACCTTCTGCTGCTTTTCAGACAGTTTCATCCCCTGACGCTGCAAGAGGAAACATAAGTTCAGTCATCTGCAGAGTTTATGAAGATTATACAAGGAGATCAATCAAGCGACTACCTGTGTCTTTTTCCTTTTGTGCCTCTCCATGCGATCAAGGAATTGCAAGTATGATTTCTGTAACTCATCCATGGGTTCTGCAAGGCTGGCACAAGAGGAGTACATAGTCAAAATCTGTTTTGAGTGTAACTAGCATATCATATATGTGAATGGATTCTATGAATGATCATGCAAAGAACTCATCCATAGAGGATATAAACTGTCCTAATAGAGATTTACTCATCTTAAGCATTCATCAATGACAGTTTCTAGAGTTTCCAAGAGTACACTTACTTTTGTACCCCAAGACTGTACATTTTCTCAGCCTCCTCGAATCTCTTCATCTTCTCATAATGGAGTGCATATGCCTGGTAGAACAGTGACCTCTTGGTCCCTATACTGTTTGCTTCCATGGTTCTTAAGAGAGCTTTTGGATCGTCTACAAAGTCCATCTAGCAAAACAATTCATCATCACCCATTAAAACCCACAAGTTCACAAATCAACATCTGCTATAAAATGTGAAGAAAACCCACTAAAACAATTCAATTTCAACTCAGTCAAGTGCCAGTAAAAGGATTAATTGTTCATTACCAGCTGCAACCAAACGCGAATATAGCGAGAATCGTTCCTGTATCTCTTATCAGATTCAAATGACTGTGCACACTTCTGCAGAAACCGCGGCAGCTTCTCGTTCAATATCTGAGGCGGCAAGCTCTCTTTCATCTTCTTAATACCTCTGTTTCAGATTGACCCAAGAACCAAAGATACACAAATCAATACAAAAACTTATTCATCTAGTTAGATTTCAATGGGAACTTTATGTATCGATGCTTAGACCCGTCGGCAGAAATGGTGACACAGAGTGATGAGATTACCGGATCCAGGGAAGAAGATTGTCTTTTCCGGAGTATGATTTGATGTCGACAATCAGCGAAGCCAACAAATTCTCGTAGCCGTTATCGCTCGCCATTTTTGTTCTCCCTTTACTTTCTCTTCTGTATTTCCGAATTGAACAAAAGCCAAGGCAGAGAGAGAGAGAGAGGGGGATACACTAATTTCAAAAGATTCCTCTTTTGATTTCAAAATAAGAGGCTTTTACTCAGTCCCGTACCGGCTAATTAGCTAACCGGTTCATTAGCCAATCGGCTAACCGGGTTAAGCAAGGGGTTCGCGTGGATTACGCTTGTGGACGAGCCGTCAAATTGATTCCGCCGATTAGCCGAGAGTCCTCATCTCTCAGTTGCTTCACTTCTTTTCATGGCGAATCCGGCGGAGGAGAAACCCGACCCGAATCTTTCAATCCCCAAACTCGAACCTGAAGGTGAAGCGAGAGAAGAGCTTGGAGACAATAACGGCGACCAAGAGGAAGAAGAGGAGGAGTACGAGGAAGAAGACGATGACGAAGCCGCCGCGTCGAAACCTCGAACGCGAGAGGATGCTGCTGCTGCTGAGAGGCGTATGGCGCAAAATCAGTTCCGTCGTATGCGCGAGGCTCCGGTTCCGATCCGCGTTCACGACGTGATCATCAAGGGGAACGAGAAGACAAAGGACCACGTGATCGAGGCGGAGGTCGATGTTGTGAGGCAAGCGACGACGATGCAGGAGCTTCTCAATGCTGCCAAGGTTGCTAATTTCAATCTCCAGACGCTTGATGTCTTCGATTCAGTCAAGATTATGCTCGATTCTGGCCCTCCGGGACTTCCTGGTACCACCAATGTGGTAATCAGAGTCGTCGAGAGCAGAAGCCCTCTCACCGCCCAACTCGGAACCTTCACTAAAGCAGAGGTATCAGCTTCAGCACGATTAAGTCTTTGCTAGATTAGGTGAATTAGGTGAATCCATTGATAGATTAATAGAGTTGGATCTGTTGTTTCTTGATTCGTGTAGGCTAGATCATCAAGCCTTGAAGGCTCTTTGAAGTACAAGAACATTTTTGGCTATGGAGATATGTGGGACGGGTCTCTTGGTTATGGCTGTGACAACTCAGCAGAGGTCGGCTTGGGGATGTATTTGCCTAGGTTCAGAGGACGTCCTACTCCATTCACGTCGCGTCTTTACCTTAATACTCAAGATTGGCTTAAGTACTCTTCTTACAAAGAACGTTCTCTTGGCCTTTCTCTGGGGATTGTCTCAAGCAAGTATCATGAACTAGTCTACAATCTTGCATGGCGCAACCTGATAGACCCATCGCAAATGGCGTCGAAATCAATAAGGAGACAGCTAGGGCATAATCTGGTATCTGCTATGAAGTACACTTTCAAAGTTGACCAGAGAAACTCGTCCTTGAGGCCGACGCGAGGGTACTGTTTCATCTCCACTTCTCAAATTGGTGGTCTTGCACCTGATAGTCGAACACTTCGGTTCTTGCGCCAGGTTTGAGACTCTTCATTCTTCTTTTATGTTTTATGTTTGCCATACTTGATGCTAAGCGTTTGTTTGCCTCTTGGCAGGAAATCGATCTTCGATATGCTGTTCCACTCGGTTTTTACCGTTCTGCTCTGAACTTTGGTGTAGCTGGGGGAATCACGTTTCCATGGGGAAGCGGATACAAGAGCAGAGCTACCTCTGCGCCGGAGAGGTTCTTCTTGGGTGGAAACGGATCACCTGTGTGTTCTTTGGGAGGGCCATCTGCGTTATGGGGATTCAAGACCAGGGGATTGGGTCCCAACGAGCCAAGGAGGGAAGTAGAAGATGATGATCAGAGTGGTGGCGGTGGCTCATATGAACGGGATTTTGTGGGAGGAGATGTCGCAGTCACTGCATTTGCAGACCTTTCGTTTGACTTCCCGTTGAGATGGTTCAAAGACAGAGGAATCCACGGACATGTATTCGCGTGTGCCGGGAACATGGCAGCGTTATCAGAGAACAGTTATAGGAAGTTCACTGCTCCAAAGTTCTTGGAGACATTCAGAAGCTCAGTAGGTGCAGGAATCGTGATACCGACTAGTCTATTTCGCATGGAGGTTAGTTTGTTCTTTTGCTTCTCCCTTCTCATAAAGAACCTGAATAATGTGCAACAGAGATTGATTGATTGTTACTTTTGTTATGTTATTTCTTATGCCAGCTTAACTACTGCCACATAGTGAAGAAACAAGTACACGATCGAGCCAAATCTGGGTTTTTCCTGACATTCTCAACATCATCTTAGTCGTCCCACCTTTTATGATTTTCTAGCTCGAATCTTTTTTAATTTCCAGAAACTTCAGTATTTAGTTCATTGTTTGGAATTGAAACTGGGAAATTTTTGAGAGAGTGAATGTGTGATGATTCAACGCAACTGTTCTTTGGAATTGAAGAAAAAGTTCTTAGCTTTACAGTTTGTTTCGTTAATAATATCAACACTAATAATAAAGCTCCTATGTTAGAGAATTATATGAGAAGGCGAAGATTCAACAGATTCACACAGAAACACTCTAAAGTATTATGTAAGGTATACAGAAAATAGAGCTAAAATGGCTAAACCATGATGAAAAGAAAATAAAAAAACAGAGCAAAACAGAGGACTTCTTAAAAGTAAGTAATTACAGTTTGACTTTTTTTGAGAAAAGGCTTATAATTACAGTTTGACTTTCGTTCAGTTTTCTGGAATTTGTTGCTTAGATGTCACGCTACCTTGGCTCTGTTTTCCAATTCATATTTAGAAAAAGGAAATTATAATTCTAGCCGTGAGTTAACAAGTAGATGGATTCATCTCCAAAAGAAAAACTAGAAGAATCTAATCTGTTGCGTGGGAAAAAAGTCATCAACAATGCAAAACAATCGGCGAATATTTGTCTACCCGCTTAGTTTCTCACCGCGCTCCCATTCCAGTTCCAGCTGTCGTTTCTCTATCACACTAAAGAGTTTCCGACGAGATATCTACCGTCCGATCACTGGAAAAGAACGACTTTTCGGACAGACGCCACTGGATCCTCCACGTCATCTCAGGAACACCACACGAGGTCATCAAGTAGCCTTTTCTCTAGACTGAGCTCAGAGTTGTATGTCGGTTGAGATCAGAAGAAGATATTATTGAGAAATAATAATAATAATAACAGAAGTGAAGTTAGAAAGAAAAGACAGAATCTAGACTCAAAATTCAAAACTAGTGTCCTAGTCTATCTATTTGAGGTGGAATATAGTAAGGGGTCCAGAATCCGTCTGTCAAACTAATAGTACCATGAAGGTCGGTATGAGGTTCGGTGATATTACACAGTTCGACACATGTTACACTGTCGACATCATAGATATAGACATGGTTACGCCAACCAAATGAGCGAGTAGGGACACAGAAGGGTTCAGACTTTGAGATGAACATACGGAGACCTCAGATGCCCTGAGTGTAAACAGCGTTTCCTTGCTCGTCCAGACTGAACACCATCAAAAGCACTGTTTTCATTTTCACTATACCCTTTCTGATCCTGACGGTCTTCTTGTACAGCTTAACCAAGAAAGTTTCACAAAAAGTTGCTGAGTACTCCACCAAGTGTTCCGTTGTGTAGCACGTATCCAGAAGGTCTCGTTTCGCCTTTGTCAGCTTCGGAAGGTTTTTATACCGCAAGATCTGCAACTTGGACTTGCTCTTGCCGTGTTCGCAGAGATTCCATGATCCCATGAGGTGGCCTCCGGCTCCAGGCATGCGAAACATGTCATGTATCTTGGAATACATGACCTGGGAGGAGAAGAAGCTAGGGTTTTCGATTCTGATGTTGGTCCACTCGGGGTTTCTCTGAGCTGGTCTGCAAAGGCTTAGTTGAGGTCCCAAGAACTTGACAGCCACGACGCAGTCTTGGTCCTCCGGAGAAGATGTGGACATGGAGACGTTGGTGACAACTTGGGTTTGGCAATGAGGCAGAGTCACAAGAGGAGGCAGAGAAATGCGTTTCGGATCTGTATACGATGCATATGGGTTTAGATCGTCTTGGAGACGCAGAATGCCGTCGTCTTTCAAAGTAGCTACCCACCCATGGCACGACCCGATCGTTCCCATGTCCCTCATCAACTCCATAGGAACCTTCTTCTCCAAACAAGTATCTTTAACTTCTTTAGAATATCGAATGACGAGTTTTCCGAGATCATCTCCACAAGGATCAGCGCCTATGATTTTACAAGGACGGGTTTCCAGCAGGGAAGACGACAAGCCTTCGGATCTTGCCAACACAGGTCTCCGAAAGCAGAGCTTCGGGGGCTGGCTGAGAAGCAGAGACATGGTATAATGAATCTTCTTTTAGAGGAAAGCAAGAGAATTAAGAGAAGACGTAAAGAAAGAAAAAAAGCCCTAGTTGAAAGAAATGGTCATCTTCTCGAATTAGTACAGAGGAAGAGACTTGCTCACCAAGTTTCTCCGAATCTCCAAATTTATTACTGTGTTGATATTTTTCTTTCCCCAAAAAAAAAGAGAGAAACTCGCAATTTCTCTACAGTATATCTATTTCCTAGTAATTAATTTTCTGATTCCAAAATTGTATTTCTGGCCTGGCCATTATACCATCTCCTCTCTTTCCATAACTGCCATTCATTTCTTTCGATTTGCCTATTATTATTTGATTTGATTTCTTATATAATTAGGATTATGAACAGTTCTCTTCCTCTGTATTAATTCGATTTGATAAAATTAGGATTTGATTTGATATAACTCTGCCTCATTGCCAGACCCAAATTGTCACCAACTTGGTCATGTCCTCATCTTCTCCAGAGGAAGAAGACTGTGTTGTGGCTGTTAAGTTCTTGGGAACTCAGCTCAGCTTTTGCAGCAGACCCGCTCAGAAACACTCCCAGTGGAAAAGATACGACCATAAATTAATTTTGGAAATGGGAAACTTGGTGAGCAAGTTTCATCTCTCTCTCTCTCTCTCTTCCTTATGGTTTAGAACTTTTGGTAGTGAATTGCTCAGTGATTTCACTTGTAAATTCAAGTCAATTAGCTTCATCTGACTATGTGAATGATCACTCAGATTTCCGAGTTAGCAATGTGTATAAGCTCGTCTTGATTCTCTGATTTTGTTTCGGTTTTGATTGTAAAAAGTTGTTGGTTCTGATTTTTTTTTGTTTCGAATGTGTCTGAACAAATTGGATTCAGTTTCATTTCAAAAGAAAATTGGCTTCAGTTTTCTGGGTATTTGTGATCTTTGAGAAGATGATGCTTTGATTGCGTTGTTTGTGATCTTTAGGATTCTCTTAAAGACATCGCTTCCGAGTATAACGTTTATGAGCAAATGGTGTTTGGGAAGATTAAAGGTCTCTTTTACTTTCCTGGCTATCTTCGAGTTTACTTTATCGTTGTGTCTCACATGTCGATTTCTATATGCAGAGGGTGGAAACCTTGCTGCATCTCGTCCGCTAATATCAGGCACCTTAGCTTTTGGAGTTGGGATTTTTGCTCTAAGAAGTACGTTTTCTTGATACTGTATCTCCCTAGAGCTCAATCTATTAGGAAATTATGATATCACTCTTTTAGTGACTGCTATATTTGTTTTGCAGAGACCCTTTGTTTTGGATTCAGTCTTTGCTTTCCACAGCTGATCTTAAAGTAAAAGAGTTGAGACAATTGATGGATCGTCTCAAAGCTGAAAATGATAAGTTAGAGGTAAGCCTTTTCTCTTGTTTCAAGAGTTGGTCTTTTCAACTCGAGTTGGCGTTTTTGGAGAAGACTTCCTATCATGATCGAGTGATGAATGTCTATACAGCCATGCTTTGTGTTTTGTGATCACTTTTTTGCTCGCTCTGTTTGCTTGAAGTTAATTGAGAATGTTTATACTCTGCATTTCGCATGGGACCAGCTAAAGAATTTGATATGTGATTGACGATGGCAAGAAAATATTGTTTGTCCGATGTACTCACAAAGTAACCTCTTCCTATATGTTTTTCTGCAGTTCCCAGAAACTTTAGATTATTGAAAGAGCTTGACAGAGGTGAGAAAGGAATCGGAGATATGACCGTGAGCTAGGGAATGGATGATGCCGATGAGAAATGGACCATGATAAGCTTTGAAGAAATGTAATGGCTTAACTCTTATTTATAAGACTGTAAATTTTTATCTTTTAACTTTAAAGAACCCCATTATGAGTTGTGCAATGTGGAGCTAAAAAATATGAAATAATGAGAAAAACTCTGTAATTAAATTAATAATATATATATTCTTAAAATATGTTAAAGAGCTCCATATGGAGATGTGCAATGCATATGCTCTTAGAGTCTTAGAGTCTGTCGTTTTCTCTTGAACCTTTTAAACATAAAATATTGTGTGTTTTTTTTATATATTTTTCTGCTCTGCTCTCGGAGAAGCTTTGCTATAATAATAAATCTCTAGTCTCCCAAATCTTTTGTATTCATATATACAGTATATGTAGTACGTTAGAGACTGGAGAATCCGACCCCACAAAAAGATACGACCATAAATTAATTTTGGAAATGGGAAACTTGGTGAGCAAGTCACTCCTCTGTATTAATTGAGGGTCTCAGAAGGAGAAGTTGACCAGTTCTTCGATTGATTAGGGTTTTCTTTAATCCCTTCTTCTTTTGGCTTTTCACTAACAACATTGATTAGTCATGTCTCTTCTTCTTCTCAGTCAGCCCCCGAAGTTGTGCTTTCGGAGACCTGTGTTGGTAAGATCTTTTCCACATGGACTCCCTAAAGGCTTCTCACCTTCTTCCATGCCCGAAACACCTTTTCGTGTCTACATCGGCAAGGATCCCTGCAGACCGAGCCTTTCATTCGTCAGGAATCAGGTAACAAAACGATCATTTACGGAAGAGTGGCAAGAGAAGAGAGAAAAGCTTTTGGAGTTTACAAAGGAAGTAGGAACCCTAGGATCATCCAATGGATGGTTAACTACTGTGAATGACGGCGTGCTGCGTTTCCGAGACGTTGATCTAGACCTTGATGCAGCTAGCGTTTCTCTGCCTCCTTTTGTGACTCTTGCTCATTGCCAAACCCAAGTTGTGACCAACGTGGTCATGTCCTCATCTTCTCCTGAGGATGAAGACTGTGTCGTGGCTGTCAAGTTCTTGGGGCCTCAACTCAGCTTCTGCAGACCAGGTCAAAGTAACTCCGAGTGGACCAACATGAGGTTCGAAAACCCATGCTTTTTCACCTCCCATGTCATGTATTCCAAGAAAGACGACATGATACGCATACTCGGATCTGGAGGCCATCTCATCGGATCATGGGATCTCTGCAAACACAGCAAGAACCACATTCAGTTTCAGAGCTTGCGGTTTCAAAACCTTCCAAAGCTGAACAAGGCCAAACGAGACCACCTCGATTCTTGCTACACAAGCGAACAGTTGGTGGAGTCAAGAACAAGCGGTGAAACGTTCTTGGTTAAGCTATACAGGAAGACCGGCGAGATCATCGACAGTGTTGGGACAATGAGAACACAATATTTAATGGTGTTCAAGCTAGACGAACAAGGAAATGCTGTTTACACTCAAGACACTGGAGATGAAACCATTTTCCTCACAAAGTGTGAACCTTTCTGCGTACCTGATAGCACCTTCCCTCCACGCTGCGTCCATATCGTTGATGTCGACGAACGCAGAGTTTTCAGGGCGACAGACTCACAGTGGAATTTTCCGAGGAAGACCCACGTTAAACATTATTCCAGCCAATGGTTTTGGGATCGAGTCTAGAGACTAGAGTCTACCTTTTCTTTTAAAACTTTTTAATCATCAAATCTGTTTATACATGTATGTGTGGGGGTAACTGTCGTTTCGTTTGGAATTGAGTTTGAGTCTAGAGTGTGTCGTTTTCTCTTGAACCTTTATAAACATCAATTTTGAAAACAGAGCAAAACAGAGGACTTCTTAAAAGTAAGTAATTACAGTTTGACTTTCGTTCAGTTTTTTGGAATTTGTTGCTTAGATGTCACGCTACCTTGGCTCTGTTTTCCAACTCATATTTAGAAAAAGGAAATTATAATTCTAGCAACAAAATATTATGATAATCATCCTTATAAATACAAGCCGTGAGTTAACAAGTAGATGGAAGAAAAACTAGAAGAATCCAATCTGTTGCGTGGGAAAAAAGTCATCAGCATGCAAAACAATCGGCGAATATTTTTCTACCCGCTTAGTTTCTCACCGCGCTCTCATTCCAGTTCCAGCTGTCGTTTCTCTATCACACTAAGGAGTTTCCGACGAGATATCTACCGTCCGATCACTGGGAAAGAACGACTTTTCGGGCAGACGCCACTGGATCCTCCACGTCATCTCAGATTCGATATCCCTTCAGAGTTTATAGCCTCCGACATAGTGAGATGCCGTCGACAAGTGACTCGGTTTTTGAAGGATGTTGAGCCAAGGATTCGAGAAACTCTGGTTTTGTATGCTATTCAGCTCTACGGAGAAAGCGGAGGAAGAGCGTTCAAGCTCAAAGCTGATGCGGAAGATGTTGAATTGCACTTGATGGAAGAAAGTAAAGGCTGGAGTACAACTTGTATCTCGAAATCCATTGATCCGGTCAGCGAATGTATTATCTGCCTTGATGAAGTATGCGACGAGGAAGCTCTAGTGTTGCATGATTGTTGTCATGTTTTTCATAAAGTTTGTCTTTTCAACTGGATTTGGTCCAAAAGCTCTTGTCCCATTTGTCGTCATCCTATCTATACATGACCCAAATTTTAGGGTTTTTTCCTTTTTTGAAAAAAGAGTAATTCCTCTGTAATAAAATATACTTTTTTTGTTGTTGTAATTTCCTTTTCTGTAAAATTGTCACTTACACGTACCTGAAGATATGTACACAAAGAAAACAAGAATTCGGAAATAAAAAGGAAGACTTTTTACAGTAAACTGAATCACACTACTAAGCAAATCCACTGATCCTAGACTTCCTCCTCTATTAGACACTTGACAAAGATCCACCAAAGATGCTACAGCCTACAGGTAAAAAGCTATACAACCCCTGAATATTCACATATGCAATTGGAGATACAATATTCACATGAGCAACACAACCCCTGAATCATAGAGTCTTATTTAGAAACAGAGAGATGAAATTTGAAGAGAGATTTGGTGGTGGTGGTACCGAGGAGATTCCAGAGAGCAGCGAGCTGACAAGACGGAGATCGGGAGGCTGTTGAGAAGTGCGTGGATGAAGAGGATTCCTCTGTAAATGCCAATCACAACAAAGTCGGATCCTTCGTACCCGCCGCCGTTTTTTACCGCCGGTGGAGAGAAGCACGATCACCTAAATCAGCTGCGCCAGAGAGAAGTAATCGGCGACGGATTCTGGCGGAAGAGGCAGAACGAAGGAAAAGAGGAACAAGATGAAGGAGAAAGGAACAGAACGAAGAAGAACGTCTAACAGAGGAGAAATTTGCAGAGGTTGAAGAAGAAGATTTGGAGATTTGCCGATTTTCAGAGCAAAGGAGAAGCGGAGAAATGAAGAGAGAAAATTAAAAAAAAAAATCACCGGCTCGATGTGCATCTGACACGTGGCCGGAAGAAACGTATATTGGGCTGCTTCCGGGAGAGACGTCTCTCGGGGTTGAGCTTGCCACCTCAGAAATTAAATCCATTTGTTTTTTTCTTTTGGGCTAAAGAAACAGTGTGAGTATGTGTGTTGCATGTGCTCTTCTAAGTAAAAGATGAACATAAATAAACCCTCGTCTATTGCATATTTCATAGTATTTCACAAATCAAACAGAATGGTTATCTTAGTGGGCCAGTTGACCCAATTGGTCAAAATCAAATAGGCGAGAACATATTTATTTCATTTTGGGCCTTCAGTTTTACTTTTACTTTACTTATTTTCCAATTTAATTATCTTTTTTTCTTAAATCCGGAGTACAATTTCCAGATTTCATTGACTCTCCCTGCACAAGAGGTGTTCGATTAAATTCCTCTTAGAACATCACTTCTTCTGGGCGACTTTCGATGCTTTTCCTAAGTTACCTCCCGTGGCTGCTTTGATCTCATTTGTATTCTCGGAACTTGTCTGAAACCTTGTGAGCTCTTTCCGGTTCAAATGACAAGTAAGTGAGGCTTGTTCTTTCTCAGTTCTTCTTCCACTCACTTACTTTTGTTTTAACACAGTCCACGATTTTCACCCTTTTAGCACAATGTCTATATAAAATCGAAACTAAAATTTTGAAATTTTGAAAATTGAACAGACTAGGGTTGAAATCCCGAAGACAACGTGGCAAGAGCGGGAGAGTGCAGTTCAAATTCTTCTTCAATCTCCATTGACTCTACTCAGAGCTCTTCGGAAAAATGTCTCCAGGGGTTCGCCAACTCACCGTCATCGGAAAGTTCAAACCTTTCGGTCTAATCGCGGAAACTACCGACGGTAAACCTCCGGACGATAAAATTGCCGATTCCTACCAGTATTTTCTGTTCGACCCTGAGCTCACCGGCCAGAGAGACGATGCTGATGGCAATGAAGCTAACTACTCGCGGCAGAGAGAGCATGAGCTCTTCATCCGAAGCAACGGGTAAGAAGTGACATCGTTTAACAGTTGCGGAAAAAACACTATGGGCGGGATTTCATCAGATTTGAATTTCGTCTGTGTATACAATTTGCTGATTATTCTATTACTGTGCACGGTTCCGTTAATTTATCATTGATAGTGCTAGTGATTCGTCATTTACATTTGGAATGTGTTTTCATTTTCTCAAAGTATGTCTCTTTATACTATACTGCCTGTCGGATTATGCTTATGTAGAAGCTAATTTCGTTGGGTTGTTGATATAACGTATTCTGGCTGACTTTCTGGTTGCATCTGTTCCTGACGATGAAACTTTGATTTGATGATAGCATAATCTGGACAAGCGGTTCACGCGTGCTCAAGCGGTTTACCTTGTCTTCTGCCATCATCAAGGTATTTTATCATAAGAAGTTTGACTCTTTGTCTCCAATGGATGTGATGTGTTAGATTCTTTTTTTTGTGAAGCTATTTAAACTCGTAATTTTTTTGTTTAATGATGCTGTAGGCATGTTGGAGTCACCTGGGTCGAGGAGCTGAAGCTTTTCTTTGTGTCTTACAAATTGGTTGTTTAACAATATACAACATGTCAGGTAAGTGTGGCTAAATACATTTGTATTATATATAATATTTCCCCTCTTATCTTAGTTTTTCACAATGCCTAATGGGTTCTTGTATACTTTTTTGGCATGTATGGGCGACAGGCGAAGTTGTATCTGTTCCACTTCCACGTACTGTCATATCGATATGGCCACTACCATTTGGTCTCCTTCTTCAGCAATCAGCCGAAGTGAATCCATCCTTATATGTTCCATTTTCTTCTGCTAGCCCCATCCTTGGTTCTCTGCGCCAAAGAAAAGAAGCTGGGAATATTTCACCACAGATCTTCCACTCCCCAGTCGCACATGACCTTATTAGCAAAAGAGACATGTCTTACATGTCTTCCCACCTGATTCTAAGAGATCCATTAGAGGAACCTGGGGTAAATGATCTCATACGTTTTGATATTCCTTGTCTACTTTATTCCTACTTCATGCCAGTCTTGTTTTTATTCTGGGACCTGAATCATTTCCTCGTTGTTATCTCAACAGCACATAAAAGTGTTTTTGTTTATGCAATGTTTGGTTATATTTTGCATTTGGTAACTCATCTAACTAACTTTTCAGCCAACCTATCTAGAAGAGAGGGGAAAGTTGAACATAATGAAAGACTACGATGAGAGAACAATTTGGACAAGTGACCGTCTTCCTCTTATGACTTCATATAACAAAGGTTTGTCATTTTCTTCTCTTGTCAGGCTGAGCTTGCCATATCCTCTTCTCATTTTTCATTGAAGTACTCTGTCTTGGGTTTTTCAGGCAAGATGCAACATTCTGTGTGGGCAGCCGAATTTGTAGAGTCTAACCTTGAAGCTTCTGCTTCATGTTCAAGCGGTGTTTTTCCTGATACCGTTTTTCCGAAGCGAGTATCTTTTCGCAGAATATGGCAAGCCAAAGGTGCTAAGAAAGCTGCATCTAAGGTGACAATTCTATAGGATGTTTTCGTTGTTGGTCATGCTATCTTTATTAGAAGAAGATTATTTATGTATTGTACCTTTGTACTGTCATTGTTTGTTATTTGTTGACTGTGAGTGGGAGAAAGATTTGTGGGCTCTGTTACTGTTTACTCTTCTGATTGATTTTTCACAACTGCCTCAATATGTTGCAGGTATTTCTGGCTACTGATGATGCAGTCCCAGTAATTTGCTTTCTGATTCTAGAACAAAAGAAGCTGTTATCGGTGGGACTCCAAACTATTGAGATCAATGATGAAATTCTGTTTGACGTTAAGCCTGATACAAGCTGGAGTGTCTCTGCAATTGCTGCTGCACCTGTTGTTGTGACACGTTCTCAGTAAGTTCCTGTTTACAACTTTTTTGGCCTCTCTATCACTGTAAATGAGACTATTTCTGTCATCATGTTAAGAGTTTGTCCAATGCTATTTTCCATTTTCGTGCAGAGTGAAAGTAGGACTGCTTCCACATTTGGATATCATTGTTTTATCTCCAGAAAATGACCTCTTTCTTTATGTAGGTTTTTGTTATGTACCATACCATCTTGTTTGTTAAATTTCTTCCTAATGTAATATGTTTAATTGATTTATCGATATTCTTTGTAGTCAGGAAAACAATGTCTCTGTAGATATGTACTGCCTTCTTGGCTGGGGGAAAGTCTTGTTTCTGGTGATAGAGAGTCTGCCAAAACTGTTTCAGGTCCCCGGGACCTTAAGATCACAGGATTGTCTGATGCTGTGTTGGGATGTATTAATCTATCAGTCAATCATTCACAGGTATATCATTTCAAATTGTTTAAATGGATTTACTGCTCCAAACTTCCGTACTTGTTTATTTGGTTCTTCAAGTTGTCTTCTGTTTTAACTTACTATTTATATTATACTCTTGTAGATCTTTCGGTGTGCTTTGACTGGTAACCCTGCATCTTCACTTGCAAATGATTGCATAGCAGCTATTGCTGAGGGATTACAATCCGATCTGTACAATTTGTTTCTCTCTCTTCTATGGGGAGATGGTTATCCGGACCTGCAAGGTTCCAGTATTAATTTTGAATGGGAAGCTTTGTGCAACATTTTTCTGGGGATCTGTCAAAAACCTACTGTTGTGCATCTGAAGCAACCCAAAACATCACCAGAGTCCTCCTGGGAGTTTCTTCTTAGCAGCAAATTTCATAAGACCTACTCTAGGTTTCACAGTGGTATTACTTCTACCAATCCTTTGGATCTGGAAGGAATTGTCCCATTTGGTTCTAAGACTGCTAGTGTAGAAATACCAGGCAACTCACTTGAATTAATGGTCCAGAGTTTAGATTGTCTTCATGCAGTATATGAGAGTTTGAAGATGGATAATCTACGCAAACAGTAAGCACATTGGCTCCACAATGCTTTTTCTCGTTCAACTTGCCTGTTTTGCTTACAAAATGTTTAGCTATCTTAGTTCGGTTACAAAAGAGTAAAATTATTAGTTTTTTTTTGCTTCTCATCGCTCTTTCTTTATCAGTTCTCTCTTTTTGCATGAAAGTATAAAATTTCTGCAGGCATTTATCTTTTCCATATTATAAGTTAATCTAGCCAGAGATGGTTTCTTAACATCAGTTTCATGCTAGACTTTTCGCAGCCTAACATTCTTCTGTATTGTTTGTCACAGAAAAACTGAATTTTTTAAGTTCATAAGAAGAGTTAAGATTTAATATATGTATGATTTACTCTTATAAACTTTTGACATATGTGTGCAGGGATTTGCATCACTTGGCTGTTTTATTGTGCAATATTGCCAAGTTTTTGGGTGAGAAGTGTTACTTGGATCACTACATACGTGATTTCCCTCGTCTTTCCAAAATTTTTGGGGCAAGCACAACCCTTTCTTCTAGCAGAAAACCTCCAAATCTGTTCAGATGGCTTGAGAACTGTTTACGACGTGGATGTTCATCCACAAACCTTGATGACCTCCCAGATTTGATCCGTCAAAAAGATGGGTGCTCCATTGTGAGCTGGGCAAGGAAAATCGTTTCCTTCTACAGTGTGTTATTTGGTGATAAGCCAGTAGGACAGAAACTTTTGTCAGGTGTCCCCTGTAATATTGCCCCTGGATCATACTCCAGTAACGAGGAACTTGCTATCTTAGTTATGGCTGGAGAGAGATTTGGGCTTCACCAACTCGATTTGCTACCGTCTGGTGTATCTCTTCCGCTTAGACATGTAAGTCGGAATGTTTAGAGACTTATGGATGAGAGGATATGCAGACCACTTTGTGCTTTCATTGCCCAATTATGTTTTCTTGTCTCTTTAATATGTTGGTTTGTTATTTCCTGCCGCCTACTTGTTCTAG